ACACCTTCGCTTTTTCATTGCCATTTCTTAGAATTTTCATTAGGATATTTCATTAGGCTCCTTCGCTTTTTCATTACCATTTCTCATAAGGATATTTCATTAGGTATTTGGCCCTTTCATTACCATTTCTTAAAATTTTCATTGGGATATTTCATTCAGCTCCTTGACCCTTTCATTACCATTTCATTGAATTTTTTCATTAGAATATTTCATTATGTTCCTTGACCCTTTCATTACCATTTCTTACAGTTCTCAGTAGGATATTTCATTAGGCTCCTTGGCACTTTCATTAGATTTTCATTGAATTTTCATTGGGATATTTCATTCAGCTCCTTGACTCTTTCATTACCATTTCATGGAATTCTCATTAGAATATTTCATTAGGCTTCTTGGCACTTTCATTAGGATATTTCATTGAGCACCTTGATGATTTCATTACTTCTCATTAGGCTCCCTGGCACTTTCATTACCAAAAATAGATAATAATGATGATATGTATCACATGGGTTGTTGGGAGGGTGATCACATGACCAATTTCCTAAAATGGTCAAAAAACGAAAGTTGTAGCCCTACACTGTAGCTTCCTGAATCTGTTTGAATTAATGAGGTTAAAGAATTGATATAATTTTACATATTGCCATTGCTGCAGCATTGATTTTTGACATCATGTACAAGTTGTCTTTCATGTCAAGAAAGGCTATTCTATGCCTTCCTATTGATAGCTACTGTCCTATTTCAAAATCATAGTTCTAGGTCCATGTGGATATGGTTTGAAGGATTAAATAACTTTACCTTTTGCTATGGCCACATCATTAACTTTTGACATCATGCCCAAGTTGGCTTTCAAGCCAGAGGAAGCCATTCATATTAATATCCACTGTTCTGTCTCAATACATTCTCAACTTACATCATGACCTGACTTAAGGACACCTCCAGGGAACAATCAGCCCATCATCCTATACCCCCTAATGAAAATTCTAAGAAATAGTAATGAAAAAGCGAAGGAGCCTAATGAAATATCCTAATGAAAAGTCTATGAAATGGCAATGAAAGGGCCAAAGAGCTTAATGAAATATCCTCATGATATCTCATTATCCTTGCCTATATCTTATGAAAGATTCTAGTGATAAATTGAATGAAATAGATGGGCAATCCTAATGAGATGCCTTTCATAAAGCCTGTGGCAGTATACACATTGCCTCTTGGACAGTTGTCATAGATTAATCATAAAAGTGGTAGCCACCAGTCCGGTGTTGGCCCAGAAGGCGCATGAGAACACAGGCCTGTCCTCAGACGAACTCAAGCACAAGGTTAATGATGAATGCGTGAAGCATGGTCTGCCAACTGCATTCGACCTACCACCTCGCCCACCTCCTGCTGAAAATGGACCCACAACCACGTCTCCAAAGAAATGGCGCCTGTGTCAGGACTTCGGTGAAATCAACAAAGTCACGCCCATGGCACCAGTTCCCCAAGGAGACATACGTGCTAAGCAGCTACGGTTATCGGGCCACAGATATGTCCACATTTTCGACTTTGCAGCGGGTTTCTATGGGATTGCGGTCCACCCAGACTCCCAGCCATATATCACATTCTATCTAGAAGGGCGTGGACACTTTGCTTATGAACGCATGCCATTCGGCGTCACTGGAGGCCCCTCAGAGTTTGGATATGTCATAGGCGACCGAATGCACGACCTCATAGCGGATGGAACTTGCGAGAACTTCGTCAATGATGGTGGATCGGCAGCGGATTCCTTCGAGGAGGGTATAACGAAACTGCGGCGAATATTGGAACGTGTGCGTAGGGAACACTTGTCTCTCTCCCCGGCCAAGTTCCAGGTGTTCAAGACAGAGGCTGTCTTTGCTGGAGCATGTGTTGGACCGGGAGGCGTCAGCCCAGACTCAGCAAAACTCACAGCTGTGGTAAACTGGAAGATACTGGAAGACGCTTCGCATTTAGAAGGATTCTTGGGTCTTACAGCGTATTTCAGAGACCTGGTAAAAGGCTATGCGGCCCTTGAGAAACCTCTCTGGGATCTACTACGTGCGGTGGATATTCCGAATGGCACCAAGAAGTCAGTGTATCAGCGAATAATGAAGGCCCACAAGTTGCAGCCACACTGGACAGCAGAGCATACAGCAACCTTCGTGAACCTAAAGGCACGACTGGTCTCAGAACCGGTCCTGACGGTCCCTCGATTTGATGGCACACATTTCATTCTCACCACCGATGCATGCAAAGACTAGTGTTTGGAAGTCCGGTCTCGTGACTGGAAAAAGACCGTAACCAGACCGGACCAAGACCACAAAAGACCGGACCTGCGGTTACGGTCTTTTATTTTTGAAATGTAAAGACCGCAAAAAGACCGGTTAACATGAACCGGTCTTGACCGGTTTGGACCGGTTTTTTGTAGCCCCTTAAATACCCTTTAAAACGCACCCAAGAACGTACGATTTGGTAAAAAAACGAGAGAGATATGAATTAAAATGTAAATTACTTTTGGGAATAATAGATGTACCAGACTTATTTTATAGAAGCACCAATACCTAGCGGGATTTAACGTTCTTGGGCTCGTTTTGAAGCTATTAGAGATGTTAATAAATTTACCGATTCATAATTTTAAAATATTGGCCTAAAGACCGGTCATAAACCGGTTAAAACTGATGCAGACCGAAACCGGTCTATAGACCGCAAAAAACCGCGGTCTGCGGTCTTTTTGCGGTCTGGTCTGGTCTTTTGACTTCTGGGGAAAAGGCAGACCGGTTACGGTTACGGTTAACGCCCCTGGGCATCAAAAAACCGGACTGAACCGGACTTTCAAACACTAGCAAAGACGCATTCGCTGGAGTTTTGTCACAGAAAATCAAAACAACCCTTCCAGGAGGCAAGGATGTAACTCGTCTACACCCAATCGGCTTCGCATCCAAGCGAACGTCCCCGTCCGAGGAGAAATATAAACCTTTCCTTCTCGAGTTTGCCGTGCTCAAGTATTCGTTTGACAAGTTTTCAGACATCGTGTATGGATACCCCGTGGAGGTGGAGACCGATTGTCAGGCCCTGTGCGACATCCTACTCAGTGATAAACTGAGCGCGACCCATGCACGATGGAGGGATGGAGTACTGGCACACAACATTGTGGATGTTCGGCATATTCCTGGGAAGATCAATATCACAGATGGCGTCAGTAGGCAGTACGAAGGCATGGACAAGGTTCCGGGCGATGGCAGTGAATGGACAGTCACACCGGACTGGGAGGAGATGACTGGCCTTGTTCATGACCTTTACCACATAGCCGACCTTCCCGACCTAACGACTTTGAAAGAAAGGTTCAAGAACGAACCTCTTTACCTCGATGTCATTGACGCCATCGTGGGCCTTTCATCTGAAGGCACAACGATATGGGAGCGGAAACGTGCACAGCATAGGAAGACCCAATACATGCTTGAGGACGGTAAACTCTGGTTCATCGGAGGTGGTAGTGGTGCAAGGGCACGAGCCAGGAGGGAATGCATTTCGAAGGTGGAGGCGGTTGAGCAGGCAAAACGAGAGCATGAACAAGGCGGGCACTGGCACAGGGACTCAGTGAAACTGGCACTGCTGGACCGATACCACAGCCCAAAGCTGGATGAGTCAATCATCAAAGGCATCATGGCTGCACACGTTGCAAGAATTTCGGAAGTACACATCTACATTCCCTTCTTCAGCCAATAACCAGACGTCATCCGTTTGAGCTGCTGGTGGGGGACTACCTCTCATTGCCGGTAGGAAAAGGCGGTTACCACACTGCTGGAATTTACCTAGATACGTGCTCGCAACATGTTTGGGGTTATAAGTTCAAAACCCACGGTACTGCAACAACGACCAACTGATCTCTTGACGACATATTCCACAACTTCGCACCTCCGGAAACGTTTATGGCAGATGGAGGCAAGCACTTCAAGAACAAGGAAGTGGCTGAGAACTGTGAGCGCTGGGGGACAAAGCTGCACACAGTTGCAGCGTATTCACCTTGGGTCAATGGACTTGTTGAGGGTACTAACAAGCTTCTACTCTACGTCTTGGCTAGGTTATGTGCTCCCGAAGTAGGTGAAGATGGCTGGCAAGCAATCACCTGGGACAAGCTGCCAGCATCATGGCTGGACCACTTCGACAAAGCGATACGCATACTCAACTGGCAGATACTCCCTGCTCTCAAATTTAGCCCGAAGGAAATACTGTTGGGCTTGGTAGTGAACACATCAAAGACACCCTTCGAGGTTAGCTGCTCCTTCTTACCCCCATCTGATGTTGATTCACACATGACCTACGCGGCGCAACAACGTCTTGATGGGTACGCGGAGGCCATTCACCACGCAGTGCAAAGGAAAACTGCGTTCGACCGCAGGCTCAAGGCTTCAAAGACAGGAGTCATCAAATTCGAGAAAGGTCAGCTAGTACAGGTATACGACAACAAACTAGCATCCACCCTCAGGACCGAACGCAAACTAGCGCCCATGTGGTCTTCCCCACACCGAGTTGCTGAGCGCCTCCTAAACTCATACAAGCTGGAAACTTTGGACGGCACCCCTCTCGACGGCCTGTACCACGCAAGACGCCTGCGAAGTTTCGTACCAAGAGAGGGCACATTGTTAGCGGCAGAGCAGAAGGAGCTAGAGGAAGCACTGGCCTCAGAGGCATCAAACGTTGCAACCCCAAGAGTGGAGGCGCAGGTGGAGACATAATATGAGACAAAAAGGCCAGTTGCAGTGACCTTGCAGGCAGTCTTTCGACATGCTTGAGAGAGCTGATACAAGGTGCCCGGCGTTCGCCTTCTCTTTTTGGGTGTAATCACGCCCTCTGAAGCTTTGCTCACCCCCTTGTTCTCTTTTGGTAGTTGTGTTCTAACACTCGGGTAGCTGATACCTATTCCGAGTGAGGTGAACACTGTAAAATGCTGGCGTTGTGCTCCTGTGGCCATGAGGTATGTGCTGTGAATAGCCTGTGCATAATTATTCTTCTGACTTCTTGCCTTGAGAAGTGTCAAGATAGCTGAGCCCTCCATCTGCCATCTATAGTGAGTAAGTTCTGATTGAAGATACTATCACAGAGCTGCTCACAATGTTTTTCTTCTCAGCCCATCCCTTGGAAAGAGACTTTTCCTGCCAAGACGTTGTAGAGAATGCATCAGCTATTGAGAAAAAAGTAGGTGCCAGGCTTCGCAGGTTTTGCATGAGTCTAGCGATGCTGTAATTGAAGAAAAAGTTTTCGTTTATTTCTTTATTTGTTGTCTTCAGTAGCCCCGACTCGGTGATAGTGTGCGCCTCTTGGCTGGCTATCTTCTTCGCCTGTCCTAACACCCACTCCTTCATTGTAAGCCTTGCACCTTTGCTATAACCAGCTGATGTCCAGTAACCCAAGATTCACTCTACAGTGGACTTTTCCAGGAAGAATCCTCGCCAACGCCAGTCAAATACATGACTTATGCTTGGATTAAAGGTGTAGTCGAGAAATTCCACCAAGGTGCACTGATTCTCTTGCAGGATAGCCAGGACCTTGTTGAACACTCCCACACGTCTCATTTAGTCTGCCTCTTTCTCCCTTGCTCCCTGTGCAGCACTCTCCATTTGATCCAGTGCCCTCTTCTCTGTGGTGTGGAACTTGTTAGTCTTGAGTGTCTCAAGACGTTCCCGGTGCGATGCTGCAAGACGAATCTTTCGCTCAGTCTGTGGAGTATAAAATACATCATCGCTTGATGGTTCTTGTGGATGTGAAGGTAACGATGAGCTCCGTGGGCATGGACAAGATCTAAGCAGTCGTCGCAAAGGTCGACGGGGGGTATCACTGGATGGTGCTTCTTTAGCACTTCCTACACCACCTCCTTTCACAAGACTTTGTAGAGGTATGTCATCTGAGGTTTTTCGTGCACTTGGTACTCCTTTGATTCAACAGATCGACCTTGGACATATGCTTGTAAAGGTGTGTCATCAGATGATGGACACCAGTTGGGATCTCCTATGCCCCAGCCAGGATCTCCTATGTCTAGTGTTTGAAAGTTAGGTTACATAACTGGAAATTAACCAAGACCGGACCAGACTGTAACCGGTAGAGACCGCAAGAGTATACTAACCACTACTAACCACAACTGCGGTCTGGTTTTCGGTTAGTCATGATGTCAAAGTTTGCAAGACCGAACAATAACCGGTTATGACCAGTTATAACCAGTCTTTTCCCAAATATTGCTGGCCTCAATTATTGGACTCAACCTTCGAATAAAAAAACTTACGAGCCATTGATAAGAACGAAAATTACAACTACATACAGAAAAAAGATTAAAAAATGCCACACCAAACAGAGGGCCGAGGCCAGTGCATCTTTTAAAAATCCCCCAGTCAACAGCAATTAAACAATGTCTACGACTCGGTCACTCACGAAAGGGATTCCTCCTAGAATCTGCTCACCTCCACACAAAGGTGGTGGCAAGAAGGCTGCTCAACTCAAAGCGGCTCCAAAACACCACAAAAGGCATGCCAGCATAAGCGGCGACGGGGAAAGCCCAAGCAAGGATACGTCGGATAGTGGAAAATCAAAACCAAAACAGAAAGGCAAGAAGCGTGCAAAGCGGCGCCGCACTCAAGAGTCTGGGGAGGACAAGGAGGACGGTGAAGAGGAGGAGGAGGAGGAGGAGGAGGAGGCAGAGCAAGTACCAAAAGGCAGGAAGCGTGCGAAGCGGCGCCATACTGGAGCATCTGAAGAGGTGGAGGTGGGGGCGGAGGAGGTGGAGCAAGTTGATGGGGCTGAGCCTGAGCAAGAGGTGGAAGAGATTGATGATCCTACTTTATCTGGTGACGATGTCAGTAACATCCCAGATTGAAGTGGCATGGACTTACACAATTCTAGGAGGATGGGCTTAATGATCATCAATGCGGCAGAGACCTCTGAGAACAGCCAGTGAAAAAAGATTCAACGCGTGATCTCCTCACCGTAATGTCAGATAAAGTGACAGTCAAGTTCAAAGTTGGCGCTGATAGCTACAAGACAGAAACAGGGAGGTGGTGCGACATTTGCAGGTGAGTAATGAAAGGACAAACAAGAGAATATGTTGCTTACCGTGATGCAGGAACGACGAAGCATACATCAAGCTGAATGGGAAGAGGAAGGCTTTTCATAAGGGAGGGAACTCGTCTTGCTGATTTCATATTCGTCAGCATTACGCGGTCTACAATGAGAAATGTATAAGTGCTGACATACCTGTCAACCATTGGGCAATTCCGCGACTCATTTGGAAAGCAATGGAGGAGGAAAAAGACATAGCCAAGCGTGGGCGGACCACGAAGAAGCAGAGTCAACAGCAGTTGACCTTCAAAGGTGTAGTTGGTCCACATGAGTTCACAAGACCAGCTATTCTCCAAGCTGTGGCTACGTTAATCGCCACTAATAACCAGGTACGTCGTTAGCCCACCTAACCGTTGAAGACATAACCCATGACACACCTATAGCCCCTCACGCTTGCTGACAACCCTGCATTTCGCAACGCCCTCGTCTCAATGAGACCCAAATCAACCACGTCCAACCTTCCGAGTTCATACGATGTGAAGGTTTATCTTCACAACAAATTTGTGCAGCACATTTCGGAGCTGGGGGGGGATATAAAGGTAAGCAATTAATAGATTTTGTCAGAATGGATTTGAACACATACGCACCTGAGCAGGCATCCCCGGGAAAGGTCTCAATAACTTCTGATGGATGGACAGCGGATACAACAAAAACGGGGTTTCTCAGAATGACAGCGCATTGGATTGAAGTGAAGGAAAAAAAGTGGAAGTTGAGGGCAGAGGTGATTGGTTTCAAAGTGTTATCAGGCGCACATAGTGGTGAGAACCTGGGAAGGTACGCGGTGGGATTGTTAGACCGTGTGGGTATCATGGGCAAGAATCAATCAAAGGCATGTCATTTGATTCCATCCCATGTCAAAACCCTAATTCTAACAATTCTGACAGCTCTACACCGTGACTTTGGATAACACTGGTAATAATAATACCACTTGCAAAACCATCCAAGATATCCACGCGCGCAGAGGTCTTCCAAAGTGGAATAGCGCTGAACTACAGTTACCGTAAGTCATTTCTTGACTTTTATTCTTCTACATTAACCCTGTTTCCATGTCAGCTGCTTGGGACATGTCATCAACCTTGGGAACATTGACGTGATGGAATGTATCACAAAGATTGCAGCTGTCGAAAATGCGACCGCCATTTGGGAATACGATCCCAACCGTGAAGACAACCATGTTTTAGGGGGCTCTCTGGACGTTATAGCCGCAATCCGGACACTGGCGATCAAGGTAACCATGTGCGCTATCATGGGAATTCATGTCTCAACACATCATTTGCCCTTCCATAGATTCAGGCCTCTGGACAGCCCATCAAGTACTTCCAAAGCACCCAGATCCGCTGTGGAATTCCTGACCCATTGAAGATCCCATTGCACAGTAATATCCGATGGGGGACAGCCTTCAAAATGCTCAACCAGGCCCAAATACTCTGGCAGGCAAGTCTTATCATTTCGTCTCAGCTGTTATTCAATCTCATCCGAATATCAGCCTATTGGGGTATTTCTTACATCCGCCAACGAGATGTATGGCCCTATCACCACACTCCCTGGTGATCGCCAGGTGAAACACATCCTGTGGATGGCATTCAAGTTGTCAGATCGTGATTGGCATAGAGTGGTTGATGCACGCGATATACTTGAGGCGCGTATCCCTTGTTTCTTAACCCGACATCAGAAACTGATTGACTGTCTAGGATTCCAATCGTATTCAGCAGTACTTCTCCTCAGAAACACAACCGGCCCTATGGCGTGCCCTTCCCGCTCTTGAAGAGTTGCAATCAGCTTGGGAGAAGAAACGCAATGCCCCCAAGTACATTCTCTACAAAGACGCCCTGACTGCCGGTCTCGATAAGCTATGCAAGTATTATTCTCGGCTTGATGAGAAGCCCAGTTTTGTGTTAGCGCTTGGTAAGATTTGTTCTACAACGATTAGCTGTATATTTACAAGCCCTTTTGCAGTCCTACACCCTTACTACAAGCTCGCGTACATTAAAGCGTTGTGGGGTGGTCCGGAGGAGCAAGCGGCAGAAATTGCAGAAGGGAATCTCAATACCAAAGATTGGCAGGATGAGGCGAAACAAATTGTCGAACATACAGTAAGTTGTTCCTTCGCTTATATCATATATGAGGTTACAGAGCTAACTATGTATTGAGCAGATGGCTGAGTATTGGAAAACTCGCCCATCCACCATCATCGCTGCGAGCCGCTCTTCGGTGACTGGAAAGACCACATCCAAGGCACCACGCACTTTGTCAGAATTCGACAAACTCCGTGAGACACTCCTCTCCAATGACTCAGAGGAAGGCTGGGCTTCAGAACTGCGGCACTACCTAAGTACGATGCAATGGGATGTTGAAAAGGACACGGATATTGTTGAATGGTGGCAGGTACGATATTTGATGTACTGATCTTGTTCTCTACTGATAATCCTTCGCACAGAACCACGCCGAACTCTATCCGACACTTGCTCGTATTGCCCTCGATGTCCTTCCCTCTCAGGCCTCATCTGTGCCTTGCAAGCGGTTGTTCTCGGGTACAAAACAAGTTGTGACTGACCGCCACACTTGTTTGGGCTCAACAACATTTGAAGAACTCACCATCTTGAAATCTGCATGGGGACCGAATGTCTATGATGCCGCTGCTTGGAATGCTGCACAAGTAGAAGAGGTTAGCCTCCTTGACTTCGAGCAGATGTTGGTTGATGATACTGAGGGGGTTGAGTGGGACAAGGATGAAGCGGAGGGACGGAATCAGTGGAATGATGACTTTGAGCTTGTCGTGTGAGTCATTACTTAATACTTAGCTAGCAAAAAAGATATCCCAGCGTGCTCTCATTGTTTCCACTGCCTGTAGTAGTGTTCAAGTTTACCATGTGACCATGTGTGACAAGCTCGAATAGTTCAAGCTCGTCGTAACCATCGTCTTCTCCTCCTGACAACAACACAGATTGGTGAACTTACGGTAAGTTGTTCTTTCACTTACATGAGGTTACAGAGCTAACTACATATTGAGTAGATGGCTGATCCACCATCCACCATCATCACTGCGAATGGCTCTGAAGAGACCACGTCTAAAGCACCTCACACTTTGTGAGCTCTTTACACTCCCCCACCTATTCCTACTGGACTCCTACTGGAATCCCGGACTCCTACTGGATTCTACTAGGACTCCAGCCAATTTCATATTGCCTGAACACCATACAAATTTTGCATCTCAGTCCTACTGGAGTCCTAGTAGATTCCTACTGGAATGATCCCAAATCACAAGGAATTAAGGATTCCTAAGGAATGGGTATAATGGAGTCCAGTACAAGGAGTCCAGTAGGAGTCCACTAGGAATTTCCAAGTACAAGGAGTCCAGTAAGTCCAGTAGTTTGTCACTATTATTGTTATTATATAATAATAATAAAAGCGCAACATGCATGAATTGAACACTCAACCTCACGGACACAGCAACATTTTATGTAGTGAGCACTTTACCACTTGTACCACATAGGCATTGTTATACAAATATATTTTATGCCATACATACCAACGGTAAGGCTACCTTCCTAGAAAGGATGCCGGCAAATTCCGTGAGTGGGAATTTGCCCAAACCCTCAACCCACAACCTTCCACGACACCACCACCCCCTCTTTGCTCCGTCACCACCGTCGCCTCGTCGACACTCTCGCCACCGTCGCCTCGTTGCCACCATCGCCTCATCGATAGCCACCACGTCACCAATCCGGATTCCAGGTGCCACGTCGCTGACAGCGGCGTGGCAACCAGACGACGAACAACGAACAACGTTGTTTGTCGTCGTACATTGGTGAGCACCCCCACCCCATCCTTCCTCATCTGACCCACTAACGGAGGGCACCACGACGGCTCCACGACACGACGGTAGGCGACGACAACGACGACAGGCGACAACGGCACGCAACGACGACCCGAAACAATGGCGAGGACCCACCACCACACCCTACTGATTGCCAACAACCACGAGTGCCCACGGACATGAGGAACGAGAACACCAGGGGACAGCGATGACCCCCGCCCACTCACCAACATCCACGGAAGACGAGCGCCCATGCCTATGAATGACGACCGCCCACGAAGACAACCCCCCACGCCCACAAATGACGCCCACGCCCATGAACACGCCTATGCCCACACGCCCACCCGCCAATGCCCACGAAAGACGACCGCCCACGCCTATGAACGATGCCCGCCCACGAAGACAGGTGCCCACGCCCACAAACGACGCCTATGCCCACAAACGACGCCTACGCCCACATACGACAAGCGCCTGCGCCCACAAACACTCCTATGCCAACAGACCACGAGCGCCCATGCCCACGAACAAACCTATGCCCACAGGCGACGAGTGCCCATGCCCACCGACGACGAGCTCACTTCACTCCCTCTCCCCCTCACTCCCTTCTCCTTCCCTTCCTCCCTATCTATCTCTCCCTCCCCCTCACTCCCCATCCCCATCCCTCCATCACTTCACTCCCCCTCCCCCTCCCTCCATCACTTCACTCCCCCTCTTCCTCCCTCCATCACTTCATTCCCTCCCCCCTCCCTCCACACTCCCTCCCCTTGGTAAATTATTTTTTGTATATAGTTATGTATCCAGTTGTCAATACAATATCTGTCAACCTATGAATTTTGTATGGAATTTTGAGGTGGGATCAGGTCTGACTTGTCAAAAATTAATGAAAGTGATCAGGTAAGTTGCATAGGTCAAATGTCAGTCCAGTAGGAATCCAATGTCTGAAGCCCAGTGAAAATCGACCCTAAAAAATGGCCAAATGGATCGGTGGAGCCCGATCTGAACAGGGGAGATGGCCGGAAATTGGCAAATATATCGATTTGATCCGGAGAAACCCGATCTGCACAGGGTCAATTTTCACTGGGTCTGAAGCATTGCATTAACTTTGTTTAAGTTCAGTTGGAGTCCAGCTGGAGTCCAGTAGGAGTCCAGTAGGAGTCCAATAGGTGGAAAATGCCTTTTTTGGAAGAATTGTTGAAATCCAGTGGGAATCCTACTGGAGTCCTGGAATCCAGTAGGAATCTTACTGGAGTCCTGGAGTCCAGTAGGAATAGGTGGGGGAGTGATAAGTACTGCACTTTGTCAGCATTCAACAAACACTGTGAGACGCTCCTCTCCAATGACACAGAGGAAGGCTTGGCTTCAGAACTGTGGCAATGGGATATGGAAAAGGAGACAGATGTTGTTGAATGGTGGCAGGTACGAGACTTAACGTACTAATTTTGTTCTCTGCTGATAATCCTTCCCCAGAACCATGCCAAACTCTATCCAATGCTCGCTCGTATCGCCCTCGCTGTCCTTCCATCTCAGGCCTCATCTGTGCCTTGCGAGCGGTTGTTCTCGGGCACGAAACAAGTCGTGACTGATGCTGAGCTTGTTTAGGCTCAACAACGCTGACCAACTCACTGTCTTGAAATCTGCTTGGGGACCGAATGTTTATGCTACCGTGGAATGATGATTTCGAGCTCACTGTCAGAGTTGTTGACTCGTTAATTACTGGTTCTCTGTATATACATGTAATTCCACTACGTTTTGGGGCACCAACACTATTGAACACTATCTTGCTGTGGTATTAACACTTGAGTAACTGGTTGCATAACCGACCAATAACCACAACTAACTGGCTATAACTGGTTAGTATCGGTCTGGTTTGGTCTTTTTGGGTTTTCGTGCTGACGCTAACCGGTCTCGGTCTCGGTTAGAGCCATCAGGGACCCAATAACCGGACCTAACCGGACTTTCAAACACTACCTATGTCGGATGAATCATCTGGTGGATCAGAGGGTGGTAAGTCAGGGTAACAAAAGTGGTGAGATGTGGAGGACATCAATGGTGTCGAGGTTATCCTTGTAGGATGTAGAGTGTTAAAAATTGCTATCTCAATTTCTGCCTCCGTCTTTGTCACCATCCCTCATGCCTCCCCAACCTTTGTCATTTGCAAACTCTCAACCTCATTCTCCAACTGGAACACAACACAAAGTCAAATCACGTCGAGTTCTCCCCACACAATCTTCAAATTTAAATCCAGAGCAACGGCAAGCTATTGACAAAGAACTTGAACGTCTTCCGGAGCTTGTTAAAGCTCATTTTACTGGCTGGGGTAAAGGACCCCAGGCTTTTCAGTTGGCCGGAATGCGAGCTCAGGCTCTAAGTCAGGATGTATTGCTCCATGCAGCCACTGGTGCAGGTAAAATGGGAATTGCTGCAGGACCACATCTTTTGCCATCCAGCACAGGAAAGGTTACCCTCATGGTATCGCCTCTCCTCTCTTTACAAGAAGAACAGGTAAGATAATGTTATTCTGCAATCAAAACTTCACAACTGAATGAATGCAAGGTGATAACCTTTCAGGAGGAATTCAAACTTAAAGCTGTCGCAATCAATAGTAACAATGGAGGATGTACAAAAGATGTCATGGAGGTTGGGTTTGCATTTTCTGGTTTGTGTGGCACTTATATTTCTCCTCAGGATATTGTGTCTGGATCATGGCAATTGTTATCCTGTCTCCCGAGATGCTGCTTTCCCACCATTTCATAGACGGTGTCCTCTGAAAACCTGAATTTGGTTCGCGCTGCTTGTCCGTTTTTGTCGATGAAGCACACTGTGTGTCGCATTGGGGAGACTCCTTTCGGAAGAAATACAGCTCATTGGGAATTGTTCGAGCATTTCTTCCCTGAGATACACCCATTGTTGCAGTGACAGCAACTTTAACACCACAGGTGCATGAAGACCTCATCAACAAACTCCAGTTTGACCGAGAGAAATATCTATTTATCAACGAGGGTAATGAGCGGTCTAATGTTGCACAGATTGTTCGCGCTATGGAGCACCCAATGGATACTTATCACAACCTCGACTTCCTCATACCTGACAACATGACCACCCCCCTTGACATCAAGAAAAGTTTTATCTACGCAGATGACATCACAGGAGGCGCAGCTCTAATCAATCACCTCAATTCTCAAGTAAAAGAGGAGTTCCAAGCAAAGGGCCTTGTCTGTCCATATAACACTGCCATGTCCACAACATACCGTAAATTGGTTTTGCGGCTGTTCAAGGAGGGAGTGATTCGCATTCTTGTATGCACTGATGCTGCGGGCATGGTAAGTATCATTCATGTGCATGCAGAAAAGCAGATACTGAAATGACATAGGGATGCAATATCCCAGATGTCGACAGCATTGTTCAGTGGAAAGCCCCCTCAAATCTTTCCTCATGGGTTCAGCGTGTGGGTCAAGCCGCCTGGGCTGCAGGTGGTGAAGGACTTGCCGTTATGATCGTCGAAAAGTCTGCTTTCGAAATTAGTACTACTGCAGCATTGTCAGGCGAGTTTGGCACAAACACAGCATCAGTCTCACAGAGACGTAACACCCGTGGCGGTCATGGGAGGGGCCGTAGTGGTCGAGGCAGAGGCCAGGGAAGACCAGCAAAAAATGGCCCAACCTATGGGGTGTCGCATGGTGCAAAGTGTGGCCAATACAGTGGGGCTCATGATACAATGACACGCCTAGAAGAGCACGAAAAAATTCCAGGTGATGCGGTGGGAGAGGGTTTGTATTGGTACATTCAAACAACGGTCTGTCATCGGCTGATATTGACAAAAATCTTTCGGAATAAGCCCTCATGTTAGTGATCCACTACTGTACTCGGAGTGAAGAGAACTAACCCAATGTTCTCAGATGTGTCGCCCACTCGATGTTGTGATCTCTGCAACCCAAAGCTTTTTGACCGAACCCACCCCAGCAAACCGATCGTCACTGCTCGCCAACGTTCCGTCAAGAAAGGTGAACCTGTTGCCTTGGTCCGAGACACGTTGTATGCCTGGCGCAGGTCTGTGAAGTGCGAGCTTTATCCAAGGGCAATGTGGGCTCCACAGGCTCTGCTTGATGATCCAACATGTGAACTTTTGTCCTCTGTTGGGCCGATACAAACAAAGGAGCACCTCGCATCGTTGGTGGAGTCAAGTTGGGCGCGTTGGAGCCTCCTCAGTGATATACTGTTCAACTTGCTTGTCAGTCTCAAAATTCCTAGTTTAGCAAGGTCAAAATGCACCACAACTGCCTCTAAACGCTCTGCACCCACGGAAATGCTAAGTTCTGCATTGCCTGCTACCTTGCCAAAGCAACTCCATCTGTCAACACATCATGAATCAGGTCCCTCCACCTCAATTGGTGTGCAAAAATCAGCCATACCTTCAATTTCATTCGGACCTAGTGCGTATGACAGCTTTTTCAGTCATCTGTGAGGGCCTGTAGAGGATGGAATGGGGAGATTGAATATGGAAGGGGTGGAAGGATGTGTGGGACAGCAGAGCTAAATTTGGACGATGTGCACAGACCTCAAAACGTCGAAGTCAACAAATTCATTTTTTGATAAAAAAAGTTCTATACTCTTTTTTGTTCTACTCGTTGTAAAAATCATCTTTCGTATACTAACTTTGGGGTGTTTTTTTTCAAAATTGAAGCCTTTTTTGTTGAAGTGACCCCCTCTGGTTTGGCGGGGAAATCGACTCTCTGCCAAAAGGGCGACAAGAGTTTCCAGTCCGCTCGCAAGCTTGCCCCTCTCTTGTCATGTGCCTCATAATGTCCTGTGACATTGTGACTAGAGGCTGACACTTAGCAGCGGCAGCAGGCACCTTGCTTGCTGACAAATACACTGCTTTGCACCAATACGATGCGACTTTTTTTTCGTAACAAAGGAAACAGTGTTCAAGAGCTATAGCGCTACATAGTTATGTATATAAACATTGGAGCTGGCGCTAAGAAAGAGACGACAATATCATGTTTTGAAAAGACCAGTTGTTTGCACCGGTTTGCTCGCTCGCGTGCGCCATATGCATCCATGGAAAGTTTGTACATGCTTGCCCGCTCGCGTGCGCGATATGCAAGAAAAGAGCCCCATGGCCCCTGGAAAGTTTGTTTGTTCATGCTTGCTCGCTCGCGTGCGCGATATGCAAGAAAAGACCCCCATGGCCGCTGGGTAGTTTGTTTGTACCTGTTTGGTATTTATGACCCTGGGAGACCTTGACAAGCAAGGTGACATAGAGCTTGTGAGCGTGACTGGCTTGCGAGTCTAGCATGTCAGCATTGGAAAGTCGATTTAAATCTGCAAATTTAACAGGATTCGTTAAAGCTGTTAAATGTGAGGATCTCAGAAATCTCTCAGCACGCAGGGACGATCCTCAGATCTGGCCAGCGCTCAGGCTTTGAGCGATTGTTACTCGGGAGCGCGGGAGCCATCATCACCAAGCCATCAATCAACTCAGGCGCCCCTACCCACAGAAGCGGCACCGCGAACTTCCATTCCATTCAAGCACCCCTGCACCTCTCACCCTTGAGCAACAGCATATTACCGCGGCACTTCAGAATATTGTCGCGATGGTGAGTGGGTACTTTAGCTGACAAAAGCTAATAGGCATTGTTTTTCTATCTATGACAAACCTGACCGACACGCGAAAAAGCGAACAAGTCAGCGATAATGTGTACACGAAGAGTCCACCCGCGATCTAACACGTCAACGCTGTTGGAAGGACACAGGAGTGCGGGAATGGATCGATACACTACGGAGAGGTCGATATGGCTCACAAGCCACTAAAGAAAGTGGCCCAATTGTGAGTAGGTCTGTCGCCTTGGGCATAATGCACGGTACTGACGATTGTGGTCGTTTCAAGGTTCATGCCTCTCGCCCTTTCCGCTCGTCAGATCACTTTTGGACCCAAAGACCCAGCTTCACAGCAACAGCAACCTTACCAGCTTCAGCAGCACCAACTGTATCAAGAACATGGTCTAACGTTTCCCAGAACCCTTATCTTTCACAACCAACCACAAACAGCGGAATCGTTTTTCCTGGACCATCGTCGCCTCTATCCAATCCATTCACTCAAGTTAACCACAAACACAAAACGAGCCTTCGTCGTTCGCCTGGCACTTCCCATGCCGTTGCAGACTCACTACCATTCCCTTCAACATCCATTCCATGTACCCCTGCACCCCTCACCTTTGTTCCGACTGCTGCCTCACTCTGTAGACCATTGCGCTCCAAGCTCGTAACGCCGTTACAGTTCAAAGGTTTGTCACATTGACCGTTCTTTAACATGCAACGCGTCGAATTGATCGTCTTGTTTGTCCTTTTAGCATTATTCAGCCGACATCGTGAACCCAAGGCCACTGCTCTCATCTTGCATCTGGCAAAATGGTCGTGACTGGAGCCAAGTCGGAAGACGCTTCATGCTTTGCGTCGCGTAAATACGCGTGTATAGTGCAAAAGTTTGGTTTCGATGCGAAGTCCTCCGATTTCAAGATACAGAACAAGCTCAAGCTCATTACAACCAACTCAGCATACATACATACACTACAGTACATTTACATTGATTCACAATACATGCTGATTTGAGAACATCTCATTCCGAGTCGATGTACATAGCTGAAGCTTTGACGTCTGACCCTTGAAAAACCCTTGAAAGAAACACTCAATCTTGGGATCTTGCAATTGAAATAACAATCAAGAAACACATGAGCCTGAGATTCCCACTCAGATTTGACAGTGCTAAGCCCGTTGATCATATCTTGTCAAGGGTTGTACTTGATCTGACTTGTCCATAACAACACCTCCTCTCGGCTCCTTAAATTCTCGTTCGGCTCCTTAAATTCTCTTAAATCCAGCTTAAATTCAAGCTACCTTCAACTTATTTCTTACTTATGTCTAGTTATTTCTTAAATTCTGAAAAGGACACCATCTGTTGAGGAATGGTTGGGCGTTGGGCAGAGCCAAAATTATTGTTATCTCTGCTAGGAGATTCAAGACAAATATCAGAAGATTCTTGGTGTTTTCTTTTTTCTTTCAAAGGTACTACGCGCAATGGTGTTTGGGTATGGGAGACGCGACATCGACGCGTCGCGCGGAGTTTGAATTCTTTGTTGATCCAAACGCCAAGTCGTCTCTCATGCCCATACACTATGGCGGAGATACTGAGACATTTGCCCCACTATTCTGCCATCTCTACTCACCATGGGGATCCGCAATGTTTGGAAGGTGTGGAGTTTTGCCTCATGATCAGCTGAATTTCCTATCTTACTTCTGCAGAAATTGGACTCTGTGCGACGCTTGGTGTCGCTACTTGAATTGGCTGTTCGAGAGGGCTTTCTGAGGAATGCACGAAATACTCAATCCTTGGTTGTAGGAATTGATGCAAGGTAGGATGGTGTTACTCTTCTTGCACATAGTACTGATAAGCGAGACAGTGTATGGATTGTAGAATGCCAGGCCGTCTTTTATGTGCCGGGCCTCCACACTCAAGCGGGTGAAAATCCAGAACTTCGCACACTCTTCTTCCGCTTGGCCCATCTTCTTCGTTATCCAATCACAGTCATATTTGTTTTTGATGGTCCTGAGAGGCCTGATTACAAGCGCAGTACGGTTGTCAAGAAAAAGGAGCATTGGGTTGTCAAACACTTCTCCGAGATAATTCAAGACTTTCACTACAAATTTCACCAAGTAAGCTGTTCTCCCTGATCTCGTCAATCGGTACTGATTTCGGTGTGTCAGGCTCCGGGTGAGGCAGAAGCGGAATTAGCCGCATTCGAAAAACATGGCATTATCGACTTCGCAATCACATCGGACAGTGATTACTTCCTTTTTGGCGGAACGAGGCTTATTCGAAGGTAGGTATTGATAGAATATGTCAGCGGCGTAGCTTGTTGCTAACGGATTTGCACCTAGTCTCCACATGAAGAAGCAAGGCGATGATGACGTTGAAATATACGCGACGAAGGATTTCGCTGAATCGGAGGGTCAGAAGCATCTAAGCCGGGCTGGTCTTTTGTTGATTGCTGTATTACATGGTGCGGATTATGATACTGTGAGTTGTAATCTTTCATTTGTAGAACCTCACTTCTAATTGCTTATGTGAAAAAGGTTGGCCTGCCAGGATGTGGCATCGTCACTGCAACCAAGCTAGCGTCCACGGCTTTGGCCACAGATTTGCTTGCGGCTGCGGAAGCCATGACTGAAACACAGCTCGACGTATACCTTGCAAAATGGCGACATCAGCTACGGAAGGTCTTGGCCACCAATCCCCGCCATAACCTTCCACGTCACTGCACCACATTGGCGACAAAGGTCCCTGAGAACTTCCCTAATCCCCACGTTGTTCACCTTTATGCTAATCCTGTCACGTCGTGGTCTCACGGAGGGATCGGCCCTAATCTTGGGGATCTTTCGCCTCAGTTCCCTGATACGGAAAAACTCGCCTTTCATTGCGAGCGTCTATTTGGATGGGGAAGAACCATCATTGACAAGTTTTACAGCAATATCTGGCCCGGCTACTGCATCCGGACCTTTTCGCAGGTACGTAGCAGCAGCTACATGCGTAATATGATTCTGAACTTTGTAATAGCTTTACAACTTTTCGGGCACAAAGTCGCTGCTGTCACCATCGTCCATTCACCACATTTGTAGACAGGACACAAAGTTTAAGTCGGAATCAGCCTTTGAGTCATACCTCGTTGAAGTATGGTTGCCGCCACTACCCATCACGGCCCTGAGTGGTGCCAGGCAAGCACTCGAAGACGAAAATGCCTTGGTCAAAGGAGGCTCAATCACAAGCATCAATGTCTGGGTGCCGGGGCCGATCCTTCAGAGCGCAGTTCCCGTCCTCGTTGATGAATTCCTTCATGAGGCACCCCCAAGACACAAGAAAGCCAAGATTCACGCTGCCCCATACAAACCGGTATATGACCTTTCTCTCTTTTATGGCCTTTCCTCATTTGTCTTCTTTTTGCAGATATTGCCGAGTAGTATTAGCGGACAGCCGGATAGGGCAGTCGGGAGTATTTTTAGCAGCGCGGTGCCGATTAACAACCAAGCACAAGCTTCAAGCAGCCACTCAACTGCAAGGCGACCACACAATATCATCGAGATCGACTCTTCTGATGAAGACAATGAAGATTACAGCAATTATCGCCACTCAATCAAAACACCGACGTCAGTGATGATGGTCGACACCTCCAGCACTGCACAACAAACCACAGGAGCACCAACTAGCCCCCCTGCTGGACTGCCACATGAGATCGTCGAGCTTCATTCCGAGGATGACGAATACGGCCGCTCAACCAGAAGAGCTTCAACAACTTTCCCTCTGGTCTTACCCACCTCGCCCATAGAACTCACTGATGTTGACGAGAGTGATTCTGAGGCTGCAAATTTGTCAAATAGGTTGTTCGACGATGCTATGAGTATCAGTTGCTCTGATGAAGGTGTGTATACATTCCACCCTGAACCCTCATTTACCTCTTTTTCATAGAGCTGGTTCTTCCCCCCGGTGTTGCGGGGACCCATATTGACCTTACTCTTTCAAGCGGGGAGGAGGAAAACAGTGTTAGATGAATCTAGTTGTATCTACTTCGGCTCTCCTTTATCTGTTTCTGTACGTACTACAAACCCTGTACCTATGATGTCCGATCATTAAATAAATGAGATCGATAATATACATGAAGCCCGTGTTTCAGAGGAATTGGCCTTGACAAAGCTACCATGCCAGCTCCCTCAAATCCAGCAAAGGCCTGCAAGGGCAAGAACAACAAGAGGGCACCCAAATCGAAGACAAAGTCTCCACCAAAGCTTTCCGCCAATGACTATGCTCGTCTCCAAAAGGCGTCCGTCGAGAAGAAGAAACAATATGGGAAGTCAGAGAACACGAATAGCAATTACTGCGGACAGGTCAAGCGGGGGCAGGAGTTTGTAGCTCGATTTTCGGTAGAGCAAGCAGAGGCAGAAAAGCGGTGGCAGGAAGAAGGGGATGAAGTATTGTCGGGTGATGATGACGAGGATGAGATACACGAGGACGGACCAGCGAAGTTGGACCCCAACTTCCACAAGGCCTTCGACGGCTCCCCCATTGAATGCACGCCGCTCGCAATCTCCATGTTTATGACACACAAGTGCTTCACAGAGAATAGAAAGGCATCCACGGCCATCTCAATTCACGCTGCGTTTACACGATACTATGACCAAATGTATGTTTCCTGCTGAGTACGTGACAGCCACATACTTATGATGGTAAAGGGCGAACGACATGTATCGTGGACGTTGGCACTTCAATGACGCCCGCCAGAGATGGGAGGGCAATCCTACTCGCTCAGCAGAGGTTGAAGACATGCTTGATGCCTGCAAAAACAAGGATGGCGAGGGTGAGCGGCATCATTCCCGAGCCATGTCGCTTGCAGATGTGCAAGCTTTGTTTGCACATTCAGAGAAAACCTGTCCTTCCGACCTCGAGATCACAGATCAGAAGACGCTTGCGTTAAAGGCTGGCCATTTGTTTAACATAGCGTTCGCAAGCTTCAGCTGGTTGATCTGGACTCGGTAAGCCCGACGTCTTGCCCAAGAGTTCGAAAGAAAGCTCACATAAAGCCAGTGTGAATGAGGCAGCTAGTCTCCAGGCTAAACACGTTGATTTTGCGCCGCCGCCAAAGCCAGGTAAACCTCATCTGCCATATGTCAAGTTCAATCTGCGAAATCGTAAGAACTGGCAAAAAAAATCAAAGAATGGAGAGAACGGACTCAACGGTTTGTGCAAAATCTCCTGCCAAGTTATATGAAGTGCTCACTCTTCCCATATAGGGCATACCTACAATGTCTACCCACAGCCGAATAACCCCGCCATTGATCTTTACACACACGTTTGGAAATGGAAGGAATTTTATGAAACTCGGCTTCTTGGCAGGAAGCTACAGCCAAATGACTACATTTTCCCGTCCTTTGGTGTGAATGGGCTGGTTGCACACCCACATGTACCCATATCCTCTGACCTTATTCAAAAGAGGATCAACGAATGGACTGCGGCGGCAGGAATCAGGGGGGCAGGACACTTCACGACCCACTGCTTCCGGCGCGGAGGTGCGCAATACCGCTTTATGTTTGCACCAATTGGACAGCGTTGGACGTTGGCTCGGATTCGTTGGTGGGGAGGGTGGGCGATTGGCGAACACGTACGTATCAGCTTCGCATTTTTACGGAAGGCTAATGCTTGCGGATCTAGCGTGATACATTAATACGATACCTGCTCGATGAGTTATATACGTACGAGGAGGATCACAGTGACGCCCTCTGTCCTGTTGACTATGAAGCCAGCATGTCCCACATGGGTGAGACTGGGGAAACACAGCCTCTAACAGCTGCAGAAGGAATGGAACTATTCGCCGCGCAGTCTGCAGAGCAGCGCAGGATGTACGAAGAGATTCGAAGCTTAATTAGCGAACGTCCTCAGGTCATGCCTTTAAAACAGCCTGTACCGCCGCCCACGTCCTATGGATGTTTTATCAACCATGGTACTCAATCCGGCGACCATGTTAACTACCTACCCATGCCAACACAAGCACCCCCTTTTGTCTCACGTAGCACCTACCCTACAGCTGGGACTGGCTATGCGGCTGTACTTCCACTCCAGAGCTCCTCGGTGACGAATGTTATCGCAAGCGGCGCAGGCTGTCCCCTTCCCGTTGAGCCATCTGCAGTCGTGCCAGAGATCAGCCGCAAATTGGGAGCGACTGCCTGGAAGCAAGTTGTGCGCGACTGGGAGTATCCTGACCCCAGTCGTAACCACCACACGGCTCTCGAACATTGGAAACATGAGTGGCACGCTTCCAATCGCCAAAGCCAGTTATGGGGTCAGCGGCGAACAATTGCGCTGGAGTTCATTGAAGAGTGAGCCATGTTCAACAAAATACTGAGATTGACACTCACTGGTTACTTTCAGATTTGGGCGAGACGAAGCCTCATTCCTTGGGGCGTACCCAGAACATAAGGATGGCATCACGGCTCTCTTGCACGCAATCCGGGCCAAAGGGCAGGCGGAAGGTAAGATTCTGAGCCGCAACCGCCGCAAGAACACTGCGAAGTAGTTAGGTCAGTCGTTAAGCAGCTCAAAGGACCGAAAAACATCTGTCTACCATTTCCAACAACAATAGTATAATAATTACTCCTAATATCTTGATTTTTAATGCAAAAAGGTCACTAAGGGATCGCGAAATGTTGTGTCTTTGCCTGGTTGTTTTGAACTGAAGATGGGCCAAAGTTATTGAACACCGAATGAACAATATGAACAATACATAAAATGCAAAGGACCTACCAAGATTAAACTGATGAAGCCGAGAGGAGCTGTTGCGGCCGCTAAGCAAGCTCCGAACTGACGTGAATTGATGTATCCACAAACCCGGTTGAAGCCTGTCAGAGCCTGCTGGACGTGGACGCCGACAGTGACTCGCTCGCTGGCGCTCAGATAAACCAAAGCGACAGACGAGGCGAGCAGGACGCAGTCCAGCAAATTTTGCAAGTGAACTCGCAGATTGCAGACTGGTCCTCCCACCAGAGGACTGGGGGGTGCTGAGACGACACCAGCAGGGCGCAACGGACTAAGGGCGGGTGAGGGAGGTGCACGCGGGCCTAGAAGAAGTCGGGGAAGCCACAGGGACGAGCGACAAAGGCGCACGCGGAATCTAAAAAGAAAAAAAAAGACAGTAGAGAGTGAGCATGTTGGAAAAGGATCAAAGGGGATCCACTCACATCCATACGAAACAGAGAGCACAGAGGGACGTCGAAGGGATGTCCGCCAAACAAGAGAGGGACGGCCGAAATCGCGAAGAAAGGCACCTGGGAGGCAGATGCAGGTGATAACGACGGAAAAGCCGTAGGCACGGCAGGGGCAGAGTGTTTCCCCCAGGCAGCGAGGAGGTGGAAAGTGAGGGGAACGCGGGCGAAGCGACGCCCACGTCAACGGCGGAGGCTGAGATGCAGAGTGCGTTGAGGGAGGGGGCGAGGGAAAGACAGAACAAGGGGACGCGTCTTCTTTGGGCGCACAAAAGGCGAGGGCAGGGAAGCACGTGTGCACGTTGATAAGATGTGATTGATGTGATGGCATCAAAAGGGTCCAGAAGGGTCCGAGGCACGATCCCTGAAAAGTCTCAGGGATCTCCTGGATCGCTCCCACGAACCCCTTTCGGGACGAATCCTCTTAAATTCGACGACATAAGTATGGTGATCATGTGTGGCGATCTGTGTGGCGATCTGTATGGCCGGAAACGTGACATTCAACACGTGATGTTCAAATATTAGTTCTGCGTCGTGTCGCGTCGCATTGCGGGCTTCACCATGCTCCTTATTGACCTAGTTGAGCAGCTCAGAGGTCATGCCATGCTTCAAGAGATCTCCTTTAGCGTTCTTATGACATTTTCATAGGGATTGTCATGGCTAACCCCGGGGTATTCCCAGGGTTGTACCCATACCTGTCAGAACTTGTACCCGCGTCCACAGGTGTGGGTTTTTGCGGGTACGGGTAGCAGGTTTATAAAATCTCAGGGGTACCCCAACCCACGGGAGGGTACGCCTCCATAAATGACCAATGAACCTCGCAAGGGCAGTGCAAGTGTCAATCGACACTGCCGTGCGTCCTTGCGAGGATCGGAAGGTCAGGGGAATGGTAACTTCACCCCAGGATTTTGACAGCATAGGCAGGGTTGGTCTGCGAGGCGAGGTCCGTTGGTGGAAGTCGACGTTGTGAGGAATGATACATGGTGGGTTCTTGGGTCGTGGTGCTGTTGTGATGGTCGGTCGGCGGAAAGAAGGGGAGAGTTTGCGGACGCACCTTGCATACCCGCCCTCTCATTGTGGCTATCCCCAACATGCCCCTTTCACGCCTGCTCTTTGTACTCGTTTCGACAGGTTGCTAGAGATGGAGTAGTTAGTAATTAGAAAATAAAGAGAAATGCCAGGGGGAGCCCACCTGGGCCCGTGTCCGCTCACGTTTGTGGGCGGTCGTTTGCATTCGCGGGCGGGGGTCGTCGTGTCCTGGGCGCTCGTCATTTGTTTGTGGGTGTAGGGCTCGTTCGCCGGCGGTGGACGTCGTTCGTGGGTGGGCGGGCTGTTGTTCGTGCGCGGCACTGTCGCTTGTGTTGTCGTCGGCTCGTTCCGTGTTGTCGTCGTGCTGTGGCATCGTGTTTTCGTCATGCCGCATCGTTCGTATGTTGCCAGGTTGCTGACAGCGACGTGGCCTCTGCATCTGGAGTGAGAGGGGCATGGGAAACATTGGTAGGCACTTACCTGAACGACCTGGACAGCGAAGACGGCATGCGTCGTCACTGTCTGGACGACGTGGCACATCTGCCACGTCGTCTTCACTACCCACACGGCCACGCGCTAGTTTTGTGACATGTCAATCCCGGGTTGTTGCTGTCGTCGTCCGTGTGTGCCGGGGTGCTTGTGGGAGGTCGTCGACGGTAAGTAGTGGGTGGATGTCTTGTCTTCCTAACCGGTGGTGCGCCAAACATTCCGCCAAACATTTCGCCACATACACCGCCAAACATTCCAATTCTGACATTTTTTGCAGAAATGGGGTTCTCAAATAAGCAAATATTTTTGGGGTAGGGTTTCCGCGGAAAGGGGGTTTCTCAATAGTTTTATCCCTATTTTTGAGTAAGAAATAACTCGGATGGATTATCTTGACTCAAAAGTTCTTTGTGAGCGTAGTAGGAGAGTCGGTCATCTAAACTCCTTTAAAAATTGGGGTCCGCGCGGACTGAAGAACGGTCAGCGGTGACAATTCCATTAGCCGAGCGTCTTCTGTGTGAGCTTTAACTCCACCGTGCTCGTCCTCTTCGCTTTCAATTCATGAAGAGTCATTCGGAACATTTGTCCCCGCTGAGTCATCTATACAAAGTTTGGAAACGACGCCACGTATCTCCACCAATCTGTCGCTGGAGGCTCAGAGAGACTTTCCTCAATAATTACCTTGAAAGTAGATGTATTATGGAAGTAAACTATTATAAAGAAATTCCACTATAAAAATATGCTTGGGCTGTAAATATGCAGGATCAACATGTGCCCTATGGGGTGGCGTGGTAAATGTTAAGTCAGGATCGACGTACCGTTGAGCAGGTACTTGGCGCGGAATGTGATGTGGGTCAATAGCCCCGACTGGCTTCCTTCTTTCTGCATCGTTCTTCCGCAAGACCCCCGAGAGTTCAAAATACTACGTTTCTTAGCCGAGCGGGCCGTTTCCAGTTTTCTTTCACAGGGCCGCTCGTTTGAAATGACGAAATACCGTAATACAAGTATCAACATTCATCACCCATGCGTAGTGTTTTCCCTTCCGTTTTCATTATTCCGCTGATCGCAATCCACTTTTTTTGCATAGGGCGTACAACAGTTACGTATAAAGCAACGAACCGAAATACAAGAACACCAGAAGGATGGCACAACTCTTTGCAGGTCTGTCTTAGGTCCTGGTCAGAAGATTGCTATTCGTTCATTAGTCGGAGCATATGCGGACTTCGTGCGGCCTTGTTCAAACTTGCTTCTGGACTATTTCCACCGTTTATCGCAATGATTGGAAAAGCAGCCCACATATCTCTTGACTACAAAACAAGGTTGCCGGAGTATGATGTCGAGGACAAACGGAAGTAATTTGGCGTAAAGTATTATGTTACTTGGAATAGCATTCGCATATCTTAAATGGCTCGTTAGTAGGTTCGAATCAAGAATCTTAGGTAAACAAGGAAAGTGATGAGGACCGTCTTTTGCCGTGGCTTTTCTTATACCTCGCCAATCATGCATTCTATCTCGCCAATCATTTTTGAAAACGGGCCAGGTCTCTGTACACCCATGTCAGCGTATATTGCATATGGCGAAACATTCTAAAAATATGCCTGCAACGATTCGACAGTCACTAAGTTGAAGAAATCTATAAAGGCGGTCTCCCACAACGAGTGACGATAGGTAGTTCCACCAACATCAACAAATGGCGCCCCACTTCTTACAAAACCTCTTACTCACCAACGAGCAGCGTCAGAATGGAAGACCACTCTTTGCCAGCCTCCGTTGTTTAACATTGATTCAATGGGCCCAATTCTTTGTTGGGTACGTCATGATCGTTATCTTGTCGTTATCCCCCTCCATGCTAAATTTGTCTATAAACTTCTGTGAAATTTCAGGTGGTTGGCATGGACTTGCGATGCTGTAGATTCATTCTCAGTGTCTGTCACTATCGACAACCTTCAAGTCGAATTTAACAAGTCTGCCCATGACATCGTACGTTCTTTCTTGGAGTAGTGGTATTTGTATCTGAAACTAATTCTAATATTTTGTCTCTCAAGACCACGGCGATTACCCTGACGCTCTTATTTCGAATCGTTGGTGCCGTGCGCGCTTCTCCTCATATTTGTTGTTGTATCTACTGACATCCCACCAGTTAATATTCGGAATCATTTCAGACCGCTACGGCAGGAAATGGCCCCTCGTATGCAATCTCCTTCTCATCTCCGCCTTCCAGCTTGGCGCAGGTTTTGCTCAGACTTTTAGACAATTCCTCGTGCTTCGATCGTTCTCTGGTATCTTCATCGGCGGAATCTGGGGAGTAGCCACATCGAGCGTTCTCGAAAACGTTCCCCTTGAAGCTCGTGGTTTTATCAGTGGGGTATTGCAACAAGGTTACGCTGCGGGGTACATCATCGCCGCTGCAATCAATTTATCCATTGTTCCGGAAGCCAAGGGCGGGTGGAGGGCTTTGTTTTGGATTGCTTGTGGTTTATCGTTCGCTACCGCTTGCTTCCGGGCTCTACTTCCCGAGAGCGAGCATTTCCTGCAAGCCGAGAAGGACGATCGTGCAAGAACAACCAGGAAAACGGAAAAAATCTCGAAGGAGATCAAGGAGACACTGAAACGGGATTGGCTCTTGTGTATATATGCCGTTTTGCTGATGGGAGGTTAGAAATCTGTTTCTTTTCCTCGCTTTCTTTTTCTAAACTACATGAACTATTGTAGGCTTGACCTTCCTTTCTCACGCATCCCAGGTGGGCACCCAATTCACCATAACCATCCCGCTTTGGAGGTCGTTAATTTATATTGCTAGGATTTATACCCCGCGTTTCTCCAGACGACGAAGGGCTTCATACCTCGTGGTATAAAGGTTGCTTCTATTTTTGGAAATCTCGTAAGTCTCTTAACTCTGCTCGCATCTTTCCGTTCTTGATCAAGCAATTTTGTTAGGGTGGTACAGCGTGCGTTTTTATCACATACAGAGTCTGGCGTACGGTATAATAATAATATTCCTGCAGGGGAAGCTTGGTCGCAGGACACCTCAGTCAACGCGTCGGCCGTCGCTTAGCAATCATGTTCGTGGAGCGCAATTAGTACCGTCTCTCTAACTCTGATGTCCCTTGTTTACAGTAACATGGTTCTGATGGTTGGAGGTAAATTTATTCAAGTTTTTTTGATTTTTACGAAAGCTCAACGTGGCCCTTCGGCACAACGTAGCCTACATCCCTCTCTGGGTTCTGCCAAATTCTTTCTTCTGGATCGGTAATGGCGTTTTCTGTATGCAATCCGCCGTACAGGGTGCATGGGGTGTGGTAAGTTTTGCATCTCTATTACAATCACGAAATCCTTAATATAGTTCAGATCCCAATCTATTTAACCGAAATATCTCCACCCGCTTTACGCGCCGCTTTCTTGGGCGTTGCTTACGCCGTTGGAAATGTGGGTATTGAGCTTTACGTTTCTCACATTTTTACAAATATCTATTTCACGACAGATGATTTCGTCCGCCTCCATAGGTATTGAACGAGGTGCGTCGACCTACTTATAGCTCCAAGCTCTTCCTCATATAACACAACCACAGTTGCTGAGGAACGCTTCAAGACTACGGTTGTGAGAGACGGGCAATCGTCAATTGTTCCAGATTATACCAAGGTATGTATCTAACTATCAGCGGAATCGTACGTCGCACTCACTTTATGGCAATGCAGATTCAAGAAATATTCATCGGATTGGTAGCTCTTGTCATTGTCGTCATCACTCTCCTCGGGCCTGAGTGCGTATATTTTTCTATATTTATGTGGCGCCGGGACTAACCCCTCCATAGAAATCACGGATCTCGCTTCGAGCAGCACGAAGCAGCTTCGGATGACACCGTGGTCATCGATAGCCTGACTCAACGGTCAAATAATGATTCTGGATCGAATGGCTCCAACGTCATCATCGAGCTCAAAAAGGAAGGCGTCTGATATTTGGATTTGGTTTGGTACCTAACTTTCCTGTTCTCTTCCTATGCTGGCCGTTGTGTCGTGGTCTCCCCACTGCCTCAATACGTTGTTGATCAGCGGCTTGTAAAAAATGTTCTCCTTTCTATGCCCTCTGTCTTTTGATCCTTGTATAATAAACTGTGGAAATTTTTATTTATACAAAAACTTCGGTTGATCAATGGATGATGTGCATAGGAAGTGGTAATGATCTCACTTGAGCCATTTTGTGTACATTATTACGTAGATACAAAAACGAAGTGCTGCATTTGGAGAGTAGACAGCGAAAATTTGGATGAGGTAGTTCGTGATGCTCGTCAGTAGAATTAACGTCTGATTTGACACCTGTCTTCCTTCGGTTTCTTTCGAAGCGTAAACATTACATGCTTTTTCCACAGTTGGCAAATCGTCTTTCAACAATATTTTAAGCAGAAAATTTCCGAAGCTCGACCACCCAGCGTAAACCGAGCGGAATATGTTCTATTATATAATATATTGAGCCATTCGGTACAGAGCCGACGGAGCCCTCGCTCCACCTTGGTTCATCTTTGGAAGGCAAATTTTGATTTACATCAACAACTTATCACCTGAGCTTCTTCACGCCCCCAATTCTAAAAAATATAAATACCGCTCACATCTGACCCAAGGCTAGTATCAATTCCAACCAGTAGACAAGTCTTTCGATCTGCCCTGCCCTCCATGCAATTTCGAATTCTGCTCGTCCAAGCCGTCGCACTTCTTTTTATCAAAGCCTCGAAGGCGGCTCCTGTCAATCAAGCCGCCCAGACCAGCTGCCAAATCGGCGCTATTTGGGGAGGAGCCAATGCGGCCTGCTCCGCCAGCTGCATCGCACAACACGGAGACTTCCACGGTGGATATTGTGACGACCGTACGTTGTAAATCTGATGATATCATCTGTAAAGAGACCTAATAATTTTGTGCAGATGATGTCTGCCATTGCACCCATTAAATTCGTCAACATAAATATCAGACTCGGCTTGGTTCAAGGTGTGCTATTCTCTACATCCTGCTATGATCGCCTGTTTACAGTTGTCCAGTTGTCCCAGCGTGTCTATCCTCCATATGATCCTGATTTTGTGTATAATAATTTTATTGATTTCTCAATATCAACTTTTTATCCATTGCGTCGTCCTCGGAAAGGCAGAAGAATTTGTTACCGTCGTAGAGCTTTGAGCCAACACTTCGCTGAGAGGGGGGGGGGTTGGAAGTCACGTGACATAGCGACGAACTTTGTCACCGTTTTTCCCCAACACTGTGACCCTCACATTCTCCCCAGGTCGACACCACCGTCCTCACCATAAACCGACTCTCGACAGTCATTTCTACCTACTCATGACTCAGGCCTCAGGCCTCAGGGGGCATTGTATTGAGATGAACGCATGCAATGCAGAAAGGTTACACATTGCACCGGCTTCCAAAACACGAACTCACCTTGCGTTGAACACCCGTTGAAGCTCTTGTGTGCCCGACATCACCCTAAAGGGAGGGATGTAGGATGACATGTGCAAGCCCGAGGTGTAGGTAAGTAACGATCACTTATCAAATTCTTGACGATCGTCTTACGCTGAAAGCCGTCACCGGCACCGCTGTGACTACCCCGATTCAGTTGACGAAACACGACCATTTCCGTCGGCATTCCCGCCCCGTCCTCGTTCATCGATCGCATATAACCACTCGGTCGCTGTGCCATCTCCTGACTCCATCCGGTTACGTGGTAGACGAGTGCTTGGTGGGGAAGAATGAGGGTGTAATCGGGCTGAGGTCAAGGTGGCTGATGAGAAGTGGGATGTTTCTCATGAATATCACAAATGATCACAAAGGAACGGCAAAGCATTGAGGTAAGTTATTACGCAGTTGAACACCCCGGACGTGACTTACACGATATCAAGGTCCACCGTATTCCTTCACACACTCTACGCCATCGAGCGGGGTGCGTGTCCGAACGTGATAACGGGTCCTCATTCTATGGTTGACCTCCGGCGGTTCGGCTATGGAAAAAGTGGGCATGGCCGCTTTTCTAAACCTACCTCCAGAGAAGTAGGGGAATTGGCCAACGTCCAGCTCTTTGCGCAACTGAAGAACAAGGTACGTGATCCACCCGTTTTTGAACGCTGACGCTCGATACTCATATTGAACAATCTACTCGCTGTATTCTAGATCTGCATCCAATGAGTGCCGCCATGTAGATAGAGAGGCAGGGTGGACCTTGTTGTACGGATTTCATCTCAGCGACGGGAGTGGCGGGATTTTCGCCACCCACGACTTTCTTCTGTTTAGCCTCCACCCTTTTTTGTGCGTCGTGTTTATTCCTCCTTCTACAATGGCACCTTGCTTCCTATCGCAGTTGTGCTGCCATATCTCTTCCAACGCGTATTGTCAATGAACACTCTGTCCTACCCCCGACAATGTCCATTCCTCAAATACGCTACGCTTTCCCGTCTCGCGTTTTTTCTCCATGTGCATAATTTTAACGTTCCCTCATCGGCTCTCGCCCAGGCCGATTGTGAAGTAACCCGGGTTGAAGATAATTGTTACCAAGCCAACATATATGTCATGTTTCGATACAATGATGATAGTGGAATGTACTACTACAAAAATTCGACGGATTCCTGGGATGCAAGTTCGTTTATCAAATCCCTCAGGCTGCTGCTTCGAGCGGTTGTACTCTGTCCGCTTAACACTTGCATTCCTCAGGCTTGCACGCGCAGCTGGAAGTTCATCAGCAACTAGTGTTCCACCGACAACACAGCGACTCACTTGGTGCAGTTGCAGGTTGTGCTTCCGCATCCTGCCTCATTAACAGGGGCGGTCCCGCATGTGCAGCTACAAGAAACATACATCAGACATCGAAATCTCCCCCAAAAAAAAGAAGGTAGTTCCGGCTTACCTCGTGCACTTGCACGACGTGCAGCAGCATCCCGTGGAAGAAGCTCGAGAGATAGGGGTCAAGGTGTTCTAAATCGCAAGAAAGTTAGGCAACATATTCGAAAGATCGTAACCGATGGTACTCACAAAGAGCATGATGATTTTCTGGAGTTCTGGTTACTGGTAGCTTGAGTGTGAAAATGATGAGCTACCCAAACCTCGTTCCACTCTTTATAGTTTCTTGGGGTGTTGGGTTATGTTTATGGTTGAGGCATTTGTGCGTCAGCGCCAAGAGTCGCTGACAAATGGCATCATCCAAAAAACCACGCAATGATTGGTCACCTTATTGTTCAAAAAATCGCTCAGTGACGAGGTGGTGAGTCTTATACTCAGTTCTAGCAGGTGACGCGTGCGCTGTGAGTCATTTTTTCCCTTTGGAGTACAAGAGGAACTAAACGAGCCTAAATTAGACCGCACCTTGGTGGTGCTGCAGCTCCAGCTCTACATATCCACATAGCTGCGTAATGATCGTGACATGGTGCAGCTGAATTTGAGGGATAAGGCATCCTCCTTCCCCGACGTGAACGCGTTGAGTTTGCAATGTTCGGACGTAGAAGCTGTAATCTGAAGCCCCATCACAGATTTGGATACTGGAAAACGACCACATAATATTGCTGGTCACTAGCCACGCCTTTGGATACTGGAACGACCACATAATATTGCTGGATTGCGTCACCAAAGACCATTCCGCGTTAGAGATCTACACGGACATCACACGATCATCTCAACGCCTCACACTGTCTTCACCCATCAATGAACGATCCGACCAATACGCCTCTCCCCGCTCACAGATTTCGGTTCTGTGAGTTCCCTTCTTTGTCACGTTTACAACAATATACCTCCTTGGTAGACTGGAGAAAGGCAAACACCAACTTCGAAGAACCTCGCACGACGTTGACGCTGAGCTGAGCTACGGAACCCTGGTGAAGTATTTTTTCTGGAGGGACCGAATGACTCGGGCACGTTGTGGACGCACTGCAATGCTACACTAACAAAAACTCTGGGGGGTCGTTTTACTGGTGTACTTCCCACAGCTCACGACATTGTCTGCGAAATGAAACACAGCCGAACGGTAGGTCAGTGCAGAAGAGAAGATAGGCATCTTCGACTGCGCCGGACACCGAAGGCGTCAGGCCTCAGGTTCCGAACTTGATGCGAGGGTCGCTCCATCGCTTGGGAGGAGATGGGCCTCCGTCGTATCCGAAGCTCATAAATCCTCGAGACCACGGCGATCATGCATATTTTTGGCAACCGGAAGGACTCAGTAGTCGTCGAAGACTTGTTTCTTGTTTCATGAGTCTCCGACAATGGCTTCCTCCGCCAGTGTTGCGCAACTGGATGTTTAACATGTGAGTTTTCCGTTGGCTGACCCAGGTGATCGCTGAAGCGGTTTATGTTACAGCTGCGCGTTTTATAATTCCTTATCTCGCAAACGACTTCGATCGGAGGTTTCATGTGGATACGAGGACGCTCGATCTTTCGGCGAAACCTATTGAACATTCAGGAAAAATTTGTTAGTAAGGTCGTCGGCTGTGATGGAATTAAGAATATGGTACAATGTCTGAACTGTGCAAAACGTGCAATATTTCATCCGTTAAATCACAGGTACCCGGAGGCAATTGATAAAAGACAAGAAGAACCAGATTGCTGTAAGTCAACGGTACAGAAGTTGTCGAAAACCACGCCAACAAAAGCCATTGATTCCTTAGTTCTCGGACCACGGAGAAGGATGCATCTTGTGGTCCGCGGATTCAATTCGGTGCTAACATTCAAATACAAGATTTAATATCCGTTTCTCTCCACAAGGCCCCCGAAGACATCTCGTGCGCAGGGTTATTTACGTGTACGCTTCTATTTGTGCTTTCATTTCTTTCACTCTCCTTCACATTCACCTCCGTTACTTACCGGTCTTTAATCAAGCCACAATTTTCTTGTGAACTCTCGCTTTCGAGGACGTTAAGTGCAAGAAAAGAAAACGAGGGCGATATGGGTTGGATATGGGTTCTGTTATTTAACGTGACAGTTTTATTTTTAGAAGCGGCGGTTAGCGATGCCGAAATCTATTTTTAGCCCTCGAACAAGTGCAACGCCGTTTCCTTGCCGTTTCCCTTCATCTGGTCACGGTCAGTCCCAGACTTACTACAATCAAGCACCACCAGTATGTAAGTTCGTTTTGTAAATGTCTTTTCTTTGAACATAATACCGCTTAAAATTTATAGATGGTTTTTTTTCCGGCCGGACTTAGCTATTGGATTTTTCAACCATAATTCAAGATGCACTCCTACTCAAACGACAAATCGATTATCGCCGTCCTCAATAGGATAAATATACCTCTCACGAACGTGTCCGAAGCAGCGTCTAATGTGTTCGTCGCCCATAGCATTCGTATCTTGTACATGTCGCTCACGTCACTCCCCTGACATTCGAGTGAGACTTGCAGGTCTCCCCTTTCCAGCGGTTGATCGTCTTCTGATTCCTAGAAGCGAGACTTCCATCCAATTGCTAACGACATCCTATGCGGCTATATTTTGAGTTTACCCGACCAACTGCGCAAAGCAATCACTTATCGAAACATTGCCACAAGCACGGAGAGACACTACCCGAGACGCCACAGCCCTCTCCAACTATCCCCATGTGACAAGGAGAATATCTATGTTTACGTGTTCGTGTGCCAACGTGCGTATGAAAAGACCTATATTAATCCGCTCGACACCTAACATTTTGCGAATAGTGATCTTGACGCTATGGCAGAACCCTCATTGCCGCTCGACAAAGACCCAAGGTTCAAGAGTGAATTGGAGGAGTTTGATGACGGTAGACCTCCATTCTGTCTGACGTTCCCCGAGGTGAAATTGCTTGGAATCGCTGGAGTAAGTAAAGTTCATTCTTCTGGCGTCACGTGTGGGCTGATATGTGGTTGAAAAGGTCGGGTTCTTTTTGGATGGTAAGCGCTTTAACTCCCAAAATCGAGCTGTTTTGGTTAAACGATGACCTCCCAGCCTACGACTTATTCATCATCAATGTAGGTCGTCAACTGTAGACTCTGGTTGTTAGCTGACGCGAATACCCCGTATTGGTAGCCTGTTGCTACCATGCTTCAATATCGTTTGTATGGCGGGAATAATCTCCCCACAAACTTGGAAGGGTTTCTCAAAGCTGGGGCAAATATTGGTAGCGTTATTGGTCAATTTGGATTCGGCGAGTATCACGATTTCAGCTCATCCCCTCTGAAATTTAAACCTGGAATAATTTTCTAGGGTATCTTGCTGACTCTCTGGGTCGCAAGGCCGTTTGTAAGACCATAGCCCTCTGTTATTTTTGGAATTATACGTGCTAACTCCATTTCAGATGGGAAGGAACTCGTGCTCATCATCGTAGCGACAATTCTGTCGATCTCAACACCTACCGGAACTCTCTCTCCAAATCACTGTCTCATCTACCTAGCCATGTTCCGCATCCTCCTTGGCATTGGCGTTGGCGGGGACTATCCCATGTCTGCTTCTGTAACCTCTGATCGATCTAATCTCCGGAAGCGCGGCACTATGCTCGCTTATATTTTCTCAAACCAAGGGTGGGGAAGCTTTGTCGGTAGTCTGGCCACCATCATCGTTCTCGCCATCTACAAAGGCGCGATTGAGGGGAGACACGAAATATCCAAGGTTGACGGCGGTAAGTGGTTTAACCCAAGCTTGCCCTCACATTCAACTGACTTAAACGAAGTTTGGAGAATCCTCGTCGGCCTCTCGCTCATTCCTGCCTTCGGAACGCTCTATCAACGACTCACTCTGCCGGAATCGAACCGCTACAACGCATCAAAGACCCTGAGACAAGTCCCTGATTCACAAGATGATGTAGACGAATTGAAGAAGGAGGAGCAGCCAAAGGTGGAGGTTGTCGAAGTAAAGGAAATAATCAAGCAGAAGGCCCACTTCAGAGGTAAGTACTACATTAAATTGCAATGTTTTCCGTGGTATTGTCATCTGAACTTTTGTAAAGAATTTCTCATTTACTTTTCGGAGTGGAGGCACGCAAAGATTCTTATTGGCACTTGCACATGCTGGTTTCTCCTTGATATCGCGTCAGCCCTCTTTTTTTTTTTATCTCAACGGGAAGCTGAGAATTGAACGCGTAATATCTAGGTTTTATGGAATTAACCTCAACCAAAACGTTGTCCTTCAACAAATTGGGTTCGCGGGGAACACCGGCTCTCAATGGACTCGTTTATTCAAGATTGGCCTCGGAAATCTTATTATCACTGCGTTGGGATTTGTTCCTGGTAAGAACACATATAACCCCCTCGGCATTGTGCGTGACAAATGTAATATACCTACAGGATACTGGGCCACCGTCTTGACGATTGAGATCCTCGGCCGAAAGTGGATCCAGATACAAGGTTTCTTGATCGCCGCACTGCTTCGTGCGTTCTCTTTTCGTCCCTTCGAACTTGCATAATTCAAGGAATCACATTCTAGTTGCTGTCATTGCGGGAAAATTCCACGACCTCAGCAAACCTGCGTTCATCGTTTGCTTCGCCCTCTTGCAGTTTTTCTTCAATTTCGGGGCCAATTCGTTCGTTGTCTTTCTTTCAACCTCAATCTCAACTGACTTGTTTATATTTAAGCACAACATATGTGCGCATATATTTTTCTTGAGATTCATTTTTATGTTCTGATATTTCGTATCTGGCCAGTGTTACCCAGCCGAAGGTGCGAATATTGTCTTTTCTATAGTCACGGCTAACGCGCGATCTGCTCAGTCTTCCCGACCCGCTTCCGCGCCTCAGCTCATGGCATGTCAGCCGCCGCGGGGAAGGCGGGAGCTATCATTTCGGCGCTCGTATTTAATACTCTTTCGAAGAAGATTGGAACCCCCCACGTTCTATGGAGTACGTCCCAACAACAATTCACTTGGTCTATAAATAATTTATCTCTTGAACTCTCCACAACAGTATTTTTTGGTTGTTGTATCGCTGGAGCTGGTATGTGTTTTCTTGCTTGGGAATCAACTTTTTCCAACCTCCAGGTAGTCTTCACGCTCCTCCTTCCTGAAGTTAAAGGTCGCGACCCGGACGCCATCTTTGCGGCTGAAATTGAAGAGAAACGCATTGCGACGGGTACTAGGAAGTAATGAGATACCCAATAGGCCATGTCGACGGGCATCATCACGACGCGCTTTGAGAATTATACGACATGTAATGTAATATTTTGGATTTGCGTAAGTATTCTTGCCTTAGGGTATGTGCAAACCTTATGAGGAATGTATGGCTCTATATAATAATACACTACAAATGGAAGGCAGCACCTGCCAAATGAGTGCGGGTCCACAAGTAAATAAAATCTGTGGAATGGTCTGTTGCTGGTCTAGTGTCATAGCGCCAAATGTACTGTCACATAGTAAGGGTGCAATAATGCGTTGTAAGCATGATCGTCTGGAAAATGAAAGCTCTAACCAAGTTCCAACCGATAATTGATATGTGGTGCATGACGTCGTCCCATTGCTCAAAGTTCCTGAGATCAAACGATCTCTTTTTACCCGCGGATGGGGATATCATTGAGCGTGCCTCTGGTTTCCCCACTAGGTTCCTTGAGTTCTCCATTTAAAGCTTCTCCTTTCAACTAAAATGCGTGCTTGGGTATGAATTATCGCACAAATGAAACTCGGAGAAATATCGGTAGGGAAGTAATAGGTCCGTTGTTTGAATTTTGAACTAATTATTGGTAATAGTAACTGTCGCGTTCCTGTACTCAAGTAATGGGAATGGACCAGCCTTAGAACAAAGACCCTCGTGATTAGCGATTTTAGGCGATATAGATATATGCGATCGTACCCCAAGCAAGCACAAATGGGTAAGTGTGAACAGCGCTTGTCCGCTCGAAAGGGAGCTCGGGACGGTCACGGTGAAGTTCTGGTAAAAGCCACCACCACCATGGGCTTGGGGGTCAAAGGGGCCAGCATAGAGAACACTTCCAAGGCGCTCGCTCGGCGACGGACACTGCCCGTTAACGCACGAAATGATTGCCAAAGCGATCCCGACTTCAGTACAACCGATGATACTGTCCTGAACAGGATGTCAGCAAGTTCAAGGCGGAAGTTGATGGAATGCACACGGGTCGATCAATTTTCGCTGTCAACTGCCCGCCAGCGTGGAGAACATCGCCATTCGTTGGGTATCCGATGTCGATGGTTTGGGATGTTGCCGTGAAAGCGAGAACGATAAAGACCAAGAGAGACAGGAGTTTCATTGTAGGGGAAGGAAAGAATGGGCGTCCATCTCAAAGACGGCAGTTCTTAACCATAACACGGTCTAGGATAAGGATCAACTGATGACGTAGAACCAAAAGTTGAACCAATCTCCACATCCTAACACACCAGTCAAAGGTAATTCAACAAACGACACAACTTTCCTGAGTTCAGCTCTGTTCAGCTGTATACAAGTCAAAGAAAGTCGCGGTGCGCACCTTTTGGCTAAGTACAACCCAGTTCTATTTTTAGATCGATCGCTCCGCGTATGCTGGCGTGGTATCATTTGATTTTATTCGATCCGGGGTTCCTTGTTAGCCTGTGAAGTCGTCCATATTGTCACTTGAGGCAGGGTCCAATGTGTGATCTAGGCAAAGGTACCTCCCACGAGAAACATTGCCCAACATTACCGATCAGGATATCTTGAGAAAGTGCGACACTTTTTCTTCCCGGGAGCATCCTGATTATATTCAATTTTTTTCTGGTGGGGAAAGGCATGGGATTTTTAAACATCCGGGCCAAGAAATTTGTTTTGCCTTTTCTTAGCTGGTAAAGGGCGAACAAAAGCTGAAATATTTAAAAGGTTTTCCTGTTTGTGATATTGTAGTAAAAGTTAAACAGTTGAGTAAGATTAAGAGGAAAGCCGAAGGAAAGGGATTCTTTGTTTTCGCATGCCATGGAAAATTGATACATGGTGTGAAAAGAGGCGGGAAAGAATGAAATTTCTGAGAAAGGACTCTTTGTTCGGATCTGTTCAACTATTCCGAGTGGGAACATTCAAATTTTTCCATTCACTTTCCTCTTTGTGGAAAGGGTAAAATGCAATTACAACAAAGAGTATTACCCTACATATTTATTAACCTGCCCCCGCAATATTCCAGCCCGGAAAAGGTGTCGCACTTGCTCTGGCTATCCCAGTTTGGGATCTTGCGCTATGTTTCTCGTGTCCATAATTGTCGACACTTGTTGAATAATAAAGCTGATGTGCATCCCGAAAATATTGATTATCAAAATCTCAAATTGATGAACAATAAGAACATTGAGCACAACGAGTGGTCATTTCCGTTATTTTATTCTTCAACATAATCTTCAGCTGAGTGGTGTTGCCATGGCTACCAAGATTATTTCCCAAAGAAATTGTTTAGATATGTAAATTGAATGTGCTCAACATTCTTATTGTTTCTTCATTTTGTAATTTTGACAATTGATGTTTTCCGGATGCACACCAGCTTCTTTATTTTACAAATGGCCACAATTATGGAGGTACATATGTCCAAATTTGTCCTGAATATTCTTTGGACCCTGTCTCAAGTGTGTATATTCTGTGATCGTCGGTCTGTAGTGTAAGTATTTCGTTCGGAATTTGTAGGATGATTACGTATTCACCAAGCTTGCCCAAAATCAGCCTAATTGCCTTCTACCCATTGCCGCCCTGCCACCTCCTGCCACTCTCCCAATCAACTTCAAACTGGTGGTGCATTTCGCCCCCTTGGAGTTAGTCGGAACCTTTATTGTTGTTGTGCACAGGACTTGCACAGGACGCCCTTAGATGCCCCTAGGATACCACATCGGAGGATCCGTCAGGAGTGACATCAGGTCCAGAGTGTTCAGTTATCGATGAAAAACTGGCACACGAGCAGAAACTGAAGACCATCTTATCAAGGTACGTCCCTCGCTGAGATTCAAATATTTTCGCCTCATGCGACTTGCCGCCCCAACAGATCAATCACGCGGTTGGACGTGTCAAGGGCTTGGCAGCCGAACTGGGGGAGGGAGATCCAAGGAGATCCAACTTATTTATTGGCACACGACCATAAATTCGCCCTCTCTGTGTGATCCCCTCACCAGAGCAAACGGTACACCTCTCGCTTCATCTCAACCCATCGAATTCGCCTCATATCAGATCCATCGCCAATTGCTAGGCTATGTCAGTGTCACTGCAAGGACATCCACAAGCTGCATCGTCACCAGGAGCTACACGTTCTCTGACAGAGTCGGCCACACATGAAACCGCCTTGGAGGAGTTTGAAAGGTCTGACGGAAGACCAGCATTTGTGTTGACGTTCACCGAAGTCAAATTGCTGGGAATTGCTGGAGTACGTTGCCACTTTTCATGGACCAGCCTAAAATGCTTTAACTTTGTCGTTTGCAAGGTCGGTTTCTTCTTAGACGGTGAGGGATGAACCTTAGTAGGATGTTTCGTTGATCGCTTACAAGAGTCCCGTAGCTTACGACTTGTTTATCATCAACGTAAGCGCTCCCTCTCTCACTTCGTAAGCCGGGTTGATGATGAATCGTATAGCCTGTTTCTACCATGCTTCAATACCGATTGTATGGGGGTAAAAGTCTGCCTCCTAACCTCGAAGGGTTCGTCAAAGCAGGTGCAAATATTGGCAGCGTGATTGGTCAATTCGCTTTCGGTGAAGACGTTTCTTGAATTTACTTCGCAATCATTGGATGAACTTGGATTGTAGGATACGCCGCGGACTCCCTCGGTCGAAAAGCAGTTTGTAAAGTTTCCGCGTTCCATACACAAAACAAATCACTCACCCGATTACAGATGGGAAAGAACTCATGCTCATCATCCTCGCCACGATTCTAACGCTCACAACCCCCACCGGATCTCTCTCCCCAGAGCATTGCCTCATCTACCTTGGGATGTTCCGTATCCTTCTCGGGGTGGGCGTCGGAGGGGATTACCCTATGTCTGCATCTATCACCTCCGACCGATCCAACCTTCGCAAAAGGGGCACCATGCTCGCGTACATATTTTCAAACCAAGGCTGGGGGAGCTTGGTTGGGAGTTTAGCTACTTTGATCGTTTTAGCCATTTATCGGCCCGCCATTGAAGAAAGAAATGAGCTTTCGAAGATCGATGGAGGTACGATAACCCTTATCACAGTCAACGATTACTACTCATTATCCAATTACTTCTTTGTTTACCCTAGTCTGGCGCATCGTTGTGGGAATCTCGCTCATTCCCGCATTCGGGACGCTCTATCAACGTCTTACTCTCCCAGAGTCTACGCGCTTTATCTCCGCGCAGAAGCTGAAGCTCGCAGGGCAACACACCGAAGCGCAGCCCCGTGATATCGCAGAATTCGAGAAGGAGAAAGCCGATGCTGATGAAAAACCCTCAAAAAATGGAAGCGCAGAGATCGTGGCGGAGACGAACGAGTCCATGGACGACAAAGATTTGCCGCTGAAAGTCTTAATCAAAAAGAAAGCTCACTTCAAAGGCATGGTCTCACTTCCCCGCCTTGCACAGAGTAGCTGACGACTCTACAGAATTCTTAATTTACTTCTCTGAATGGAAACACGCAAAACTCCTCATTAGCACTTGCATGTGCTGGTTCCTGCTGGACATCGCGTGGGTGTACCCCTCTTTCCGTCCATTTCGCGTAACCGAAACACATCCACTCCACAGATTTTATGGCATCAACTTGAACCAGAACGTCGTCTTAGCACAAATCGGCTTTGATGGGAAGTCGGGCACGGAATGGAACCGACTCTTCAAGATCTCCACAGGTAATATGATTATTACTGTTCTCGGATTTGTACCTGGTACGTCGGCGTCTCTCTACTATTCCGTACCAATATCAAGTGAATGGTTCGTGACCAGGTTATTATGCTTCAATCTTTACTATCGAAATTTTGGGACGAAAGTGGATCCAAATCCAGGGATTCTTAATGGCCGCCCTTTTCCGTGCGTTTAAACTCAATCTTTCATCCGCTTCAGACCATCTTATTATGAGTTACAAGTGGGCATTCTGGCTGGCAAATTTCACGAACTGAGTAGGGGTGCCTTTATCGTTTGTTTTGCGTTCCTGCAATTCTTCTTCAACTTTGGAGCAAACACGTGAGCCCTTCCGTTTATCGGCAGGAACTAATTAGCAACCTAACCTTTCAATACCACAGCACGACTTATGTACGTTTTCAACACTCTATGAATGCTCCTTTCAACACTAAATAACCGGTACTCTTCTCTTGATTAGTGCTATCCAGCAGAAGGTAAGCCCTCTTCTCCCTCATTTGGGTTGTTTGAAGAAACACCTTCAACAAATAGTATTCCCAACCCGATTCCGCGCCACAGCGCACGGTATATCAGCGGCGTCAGGCAAAGCGGGCGCCATTATATCTGCGCTTGTCTTCAACACACTTTCGAAAAAAATTGGAACGCCAGCTGTTCTTTGGAGTACGTCCTTTACCATTTCATAATGTTCCTTTCTTCATGGATAATTTTATTCGAAACGCTAGTTTTCTTTGGATGCTGTATCACAGGCGCATGTAAGTCCTTCCTTCCATCAAGCCCTATGCGTTCGATCAGCGAAATAATTACCTTCAATCCAGTTTTCACCCTTCTACTTCCCGAAGTCAAGGGACGTGACCCTGATGCGCTCCTCGCCGCTGAGATCGAGGCGAAACGTGAAGCTTCTGTTGGAATCTGAACCACGAGCGAAGATATCTTTTGAGATTGGTTTGGTCCACCCTACAGAGCAAATAATTTGAAAGAGAGTCAATGTCGCTTGATATGTAAAAATGTATAGTTAGTGGTGTGAAATATCGTCGAAAGCGAGAGGGAGTTCCCAAATAAAGTGAAGTGCTATGCCCTACCAGTATATCGGCGCACCTATGAGTCGGCCAATTTTGATCGTACACCTTCCACAAAAGTTGTTGCCACAAAAATTAGTATATGACCTCCTAGCTCTAATCCAGTCCAATTTCCCCTGTTTCCGTCAACAAAGTACGAAGAATTGGACGCTTGCCGACCGCCGACATCAGAAGCCTTCAAGAAGAAAAAGCGAAGGCGCTATAGCCAAGTGGTTACGGCGACAGATTCGAATCCCTCCGTATCTGTTCCTCTTTGAGGGCGCAGGTTCAAATCCTGCTGGCGTCGTTTTTGCAAAGTGAGATTGAAAAATGAATCGCTCCCGCACGTCTATCTATCCATTCCGCTAGACTCGGACCGAGGACGTTCCGGATTCAGAACTCTTTGCGTCGGACCAGTCCCGAGTCAGCCTACGGTAATCGATTGAACGACTGTCTTCCCTTTACAAAAAGGGACTTGGCTCGAGTCTACCTTTCCGCACACTAAATTCTACACCAAACACAACTCATCATAAGAAGGGAAACGCAGATATTGAACAGTTTGTCACGTAGCTAGCTAGAGTCGTATGTGGGAGAAACGTTGCACCCGACCAGTGCCGGCCATGGAGAATGATTTTGGGTTCAAATATGTACCACGAACCTCTGCGGCTCGCGGGCTATCTTCGCCAAATTCCGCCACCCTTGTCTCATAAGTTAGCTTGGCCCAATACTTTGACGACTCGTAGTCCGAGTGATATGCGCAAATTAACGCGGCATCGTTGGTGAAATCGTCGTAGTCCGCTGCATATCCCTCCTCCTCCAATAAATTGATCGCTTGAACGATAGTATTCAACCGTTGGATTGTCTGGTTTGGGGGAAACATAGGCACCTTGTCCCATAACTCGTTGACTTTCACTCGCCGGCTATCGCTCAAAATCATCTCAGCCTTGGGAAGAGAGCATACCGAGCAAGAGCAAGTGAAGTGGTAGCGAGAACGGAGTATCCCCTGCCTATGCTGCCGAGTTTGACCATACAATCTTCTGGAACTGAGATACGCAACACAGATTTCTTCACCAACAGGTATGTCGCTCAGCGCAAAAATGCGGAGTTGACCATTTGTCGGATTAAAAGAGAATCTGGCGTTCGGGGAGCATGAGTGATTGAAGCGAGATGCTGTCAAACCGATACCACCTTGATCGTCGGTGAGCGCAAAGGAGTTAGTGGAATAGATGCCAATGGCACGCTGACCCGCCAGGAAACAGGAACAATCCGCATGCCCGTTGGAGAGGTGCAGGAAACTATTCAGATGAGTTGGTGAAAGTCCGCGTAACTCGGCTTGTATGGCGAGCTGTGGTTTACCGGTCCCGACGATGACGACTGGCTTTTCGGACAAGATGAGATCTCCTCTGCGGATTTTCTTGGTAGCGAGGGCACAGCAACCTCTCTGAGTGTTTGATTCGCGGATGGTGAAAGGATCTCCCTCCTTCAAGCCAATAGCGTGAACTTCATTCGCAAGGTGATCAGTGGGATCCGGAGTAGTTGAAGGTGATAGGTTGATATCCTCAACAGGGTATTTTGAAAGTAATTCCCGGGCTTGCGCTGCTAAAAGGCGATCCCCTCCGCCGTTGATGAACAGGTCTAGATCTGTGTAACGACAGTGATAATGAGCATCATGACGTTTACGGTGGATTACGAATTGTGAGCTGCAGATCAGTACGAACCTTCGTTCGCCTGTTTGTATTTCCCTAGTTCCCGTCGTGCCATAACCCTCCTGTAGATAGCTTTTAAATGTCCGGGGGATATTTTGAGAGTTTCCGTGCAATCTATTTCCGCTTCCGACCACCTGTCAACCAAGAGGTGAGCAACACGACCATCGACTACTCGGAAACACGAAACCTTTCAAGCTTCAAATTCGCCATCGCCCGATTTAGAGGGTAAATTTCATTCAAGGGGTCGATAGACAGCGCATGAGTATAGAGGGACCTCGCTGTCCGGTAATCCTCGTTTTTAAACGCAGTGTTTCCCTAGCATTCAACCGATGTTTTGATCCTGCTCTCAACAGTACGATGAGGCAATGACATACCTTTTCCTTACAAAGCACAGCGAGATCGAAACTCGATGGCATGTTTGTTGAGAGGTTTTGGCTTGGGGTCAGGGCGAAAGGAGTTCGTGAATATGAAAAAAGGCGCTCGTAAGTACAGCCTCAGGCCTCATGCACAGGCCTGAGCGCCGTATCAGCGCTTTCCACCTGGTCGAAGATTGAATGAAGATTGGTTCAATAATGGGGCAAGAGAGGTTACAATCACAAGTCGGAAGAGTGCCTAATCCTGCTTTGGGTATTCGTGAGTTTCCGCCATTCAACGCATGGACTATGGATGTTGACGATGAAACAGCTGAAAACGAGAAATGTGGCCTGTAAGCTCTACTCAACCCCTAGCTGCGCCCTTCCCACCGCCATGCCATCTCTCCCTCTCCACCACGAACATCGCACCGCGTATCGTCACCAGCGTCCACGTGTCTTCCTCCACAGGCGTCGACGCAGCATCCGCTTTCTTCGTCGGGACATACGGCCGTGCCCACTGCGAACTCCCCGTCGCACTAGGAACACCAGCAGCTGGAGCCGTAGTGGTTTCAGGTGACGCAGTGGTGGGACATCAGGAAAAAAAAAAGTATAGGTAGTTTGCCCCTTGTATACATTGTCCCCATTGTTCTGACAATATACCCAGTAGGCTGGTATGAAGGTGGTAGACGTTGGTAGTTTACAAGTCATGTGCTAGTAGTCCTGATACACCATCAAGTGATGTCAGTTGCTCGAGTTGCTTGAGTTAACCTCACACTACCATTAGTAGCCTGGGTATTATTAGTTGTCCCGGTACATTCACATAGAAAATTGCATTAGACTCTTGAAATATTGATGTTGTATACGTCGCGTACAATATACATGAAGATCGAGCAAGTATCGGAGAAGATAGAAATCATGCTGATGAAACCGGTGCTGTTGCCTAATTCTGAATCAGAAATGTTTCTAAGTCCATTCGAGCTCCGATGCCACGTGATTCTATGTTGACTTCTCACGGAAGGTTCAACCACAATCGTTCGTTCTTTCTTTCCCTCCCACCACTGACACCACGTACATTTATCTTACACGATGTCAGATTTGTCGTCGTCGTCCATCGGTGAGCACCCCTGTCCCAACCCAACTGACTTGACCCACCAAGAGATGACTACACGACAACTACAACGGCACAACGCAACGACGACAAAAGCCGGCGATGACACAACAGCGATGGACGACAATGACGGATGACGATGACAGACGACGACGATAGACGACGACAACTGCACTACGACGATAGGAGACGACAACCACACTACGAGGAAAGGTGACGAACACACGACAATAGCATGACGATGACTGCATGCAACGACGATTACACGCAGCAACACACGGTAACACCACTAGCGGCGACGACCCACCACCACTCCCAATCAACGCCAACGATGGCCAGCGCCACACCCCACCCATGCCAACAATGGCCCACACCAACGCCAACAACGGCCCACCACCATGGCCCACCAGCACCCCCATGAACGGCGAGCACAGCTCATCACCAGCACCCACGACGGCCCACCACCCCACCAACGCTGACAATGGCCCACCACAACACCCACGAACGGCGACGACGACCCACCACGCTCAGTGACAACGGCCGAGCACCCCGTCCCACCAATGGTGAACACGGCCCCACCCACAACGACGACGACTCACCAACACCCTCCCGAACGGCTGCAACGGCCCACCAACTGCACGAGCAGATTCAATTGTGCAACGATGGCTCAGGTGATTGCAGCTCAAGTCATAATTCTGGTGTGGTTAACAAAGAAGCTGCCATCGTTTCTAGGCGTGTTGGTGACGCCAAGGATCGGGTTCAAATGGAGTTTGATGGCCGAACTGGGGATACCAACAGTGAGTTATCAGCCTAGGTACATATTAGTATTTGTTTGATAGTTAGAACTCGCAATGCAATTTTCTATTTTCGTGATCCCCAGCATGTGCCAAAATAAGCATTGTTAGTAGATCAGGTAGCTGCTGTAGGCAGGAACTACTGAGTGCTACCTTCGAGTATGGGGGGAAACTGAGATGCTACCAAGATACTACTGGTATCTACTGCAGTACAAGGGAAGACTACTGGTGTCTACTACAATGCAAGGGAGAACTACCGAAGCAACATATGGGGGGACTTGTATACCAGGCTACTATAAATACTGTGGCTATTTAGAACTACATAATCAAGTTATTTTTCCCTGATGGAGCTACAGGACTAGCGGAGGCTACTGCTGCTGGGGAAGGGATGATGGGAGCAGCGGGGGCAGGCTTGGGTTTAGGCATACCGTTGGCAGCTGCTGCGTTTGCTGCGTTCATCCATGCGTACTTTCCACCTAGGCCTGCTGCTTGTGTTGCTACGGCATTGTACATTTTCTTGCACATATTATATTTCTAGGGATTACTTACGCTTACTGCTACATACTAATGCTACCTGAAAAGTGTGACACATATGGTACATATATTCATTGTGAATACGTTGGAAGCGGTGACAAGGACCCCAGGCTCCTGTCAAATTTTTTCGGATCAGGCTCTATCAGGCTTCAAACAGACCTGACCCTGCTCGCCAGATTGGATGATGGCTTCTCCCGCGAAGGAGTCACAGAGCCTGGTGCGTCCATTGGTAACCGTAAGCGTTGGCATTCGCTGTTCATCTGAGAAATCTGAACTCTCACTTGAATTTCAATCGATCGTTGGCAGGGACCGACAGCTGTTCGAAAGTTTCGTTAGCCATATTGGGAGAAAGGTGGCGGCCACAACCCAGAGTCAAGATTAGTCCGGCTTGATTGTAACCTTTCTTGCCCCATTATTGAATCAATCTTGAGTTAATCTTCGACCAGATGGAAAGCGCTGATACAGCGCTCAGGCACGAGGCAGTGCTTAAGAGCGTCTGTTTTCATTAACCCCCACGAACTCCTCTCGCCCTGACCCCAAGCCAAAGCCCCCTCTCAACAAACATGCCATCGAGCTTTGATCTCGCTGTGCTTTGTAAGGAAAAGGTATTCCATCGTCTGATCGTACTGGTGAGAGCAGCATTAAAACATCTGTTGTATGCCAGGGAAACACTGCGTTCAAAAACGAGGATTACCGGACAGCAAGGTCCCTCTATACTCATGCGCTGTCGATCGACCCCTTGAATGAAATTTATCCTCTGAATCGGGCGATGGCGAATTTGAAGCTTGAAAGGTTTCGCGTTTCCGCGTAGTCGATTGTCGTGGTGCTCACTTCAAGCTCACTTCTTGGTTGACAGGTGGTCGGAAGCGGAAATAGATTGCACGGCAACTCTCAAAATATCCCCTGGACATTCAAAGGCTATTTACAGGAGGATTGTGGCACGACGGGAACTAGGGAAATACAAACAGGCGAACGAAGGTTCGTACTGATCTGCAGATCACAAACCGTAATCCACCATAAACGTCATGATGCTCATTATAACTGTCGTTACACAGATCTAGACCTGTTCATCAATGGCGGAGGGGATCGCCTTTTAGCAGCGCAAGCACGGGAATCACTTTCAAAATACCCCGTTGAGGATATCAATCTATCGCCTTTAACCACTCCGGATCCCACTGATCGCCTTGCGAATGAAGTTCACGCTATTCGCTTGAAGGAAGGAGACCCTTTCACCATCCGCGAATCGAACACTCGGAGAGGTTGCTGTGCCCTCGCTACCAAGAAAATCCGCAGAGGAGATCTCATCTTGTCCGAAAAGCCAGTCGTCATCGTCAGGACCGAAACGTCGACCGGTAAACCACAGCAGCTCGCCATACAATCCGAGCTGCGCGGACTTTCACCAACTCATCTGAACAGTTTCCTGCACCTCTCCAACGGGCACTCGGATTGTTCCTGTTTCCCGGGTCAGCGTGCCACCGGCATCTTCGCCACTAATTCCTTTGCGCTCACCGACGATCAAAGTGGTATCGGTTTGACAGGATGTCGCTTCAATCACTCATGCTCCCCGAACGCGAGATTCTCTTTTAATCCGACAAACGGTCACTTCCGCATTTTTGCGCTGAGCGACATACCTGTCGGCGAAGAAATCTGTGTTGCGTATCTCAGTTCCAGAAAGTTGTACGGTCAAACTCGCCAGCAGAGGCAGGGGCTACTCCGTTCTCGCTACCACTTCACTTGCTCTTGCTCAGTATGCTCTCTTCCCAAGGCTGAGATGACTTTGAGCGATAGCCGGCGAGTGAAAGTCAACGAGTTATGGGACAAGGTTCCTATGTTTCGCCCAAACCAGACAGTCCAACGGTTGAACACTATCGTTCAAGCGATCAATTTACTGAAGGAGGAGGGTTATGCAGCGGACTATGACGATTTCACCAACGATGCCGCGATAATTTGCGCATTCCACTCGGACTATGAGTCGTCAAAGTATTGGGCCAAGCTAACTTATGAGACAAGGGTGGCAGAATTTGGCGAAGATAGCCCGCGAGCTGCAGAGGTTCGTGATACATATTTGAACCCAAAATCGTTCTCGATGGCTGGCACTGGTCGGGTGCAGCGTTTCTCCCACATACGGCTCTAGCTGAGTGATAAACCATTGAATATTTGCGTTTCCTTTCGTTGCGCTTGGTGTTAAAACATGAGCTAGAAAGTGTTATGTTGTTCAGATGGAACCAATATGTAGACAATGTGGCAAACTAGGTGACTCGCGGGGAAGTTCGAATGCCTGACATCCGGTACTAAACAATGATGATGATTATCTCGCCAGGTCTACAAAGTGTGTTTGCCCACTACTAACGTAGCGGGCGATACAAAACGAGGATTTTCAAATAGTGTATAGAAACCCTGGCGTCCCCTCGATAATTATTTCGCCTCTGTCTGCCAGCCTATTTCGGTGGGTGAAAACAATAGTGTTGATCGCCAGCAAGAGCAACATCAAGAATTGGCAGCCCATGGTTGCCCATATACCGTTCAAGTAACTTTATTCTTTCAATAAGAGCTGTTTCGTCATCAAAGAATGAATCTTACATGGGGAAGTCCCGATCACGGTAGACAGTGGTCGCAACAATTCCACCAATGCCGCCTCCTCCGATAATGACCGCAGTGGACACCGCACGCTAAATCACATATCCGCAAGATGATAAGTAAAAGAATACTCAAGTCCACGTACCTTTGTGTGCGATACCACATTATTTGCATTCTGCGATAGATCATCAGCGTCTTTCCAGAAAAAAACAATTGGACTATCACACACATATGCGAGAACTGCAGGTATACAGCCTGAAGATCCCATAGCCACAAGGAAAAGACCAAAATATCGGATACTCTGTAAAGGGGTATAAGCAGTGAGCATTAAGCCCGCGATGGTCATAAAGGTCTGGATGACGAGAAATATTGCGCGTCTCCTGGTTTTATCTGCAATCCACGCAAAGAAAAAACAGGAAACAGCCTTGGAAACGATTGAGTAAATTTAGTAGAGTGTGTGGAAAGAAACTCACAGCAGCTACGTATGGCGGAGCAGTAAGAAGAAGAGACATCTCTTCGGAAAATCCCATTCCGTTCAATATGATGGTGATGAAAAATCCGAGGGCGTATGCCGGCATTGTTGAAGCCATAAACATGAGTGCTTCGCTCAGTGGCAAGTTATTTAATGTCAAGACGAGGTTGAAACAGCGTATTACGTACCATACGACCATAGAAACGGATCGCTCAAATGCTTCAAAAGTTTTTGCCCTGTCAACTTGTCCGGCGAAGAGTCCCCTCGATCAGCCTGCACGCGATCCAATATCATCTTGGTCTGATCCGGCTTCAAGAAGGTATTATTCTCGGGGAAGTCCACAACGAAGAACCACGTCAATATTCCAAGAATTATCGTGATTATTCCTAGAACTAAAAAGATCCATTGCCATCCATTGAGGTTGGCCTTGCCCGCTAATTTTGCGATGCCAAATGCAAAAATGGAGCTGAAGCCGCCAATAATAGTCGATGTGAGATAAAAAACGGCGAGGCGTTTCTGAACCTCGTGACGCTTGTACCAAGTCGTGATAATGTACGCCAGCGCAGGGAAAAAACCAGCCTGAGGAATATCGGTGTTATAAATCAAGAAGACGGATAAACACAATCATTCACACCTCAAAGGCTCCCAAAAGTACCCGACAGACGCAAAGGATGCCCCAATTTGGTACGAAGGCCATTCCAAGTTGAGCACCGCCCCATCCAATGACGCAAATGGCCAGCCAAGTGCGGGCCCCGAGAATTCGCAGAATAATATTTCCGGGGATCTGCCTTCGTTCGCGTCACAGCTTTGCCACAGTTTTCGTAAAACTGATGAACTCTTACAGCAGAATGTAGGACGGAAAGTATACCGCCGATGCGATGTTATAACGATTTCCTGTGTATATCCCCTGAATGAAACAATTAGCGAATGATTTTCGATGCTAGAACGATACGCACAATATCTTGATCCATCCCTGCCGTGCTAGCAATACCGAGATTTGTCCTATCGATAAGGGCCACTGAATATACTAGCCCAAGGAGGGGAAGGAGGCGCCAATCCACGTGCCGTCTGAGCAGTTATACATTATTTACAACACGGAGAAGAGAGAGGGACTCACAGCGTTTTCCTCACATATTCTGGATCATACTGCGCATCCAGAGACTCGGAAGGTGTGTCGACGCAAGATTTGGCAGTGGTCTCGAGGTCCAAAGGGTGTTTAAAATCCGAGTCCAACATTGCGAGTAGGAAGAGGAAGGACTGCTCCGCCGTTCTTAATCTTAGCTCCAGATATTGCGAAGAGGAGCTCTAGAACGGATGGGGACGAGAATGTGTCGTTTTTATACCACTGGTGGACTTGATTTTGAAAGGGGGTAATCGATGAAGGTTACAAAGTTGTAAGGTCTGACATGGGGCTCTGCCCCAATAGACTTAAATCTGACACAAAAAAAAAAAAAAAAAATCGATGAAGGTACGTAGACTTCTCGATTAATTGTCGGATCATTGCACATAGTCTTTGTCAATACGCAAATTTTCCAGTGCCCTTTGTCAATAACCCTGCCCCACAGAGAATCATTTTTTAGTTAGGCTTAATCGACCGTTAGGTTTCAACTTTCAAGGTAAAAAGTATCTGTGAGTAGACTGTACCCATTTTGATCGATTAGGCTTGGGGTGTGACGTGGACGGAATTTTTGCATAGGAGTAGGAGCCTGAGGACCATCCCCGAGTCCGTGACATTGGCACCGGCGAATATGTAAGCGCCAGAGACGATGTTTTTAATGATTTTATTAGTCGATGACGATCCAACGGCGTTATAGTCCTGTCGCTCCTCCCGTCGAGATACTTTTGCTGGGTAGAATGCTGAAGGCGTTGAAGTTGCACATAGATCCCTAGGACTTGACTCTGTTTGATTGAGGCAAAAACGACGGGCGTGATAAACGAGCGCCCTTGGCTTGGCTTCATATAACCGTTAGGCATAACACTGACTGGTGCGAAAGGGTTTGAAATTTACCTTGAACAAAAACAAGATCTCGGTTTATGTGCTTTCCTTCGAAGGCGTGGATGACCAACCTAATCGCGGCAAAGAATTCGCCCCCACACAGAGTATCCGTCTTCTGGATGGTCGGAGAGAAATATCTGATAATCTAGTCTCTGAGTAAGAAAACATATCCTCATTTCCGCTCGTTACATACCATATCGACGTCGGCAACTGTCACAGACCGATATCTTCCTCACTTCACGAACTCCAATAATAACGCGCTCGTAGTCTTCGTCCTGCCGCATGGCAGCAGAACGATCCGTGAATGAGAGCTCCATCAAGTCAGCTACGTATAGATTGTATTCTGCGTCGCTCAAAGGTGATACATGGAGAAATAATCTTCGCATGTTGCGCAGATCTAGATGTGAAAGAGGAATCAAATGTCGAGTCCAGAAATTCGACGCGTTTATGTAGAACGTAACTTGCCACATTTCATATGGGTGTGTTGAGAATAAGCCCTTTTTTCATTGTTGGCTGGCCATAATGTTGTCACAATCGTTGGACAACCGCGAGGTTCTTGGTAAAAGATGCGCCCTTGACTTGTAGCTGGAAGTTCAACCGCTATATATGACACATGATTGATATCGAGGCACATGCACGACGTTCAAGTCGTCTTGTGTACTAGTACGTACCATTCGATCAACTTAGGGCCCCACAATATCAAAGATTGGCCAGGCCTACACATTTGACAGTGCGGCTGGCCGTAGGATGCCAGCAAGATGCCAGTGCAGGATTCCATCGCGAGAGACTTTGGAGAGACTTTTCGGAAAGTAAGTACTAAGATTTTCGGCACAAACTCGACACTGTTTCGAGCGGTTGTGACGTGGAATTAGTACTCGTGCAAGGTGATGGCTGACTGTGGAAACCAGTGACCACACAGATATTAATAAACATTTTGATCTCATCGTGGGATTCAACAGGGATGCCACGTTTGCCACGTTATCTTCCTCCATGAAGTTGAAGACTGTTGAACAACGACCAGGCGCCTTTTGCGGCTTTGTGCATATCGCATAAGTGGAACGGTGAGAAAGCTCAGTAACAGCTTTACAGCAGACTCAAGCGCATCTCAATTCTACAGCAATCCATCCTCTTTTTTGGTTCATTTCCATACCATAAAGCTCATACCCAAACTACTTTGTGAATCACCTCACGGACACACCCGTCCCTCTTGAAGATCGTTGCTGCCATCTCATGTCTGTTGCTCAAACCCCAATTTCTGGCGACATCCCTCTCATCCTGGTCCAGGGTCCCCCTAGAGCGGCAACCCCCGCTCACAGTCTCGAATACGCAGATGAACTCTACGGTGCAACTTCTGAAGTTATGGTAAGACACCACGATCAAGAGGGATCATACCTCGGTCAGGGTGCGTTGAATCTATTTTGTCAGGCCTTGTACGGCCATCATTTTGAGTAAGTCCACTCTTGGTCTTCACATGGTCTGCTCATGACGCGTTCACCTAGAGACCCGAGAGAGTACCATTATATGGATATTACACTTGCGTTTGCTGGCCTCAAGATCCGTCCTTCCCATCTCCTCAAGGACATAGAGTATTTAGTCAAGTTTGTGGTGCATGAGCGAAAGGCAAACGAGCCCATCGCTGAATTCATCCGTGGGATCGGGGACCTTCCAGAGTGGACATTTAAAGGAGCACAAGATGAGGTACGTTGAACTCGCTCGTAATTATTCCCACCTTCAAAGTGCTTATTCGCATCAAGCTCACCCGTGCGTGGAGCGTGTTCTGGAATGTACTTTCCTTCAACCCAGACATACCACTATCACGATCGCCCTCATTCGAATCAAGGCTATCCGAGCTCTTCCAGCTTTCTCCGCCCAATGGAGCCAGCGTCGCTCCCGCCCTCAAACTCAAAGCTGGTCTTTTGGATTTTGAAGGTCTGGATATCAAAGTTCGACCGACATTGAATATCGATGAGCACATGACATTGGAGGACGACAACACCCTCAAAATCTTGAAATTATCACGCGGAACTTGGAATCTGTGCTTGACGTATCACGAAAATCTTGTTGCAAAGTAAGTTCGGATAGCGGTCTGGACTCCCTCGTCTCACGCTTCATTATTCGCAACAGAGCGCTGAACATGGATACTCTGGGAAGTGAAGTGCTCGGTTCGCTCTACACCCTATACGGAGAAGGCGCACTCATGAGAAAGGCGGGTGAGATGGAACTTGTGGAGGATGATCCGGAGCTCGCGCTCTGGATACGGTACCTCAACGATAATTATAGCAAAGTCACCCCAAGAGTAAGTCGTTGTAGCGCTATTCGCAACACATCTCAACTGTTAGAATAGGTCCTGGCCAGTCGAACGCTCGCGCTTGTTAGCCTCGTTGAAAAGAGACGGTCTTGGTGGTCCACTCTCATCCGGGATGTCAAACTACAAACATCCACGCAACCCATTCTTTTTTATGGCTCAATCCTTGCTGTGATCTCGGTCATTTCCTCTGTGGTTCAAGCGGTGGCTACTGTGTGGGGTCTTGTCGTTGCTATTAAGCAGCCTGTTGGACACTGAACCCCACTAATGTGTTTGCAACTAGCGCTATGAACAAACAACGAAAACTCGGAACGTTGGGTTCAACCGGACTCTTCCAACCCTTCCTGGTGACGGATAGTGTATCTTGTTGAACACGCTCACGCGACGTTGATTGAATGTAATACGTGTTAGATTACCACTACGCTTGTAATCCCGCAGCTGCAGTAAAAAGAGATGCCCGGACGACGTTTGCCGTTGCTTGCATCTTGATGTGTCTACGTGAGGCTTCGTTGATACACACCGGTACCACTCAAAGCTGTGGCTCTATAAAATTTTGGTATGCACATGGACGTTGCTGTCAAAATGAAATTGAAACAAAATCCAAGGGAAGGTGGAGTACCACAAAATATCCGAACGAACAAAGCCCTCAGTCGTATACTCGACCCCAGCCCCCGCTTTCGCTTTTTCTATGATAAGCTCCAGCAAAGTCCATTAGAAACTCAGATGTATCGCTCTCAAAACCTAAGTTCCACGAATTAGAAGCTCTCGTATTCATCGCCTTGATGATCATGCGACTCCCCATCTGGATATTCCCTAACCTCTTCTAAGACACCATAAGTTTCGAAACGCCGAACGTCGAACTCAAGCGGTTCATCGTTCGACCGATTAGAGGTAACAGCCAAACCGTCGAACTGCTCCAGCTCACGCAACACCTTGTTATTGAACCCACAATTTCTAACATCCAGCTTCTTAATTTGTAAACCCTGTCGCTCTCGCATGCGAAGGAATGCGATTAGAAAACCGCGTTGTGGTGCGGTCATCAATAACCCCACAACTTGAACCGACTGTAAAGAAGGCAAGGGGGGTGGGTTGGTCGACATATCGCGGTGCTCGGTGAGATGACGTAAAGTGTCGAGGGAGATGTCGGCAAGATGTTTGACGCAGGTGAACATTCCAAGCAATTGTGGAATGAGGGTATTCCTTCTGTCGTGGTGTCTTCCAACCGTATCTTTGTACTGCAACACTGTCGCCCGTTCTGCGAAGACCGATAGTAAAGGGAGGTTCGCGTTGATGTCCGCAACACTGTCCCAATCGAAATGAATCTTAACACCCCATTGGGAGGACAAGCCCTCGCGCTGCTCAATTCTCAAGTTGGGGTCGGGCGTGAAGAGGTTTTGCAAGAAGAAACTCGCTTGATGACTCCTTACGTGCCACGCGCTGATCATTTCAGATGGTAGCCGCTCAACCACTTTACGAGTGGTTCTTCGTATCGCGTCATGATCAGACACTCTGATCCCTACAAGAGTCAAGTCAACGTTGCAGGAGTTGGCGATGTCGAGGTGTCGAATGAAGCTGGTGCATTGAGCGACTTCCCCGACGAGGCGAAGGTGGGTCAACTTGGGCAGGTGTATGACGGTGAGACCCCTTGAATTGCTCGGGATGGGAGAAAATGCGCCGTCGATGTTGAGATGCTGAAGGGAGCCTATCGTGTTGATAATTTTGAGCCATGCAGGAACAGTGGGGTAAAAATCTTTTCCGTCTTGAAGCCTCATTGGACATTTTACATGGAGCTTCGTCAAGCCGGTCAGGCTTGGTTTAGAGAGGCTGACGTAGCAGTTATTCAAGGAAAGCTCTCGGAAATTGAGCATTGGTTCTTTGAATAACTGCTTGGGAAGATGGATTGGGGGTGTGACGGGTTCAACGGAAATTCTGAGGGATCTCAGGAGAGGTGTGGGTTTTCTGAGCGCGTCCCACAAACTGTATCCCTTTATCCTTCCGTTCTTGTCTGGAGAGACGTATGCCTGAAGTGATGCGAAGCGTCCAATGTGCTCCAAGGTCGACGCGTGGTCATCACGGCCCTCGTCGTCATCGAACCAGATATCGACATCAAGAGGAGTATTTTTGGTGCGACGAAGAAGCTCTTTCTTCCACTCCCCAAATGTATGGTCAAAGTCGATGTTTGCCCATAGCGTTGGAGTTGCCAAAGCCACCTCCCTCCATCGACGGCAAACTTGGGAAACTATGCGCATCGCCCGGGATCCATCTCGTCGTGAAGTAGGAGGGAGCTCAAACTTATCATCGAGCATCCTGATTGAAAATATCGCTGTCAGGATTTCATCAGGAAGGATTGCGATGGGGATGAAGGAGTTATGGAATCCCAGGACAACGGCAATTTGTCGTTCAAGGTCTATGCGAATGTCGATCAACTGCTTCAGCACCTCGGCGCGAGTCCCTTTGAGAGTTGAGGGATCCAGTAATGCCGACATGTTCGTAGATCAGAGTCTAGAGAGCAGTCATGAATCAGGTCCGAATTGGAGTTGGTCATCCTCCGAAAAAAACAAGGTCAAAGTTAATTCATCATGATCACTTGTCCATCATCAAACGTTGCATTCCATTCCAAACGATGAATGGATGAGATGAGATATGATAATCACTCGCAATTGGGGCCGTTATGTCCACGGAAAGGAGGTAAAGAGGGCCCCGTCAAAGCCGACGTTCCGTGGAGACAATTGACCTGGTGGTCAACTGGTGGTGGTTTTGCTTATCGAACGGGTAAGACTTGGAAGGTTGTTTAAAGGTGGAAGTTACTGACCAATATCGTGATTTGTCTAAAGCAAAGAAATGTGTTACGGCTACGGCTGTCCAACATGGAATTCTGCGAATGGAGGAAAGATGGAGGTGTGACGCTTCTAATCCGAACAACGTGTTCGTTATCATTAGCCACGCTTCACTCTCAATCGGAATTAGAACGCCTCCGGCCTCTACCTCTTCTCGGTCGGTTGAGCTCTATAGTTGCAAGCGCCTAACAAATATCAATGAACGACGTGCGGCACAACTGGGGCAGAATGACGCAACAATCATTGCGCCGGTGAGGTTATGCAAATGAGTCCTCGAGAAAACGATTGAATGACCGAAAAGGAGGACGAGCCACAATACTTGATGCCCATTGAATCAGGGCCGCGATATAGAACGGGGCGTTCCGTCGGTAGCACTATGGAACTACCATCGTCGGGAGAAGCTGAGCGGAAAGAGCAAGGAAGAGCACTTTTCGCACCCGATCGGACTTATCGGATGGATCAAAACTGATCGATTGAACAACGAATATGGCCCCTCCATATGACCTAAAGACCCAGGTATCGCGTGCTTCGTGCGCCTGCAGCTCGTTGTCGATGTCCCTTGAAAGAATTGGTTGAATACCGCTCTTCATTTCAAACCCTCATTTGAGTAAGTATAAAAAATCAGGCGAAGAGAGCTATGCGCGTAGAACTCTGCCTTCACAATACCACAAGCCCAGCAATGATCTACCCGTGTTGCAAACAAAATCAGGGCTCGCAATCCAGAGCCACAATGGCCAGCGTATTGGTGAAGATGAGGAGGATTTGAGGAGGATTTGCATGTTGAAAAATTTCCTGGTCAATTACGTAATCAGTTCAGTCCGGTGCACGTGAAACGGTGAAATAGGGAACTGAGAAATTTTGGAGAAATTAGCAAGCGTTGAGCTACACCACAATGCAAGAGTAGTTTTTCCTTTCCCTGCGTTTATGCTGCATTGCGGCGTGAGCGGCACGATCAAAAAGATCCTCCACACCATGCCCATTTTTTGCACTCGTCTCCCCGTAATAACTAGCTCCAATTTTTTGGGCCAAGGACATTCCCTGGCGTTGAGTAAAAGAAAGTAAACGTCGTGAGGTGGGGGAATAAATATACAAAAGCTACTCTCACCTGCTCCTGCGTGACGGGTTCCATTCCATATGCAGAAAGTGTATTTATTGTTTGTGGATCGTGTCGTAATTCCATTTTACACGCAACCAGAAATATCGGTACACCGGGGCACCAGCGCGTTACTTCTTCGAACCACTCAAACGGGATTCAATTTCACTGAAAATCGCAAAAAAATTAGGACGTCTTCCTCACCTTTTCCGTAATGTTGTCGAACGAGTCCTGAGAGTCAACAGCAAAGGCAATGAGAATGACGTCAGCGTCAATATAGCTCAATGGCCTTAAACCGTCGTAGTCGCATTGGCTGGCGGTGTCCCAAAGTGCAAGCTGAATTTTGACTTGGTCAAAGTCGAATTCTTGGACGTGGTTCTCAAACACGGTTGGCACATATATCTGTTGTAGTATAATTTATTGAGCTCGTTTGAACAACAAATAATGAGCATCTTGCACTTCGGGGAAGAATCCTTTCACTGATCTGATCAACAAACACGTCTGCGGTTTTTCAAGCAGAATAGCTATGGGCTGTTCCTTTATAAAGACGTACCTTGCCAACAGTGCCATCCCCGACTATTACCAGTTTTTTCGAGATTTCCAAGGGAGACATGAACGCAGAAGTCAAGAAACAATTGAGAAACAACGAGGTTGGTTCGATATACGCACGTGACATGAATAGCAACCACTCATCACTTCGCGATCGCTCCAAGATCGCTCAGCGCTCAGCGCTTCAAGCTCAGCAACATTCATTCTCCTTCATACAACACCTCATCATGTCCAAGGACCACGTACGGCTGTTAAGACTTCAGGCTATCGGAACATCGCCTCCTCGTTCCCTAGCCAATGATGCAGGTATCGACCAATCGTTCCGGGTAATCAGGCAAGAGTTAGACGCCCTGGCTTCGAAGGTCAATGTCACCTCTGAGGTTAGAGACGAGCTGGAGAGAAAAGGTGCGCTGAGATGCTCATATCATCAATGAGAGAAATTTATCCTTCCTAACGGCATGTCTTAGTTGCCTCTCAAGCAGATGAACTCCGTTCCCTTCGACAGGCCCTCGAAGTGAGCGACGCTAGATGCCATGAACTTGAAGATGAAGTCAACAGTTTAAGAGCTCAGCTCATTCGTGGGCTAGATCCAACAGAAGAAAGCGATACTGACGGCGAGCCAGGTGAAGCAGGGCCGCTAATCGAAGCCATTTATCCTCTGGTCAACGATTTCAGTCCATCGCCAGCCGAGTCAAAGTTTCCAGAAAACTTAAACATGACAAATTTTACTACTGAATGGAAACGTGGGGGTACAGACTGGTTTATAGCACTCAGCCCCCATGTCAAGCACGTACTCGACATAACCTTGGTTAGAACATTCAACCATGAAAGGTGACCCCTTCCAACATTTTGAAAGTGATTCTTACCGTTGACGATTTGTGTTTCCCTACTTGCGATAGCCCGGTGCAGTGTGTTCGGCTTTCTTCTGATATGAAATCCCTCGCGGTAGCATGTGGTACAACAGTTCACATCTACGATGCTGTAACCGGTGAGGAGATGTGGTTGGTTTCATGACGTTCATGCTGTTTTCATGATCTGATAAACTTCACTCTCAGGACATTCCCGACGGATAACGTGGTTCGTGTAATATGCTTCAGCCCAGACGGTAGTATGTTGGCAGTTGGGAGTCAAGAAGACAAACTCGATGTGCGCCTTCCCCTTCAATTGCTACGTCGGCAAATATAACCACCAAACTAGGTCATAGTAACCGCTACACGGAAAATTTGTTACACCTTTGGGAGCACAGAAGGAATTTCCTCACTATGCTTCTCGTCGGATGGGAAAATCCTTGTGGCAGGGTGTTATAACAACACTGTGCGAATTTGGACCTTGGAGAATGGAACGTGCAACGTTATTTCAAGATCTGAGTCTATTCTCTCAATTGCTCTGTTACCGAAGCGGTTGATGGCTCTGGGAGGCATAAACGGTTCTGTAGAAATCTGGCAAAGAAAGAAGAAAAAAGGCGCGAAGTTGATGGAGACTATTGTGGGGCATAAGTATGCAGTGAAGAGTCTTGCGTTTGTCCAACTCGAGGGGAAAGGGTTAGTGATTGCAAGCGAAGGCGCATCACTGAAGTACTTGAACGTTAGTCCGTTGCTACACAAAAAAACGGCGGAAGGAAAACCACTTGTTCAATGTACGACGAGGTTAACTGGAAACGAGGTTTGTATTTACCCTACCCATATATTGTCCCTCCTGACAACCGAGACAATAATATAGGAATGTATTACATCCATTGCTGTCTCATCCAACAGAAAATGGGTTGTGTCAGGCTCCGATGACCATTGCTTCCAATTCTATGACTTGGAGGCGGCATCTTTGCACAGCGTGGTACGGGGGCACAACGATTCCGTCACGTCCGTTGATCTCAGTCAAAGGGGCCCGAACATTCTTGTGACGGGCGGGAAGGATGGCAAAGTACGGATGTGTACGTTTTTCTTTTCTTTCATAGTTTGATGCTTCCTGACTTGCGCTTCCATATCAGGGGCTTTTCTCAGCGGCTTATGATGAATGCCACAAGGGAACTAGGGTCTCGTGTTTCCACCGATACTACGGTACCTGCTAACCTTCTTCATATTTTGGATATTTTTTTAGACTCACTTCGCGGATACTTCTTTAATCATTCTCGGCTTCATCCAAGATTATTCATGACCCGCCGTCCTCACACCAAATTTCAAGAATAATTCTTTTAGTACAACAGAGTCCTCTTTTTTGTATAGACATCACCTCTCCGATTTCGAAGGCAAGCAGTACAGAATTGGGTTTTCTTTCACAGAGCATCTCCTGGAATGCCGTAAGAGGACGAGGTCAACTGGGTGCACGTTGGCCCGTAAAAAACGATATAAGCTCCGCGTTAACGAGATATAGTCACGCTTGGGCAAGTGGGCTCGGGCAACGGAATGTCATTGCAATATCGTCTCAAGTTGTCAGCGTGAAGGTTCTTTCATTGAAAATGGGCTTAATCGAATAGTACATCAGTAAACATGATTCCAAAAAGGGACTTGCAGTAATGAAAAGGAGCCAGAGCATGAAGCGTTCATGTCCCAGCATGAGGTAGAGGTAAAGGTATATTCCGGAGCGGTAACAACCATTGTCAATCAGCAATCACACTCACGCGACGGATAATTAATCAAACATCAATCTGCCATTCGGTGTCAGTCACCGTTTGGCGAATGGTGTAGATCGTATGATGGCCCGTTACGGCAGTGAGGGTGAAAAAGAAATAGGTGGGGGTGTTTTTGTCATCTTTGCCCTTGTACTCGCCGGATTTCGAATTTGTGCCGTATTGGGTTGCGCCCTCGTACCCATCCTTGGCTTTGTGCCCAACGATGGCACCAGATTTGCGACTACCTACAACTGGGTCGGTGTAGCCCTGAGAATGAGTAAGGCGAGTGAAGCAAGCACGGATTTTAGCCATAACCCACCAAAGAGAACTTGAGTTCGGTCTTGTTGTCAAGCTCCATAGTCCATAAATTACCGCCAGATACTCCGGCCAATCCAGTCCTGTTACAGACAGAAAATGATGCGACGGAAAATTTGGGTATGGTTGCGTGGGGAGCGTCATAATACTCTCCAGAGTCGAAATAGCTATCAGCGAGCACGAGCTCGTATTGCGTCTCGTTTTTGACGCTGCATTGCATCCAATGACGCTTCCTCTTCAGGGTGTCTTCGCCACCGAACAACGCAACCCCGGTCTAAAAAGGACGCGTAAGGCCAACGAAGCGCGACACATAGACAATGGACCAACGTCACCGATCCCTTTAGCAACACCAATAGCGCTCAGCACGATGCCAGCAACAGCGGTAGCCATTGGATAGCGGTTATGCGTTTGGATGATATGCGGATGGTGGGAATGAGCAGCGGATGCAAATTGGAGTGCAACTGAAAGCAATGGGCCATTTTATACGTTTCAATATCCTAGTCCGGCCATCTGTCAATGAATTTCGGCCATCCTTTTGCGGGAAATGGAACTGAACTAACAACGCCAACGCTCACCAACGCCATTGAGATAACTGGGTCAGTTGATATGTTTTCTGCCAATGGTGGACTCACACGGTGTCATAACCCGCATCCGATTGCGGGTGGTGATTGATCTCGCCCGCCGATTATAATATCTATTCGCGAAGACCCAATCACATATCACTGGTAAGTAATTACCTTGTTTTTTACGAGCACAAAATGGGGGGACTCTAGAGTGACAGCCATTGTCGATCTCAAAATAGTCATTTGGGAGCGTAAGATGCCGGTACGCACCTCATGGCACTTGAGGGAAGTTACGATTATGATGTTCCGGCATTGATATACTCCCTACTCCTAATTTTGATCGAGTGAAGTGAATACTGAGCAAATACTGAGCCGGGTTTTCATCTCTCCGATGCCAACTACGACGAGATTTGGAATTTCGGAGGCAGTATGCCATTTGAGCGCCTGCGAGCCTGAGCTTCTGATGCTCTTGGAAAGATCGGGGTTGCTGTGAATTTGAGTAAAATCTGAAAATGTGGCATTTACTGATTATTCCGGCAAAATGAAGTCATTATTGTGACAACCGAGAAATTCCACACGTGCAAACTTCTCAGCTTCACCCTAAAGAAAATGGTGTTAGTGGGACCGAAAACCATAGAAAAAGAGTACATCAAACCCATTCAGTAACCATTGACAGTCCTGCCCCAGGAAGGCCGAAAATATCCCTAACGTTCACAAAATTGTGCCTGCCAGACAAAGACAAGCCAAATAGGCAAAGGGATAGTATATCTGACAGACATAGGAACCGAACCTGTAGTCGAGAAGCCATGTCTGCCCAATTAAAAGAGGGATTGCATCGTCATATACGTACTATGTATTTGAAAACAAAACCGTCTCCATTTCACCCTCAAAACGAACGTAAGCCAACAGTCATATTCGCAAGTACCACGACTTACCGTTGGTCAATTACCCCCTCACCAAAAAAGTTGCGACCGCAACCTCTCTCATACGCATGCTGCGCGTTCGCTCCCTCCGCTTCTACATTCCCTCCCGCATCCTTCCGACCAAATTTGTTGCCCAGCATCTTCCTCACCCTTTTGACTCCAACTCGGATACAACGTCTGGACTCGATGCGCGACGCACCAAATTTCCTGTACCCCTCATGCCGGTTTGGTGGGATAAATTCGCTACGGCCGCGTCCCTTGTATTTATACCAGCTGAACTTCATTTCAGACAAAAAAGCGCAAAAACCGAGCGAATCACACCATGATATTCTTCTCCCCTGGTTTCCCCTCCCCTGCAAACGTGCTAGCTATGAGTACCAACGGAAACTGAACACGGTCCAAAACATTATCTGGCTCAACGCTTCAATCAGTGAACCATATTATTGGTTGCGTAGACGAGAAGCAAACAGACCACAAGACAGCGCGTGGTAGCTTTTGCGACGAACAGTGGCATCGCCTCGGGGTAGGCGAAGAGGTAGTCAAATCGGCCCGGAGAACGCGTTAACAGGGGAAGCGTGGTGGGTTGTATTAGATGCCTCTTCCATTTTTACCGGAAGCAAGAATAAGGGGATAGAGGTAAATCGAAGGACGATTTGGAAAAACTTGGTGTTGGTGACGAAGAGTTTGTAGCGGAGTGTAAAAATTCGGGTGAGCTTTGGCTGCGAATCTGATTTCGAGTGGTTTCTTGCTACAGAAGGATCGCTACATGTACTTGGAACAAGTTGAAAATTTCCTCACCACCTCTGGCAATGTCATAAATTCCTAAGTTCTTGTTTCACTTAGGAAGTATTTAGTGGAAGCGCGATTGAGTAAAAGGTGGGAATGTGATATTATAGTCTTCGTAAGAAGGTATAATAAGGCGCTATAGCTAAGTGGTTACAGCGACAGATTAGAAATCTGTTCCTCTTTGAGGGCGCAGGTTCGAATCCTGCTGGCGTCGATTCCTCCTTTTTGATTTGGTTTTTTTCGCCAAAATTTACCTCGAAATTCGCTCCGATTCTGGCATACGTTTAACCAACTTAGGACGTGTTCATACAGTCTCAGTACCATCTATTTGTTAAACCCAATGAACCACAAATCTATTTACTCCTCCGATAAATCTTGCCCAAGAAACTCTCAAACACCTCCCTCTTCAACCCCCCCTCAATCTCAACAATCTCCGCAATCTTCGCCTTGATAGCATGCACCACCTTCTCCTCATATGCCTCATACGTTTGGCGGATCCCAAGACGCTCGTATACCTCCTTCACCTTCGCTTCCGTCCCCGCCTCTTTCCGACCGTAATTCTCATCCAAAACTTTCCGCATCTCCCTCTTCTCCTCCGCCGAGTATTCTTTCCCCCCTCCTTCCGAAGTGAGGAGTAAAGCGGTGTTGACGACCCACGAACACTTATTATCCACGATATCCGTCCCAATCTTGCCCAAAACCTCAGGCGTCGCCGAGTAATCCAAAAAGTCGTCTTGAATCTGGAAGTACTCGCCGAGAGGGAGGAGGATGGATTTTGCGTGGGCGTAGATGTGTTCATCTGATGAGGGGATGTTGCTGAATAGCATGGCGCACGCGACGGGGAGGTAGAAGGAGTAGTAGGCGGTTTTGTAGATGACTATTGTGTGGTGGCTATTTGGTGTTACTGAGTGAGAAAGAGAAGGGAAGCAGGGAACAGGGAAAGCGTACCGCGCTAAAGAGAACTTGCTCAAATCGACTTTATCCTCAGGGGCGGTGATGAGGTCCACGAGCTGACCCATCTCAGTTTGGTATGTCGTCTCGTGGAAGAGGTCGAGTAGGTCCGCGTAGTATGCTTGGCCGCGGAAGTGTGTCTACTCGAGGTGTGAGATACATTAGAAAAAAAGATAGACGAGAAGAGACCTTGAGTAAGCGATAAATAGCAGCTTCGAGCATGAAGCTGTCGTTGATCGCGACCGTACCAACCGATGGAAGGCGGTACCAGCAGGGCTGAGCGCGCCTGGTGATGGAGGAGTCCATGATGTCGTCGGCTACCAGGAAGTAGGCTTGCAGCTAGTGAGTGGGATTAGCAGGATCAGAGAGGAGCCACGGATAGACAACCCACAAGTTCGATACACCACCCCAACACGGCAGCCTTGAAGTACTCGTCTTCATCCAAAGCTCGGCCTTTGAGAATCTCGACAGTGTCCACAACCGACATTCCGCGGTTGAGTTTACCGCCTGGGACATTGTAGTTAAGATTCTACCGAGAATTGAATATTGAACCGTCAGTCCGAGATCCACACGATGAGTCAACTAGTCACGGCGCACTTACGTTGCGATACCACTCCACCGCCTCCTCTGGCATCCCCTCCCCTGCGAAGTGACCTATAAGCTCATCCCTAATCACCTCGTACACCCCCTCAAACTTGGCTCTTCTCGCTGCTTTGTCTGTCATAGGTATTTGTACGATTGCTTTGCGAGTCGACGCGGATTGGAGTTGGGTGGTATTGAAGAAGTAAGCAAGGAGGAATATGGACGTAGAGAAGAGGATGAAGGAAAAAGTCATCTTCAACATGGTGCGATTTTTGAAGAAGAGGAAAAGTTTACGTACCTCGTTATCCAACTGCACGCGCGAAGCTGGGAAAAGTGGCGATTAGGCGTCGTTGTGTCTTTTTGTACTCCTGGAACGGTATGAATGACTCACGAGAGCACGTTTGGGCAGACAATAAAAAGTTGCGTTTTAGAATGGAAGTATGAAGGGCTATGAAGGGGCGGAGGAACGGATCGGAGACGGCAATTCAAATATCTTACAGGCTCCCACGCCAAGCGCCGTTGAAATTGCCCAAGCTTTGAGATATGTTCATTTCAAGTTCATTCGAGTCTCGAGACAACAACGGATATGTAGGACTACATATCGACTGAATGATATGCTCTAAAAACATGGAGACCAAATGACCAGTATGAACAATAAGCAAATTGTTGAAACGAACCTGCATGACATATTGCGTGAACTATTTTTAGACTTTACGGAGACGACGACTATGAATGAGGTGAATATTCAATGCAATTCAAACACATATTGGTACTCTTCGGTCGCAAACAATATGTGAGTGCATATGTAGCCCCACATATCCGGTGCTGTATGAGGTGGTTATTCAACATCGAGAACAGCTCTCTGGTGAGATATGACTGGCTTCTCTGCTGTTTTTTCTTTTAGCCTGTAAACGCACAATGCAAATTTTCTTCCATGCTCTTGCACACCAAAAGAAAAACAAATTTTTTGATTTCCCCCAACAACATCATTTAAAAGTTAAAATATATGTATTCATCCTCAAAAAAAGTCCTGCGAATACTACCGTCACTAACAAACTTGAAGAAGCTGGCACGGAGATTCCCCCTGGCCAACGGCAGACGTGAACCGAGTGTTGCAGGCCTCACAATTAACTGAGGGCGTTTGACTGGCACGTCGCGCCCTGCCCAATGTATTGCACAAAGTCGGCAGCGTTTATTAACGTTAATCCCTCCGGCACGATAATGGGGGCGGGAGGAACCGCTCCTCCAGTGCAATCCGGATTTCTGGAGGCAAGCAATTATAAGCGATCAGCAAAGCGGTACGCCAAACTTCAGAGATGATGAGAGCCCACGGATTATTGTTGCACGTCGAAGATTTGCAAAAGACGGCCATCTTCGCAAGATTACCATTTGAAAGTTGGTAAGGGTAGCATTGACCGAATTTGTACGTAACGTATTGGTCATTTTGGTACAGAACTCCAACATACTGTGAGATATATAGGTAAGTCAGAGGGTGTATCGTGTTGTGGCGAACTCACGCTGTTCGCTCCTGCATCTTCGCAAAGTTTGAAGAGTTTGAAGTACTCGCTGAGGGCGTCGGGAGGGATATTCAATGGGCCAATCAATGCTCCCATGACGCCCACAACCGCGGGAGAGAGAATGGAAAGGAGAGAGACAAAGAACTTCATGGTTGGGTCTTGACTTGGATGTAGAGATACGCGGTGTACTTTGTTGAACGCAGGAAGTATAATCGGCGTCGTATAAATATGCGTCGCAAAATTTACTCAAGGGTTGACCTTGACAGAGTTGGACGTGCGATGGCATCACACTATCCGTGACGTTGGACAGGCAACACGCACCATGTGAGTGGCTTCCAAAAAAGTAAGCCAGAGGGTAAGATTCGGGGAACCTGTAAGGCCGCAGGCGTAAAAGCAAATTGTTCTGTATAAGCTGCGAGTTCAAAAATTAAGCACTTACCAAATGAACCCCGGTGCACAAGTAGTACTGTAGTTTCTTACGAAGTGCATGGTGCATACTTGATTTCAATTCACGGCCCTTGTAAAATTTGACAAGGAGACTGGAAATTCCTGGAATGCAGGTGTTGGATATCCATCGATTGGCCAGCGATCCCCATTGGTTAAATAATCAACGGCATTTGCCCCATTACGGATTAGTACGGTGCATTTTCCCACGTTTTATTGTCACAACAAGTGCGATCCACTTTGAAAATATGTCAAAAGTGCCACGGTATTCAATCTATACGAATAATTACGGAGCTTTTCCCATGGTGTTCCGTCACCCTTTGTACTTCGTCCCTAGGCCGTCCTCAAGAGAGGCATTGCATACATACTCGTTGTTTTCGCAACGTGCCAGTTAATTTTTTTTGCACGACGCCGCGCTCGCTCTTCTGCCTTAGTGAGATTTTCCCTGTGCAAACAGCCGGCCCGTCACGATCCAATGATCATGATGGTGATGAAATTACTCATTTCGGTTCTCCTTCTCAACGACGACAATGGCATTACACCTTCCGGGATTTGGCCTACCCTTCGATTTCTCTCCGACTAAGAACAAATATGGTCAAGAGATTCATCTCTTTCCCAGCGCATTGAATTCATCAGATGATGATTCGAGTCCAACTGTGTAAGCTGAGTTGACAGAGTCATTTTCTAATTGACAAATTGTTCAGATTGCCCCTAACGACTCTTCGGGAGTTGACAATGCTCCACGTAATGAACTCCTTGACTGATAAGAAGAATTGGCAGGATAAGGCAAGTTCTGTACGTTTCTTTCCGTTCCTCCCTAACCGCGTTACGCCAGATCCATGATCCCGAAATTGTCAAGAAGTGGGTAGCAGAAGCTATCGCATTCGAGGACAAGGACATAACGGAGAGCATGATGACCTTTTGCATTAACGAATTACGATATAAAGCTAGATCTTTTGCCGAAACTGGCTGTGTCACCGTCTTCAATGGAGACGTGGTCAAATCTGACAACGCGGTTCCAGTAGATCTGATGAACGCCCTAAGGAAGGCCGTGTCTTGCCTCGAAGGCGTCCCGGAGAGAAAGCAGGATTGGCACCCTGGGTCGGATGGGAAAGTTCTCGATCTCGTTCATCCGTCTCTATTCCCACTAGTATATGGGCGCACACGCATTCTTCCAGATAGTGTGCTAGGTCTCGCTGACTGTATTCAACGCTCATGCGAAGGGGTAACCATTCCCGTCCCAGATACGAAACCAACTGCCAATCCCCTAAATCGGTGGGGTCGCCCCATTAACCCTCAGTACAGCAGACGATTCCAATGGTTGCCCTGTGAGGTCGATCTATCGGAAGATTCTCTAAAGTATTTCTCTTTAGTTCACCTCAACCCGGCTAATTATCTGCCATGGCCAGAATCACAAGTTACATCAACAATCTTCATCCCCAACGGCATGCAGATTTATACCGAATTATCGAGCAAGTGATTGGCTGCACGATTCCGCTCTGGAATATAACGCTCGCGCCCTTGGCTGTTCCTGGGTCACGCCCACACTGGTTCAAACGAATTCACTATCATGGTAGCTACGAAGACGAAATTGTTCAGCCAGAACCCAGCCTCTTTTCGCCTCCTACCCCGCATCCTCCCCTTGATCTGAGGCTCAAATATATTGATAGTGGGCTCCAGGTCATTGTCAAATTGGCAAATATTGAGCTCACCCCCACGAAGCCGAGGTACGAGGGTGGATCATGGCATGTTGAAGGGCAACTTGTATGTCATCTGTCATCAGTTTCATATGGTGTGACCTATTCCCCCCATTCCCCCCACAGAATGAGCACATTTGTGCTACCGCGCTATACTATTATGCCAACGAAAACATCACCACCAGCCAGCTCTCTTTTCGACAACAATCAGACGCTGTAAGCGCGACGGAGATGGATTACGAACAAGACCGTCATGAATTTCTTCCTGCAGTCTTTGGGTGTCATCAAGGAGGTCCAGGTGTTCAGGTTGTCGGCGGTGTCAAGACCATCGAGGGACGTCTTCTTACATTCCCCAACATTCTCCAACACCAAGTCCAGCCATTCGAACTCGTAGACCCCAGTAAACCTGGTCATCGAAAGATTCTTGCGCTCTTCCTCATCGATCCCAACCGCAGAATAATCAGTACTGCCAACGTACCTCCGCAACAGAGAGATTGGTGGCGTGATGCTGTTGCAGGGACGCCAGGACATAGTTTCGGGAAGCTGCCTGTCGAGCTGCAGCGTCATATTTGTGACTTTGTCGAGGAGTTTCCGATCAGCTTGGATGAGGCGAAGGAAATTAGGCTAGAGTTGATGGAGGAAAGAAAGAGATTCGTTGTCGACCAGGGAACGGCGTTTGAATCTCTGGAGTTTTCCCTATGCGAACACTGACCGATTTTTTGTAACCACGGTCGCAGAACTTTGTCCGTCCATTTCAATTCAAAGTCTCCGCGGAGTCCGGACATCTCTGAATATGAAGTGCCTACCAAATGCACCTGTCAATCTCGGAGGGTCCGGCGGATCGCACTCCCTACACACTACGGATGGGAACGAGACTACGGGATTGTGAATTGAATCTTTGATGGGACTCAGTTGGCATTTGACCCAACCGAACCACCCCGTATCCTGGAACTAGAGGGCGCACTGAAGGCAGGGAGGTTAGACAAGGTCGCAATGTTGGGCTTGAAGCCTGATGAGATCGAAGTCGTCCCCTGCGGGATGCGCTGCACCTTCACCATCATCTAATACGGTGACGACCATCGTTGAGAAAAAAGTTGATACATATTAAACCTTCCAACGCCCTTGATAAGTATTGTACAAGCCTGGGTATATAATGTGAATGATGCCATGGAACCCACCACACATTTCGAAATTGGCGCATGACCGCGGAAAGATGGGCAGAAAGAAATGGACGATATCTTCTCATAAAATCACACATGATGAGCCCCCCGGCCGTTTTGGCTTCAGCAGGGTTGCTCTTGTCGCAGCCTGGAAAACTTCTCGAACCCCTTCCCCTGATTTAGCGGAACACTCAATATAATCTCTTGCCCCAATCCGACGCGCAACTGATAATCCCTTGAAAGAAAATAACGTCAAGGATATTAAACAATGATCTCAGAAGTCGGCGTACCTCTTCATAAGTTATCGGCCTTTGACCATACAGTCTCATCTCTCCAACCACCCTCGGGTCTTGTCTGAGATCTATCTTGCATCCAATAAGGAGTATAGGTAGACGTCCACAGAAATGATTTACTTCAGCTATCCACTAAAACGCAACAATCAATATGAGAAGGGATTAGCATTGTGAAAAAGGGTACGCGCCTTGTCATGGACGTTATAGAGGGAATCCGGGAAATCCACCCCAAAGCATATGAGAATAACGTGTGAGTCGGCGTAAGTGAGGGGTCGCAGTCGGTCGTAGGTTTCTTGGCCAGCAGTGTCCCATAGATTGAGTTCGACATGCCTTCCGTCGACCTCGACGTCCGCCACCTGGTTCTCGAACACGGTTGGATGGTAAAGCTAAGAGAAGCATCAGCACTAGCGATATGAGCAAGCTCGATGCCAGCAAAGTACCTCTGAAAACTTTCCAGTGGTGAAAACGGTCAACATTGAGGTCTGTCGAAGGTCGTATCAATAGATGTGAAATGGGTGTCAGGGTGATCATACCTTTCCACAGGCACCGTCTCCTACGATGACGACTTTCCTTCGTATTGATCCAGACATGTTACTTGAGATTGGGAACGACTTCAAAGAAAGGAATGGGTGTTTTCAGCACTGACTTGCACTTTATCAGCGATCACGCTGGTCAATGTAGAGCTATGTTCGAATGCTGTACCGTGAACCAGGCACGATGTCGATCATGGGCGCTGCTTGTGACTCAAGAGAATCGAAGGGCGGTGTCCAAACTGCATAGCTAGAGATATTTGTTCCTAGTCATGCGACTCAGAGGGAGTCAGTTGAAGGAAGCCGCGCCCGCCACCTAATAACCCCGTCTCAGACCAACAAGCCTGGACAGTGCTAAGTGAAGGTTCTTGCCACTGCCAGTGCGCACCGGCACCTGCGGAAGCTGTTCAAATTGTACCACGTGCGTCAGAGTGAACAAAAGGGTTCAGCGGAATGAGCCGAGTCGGAAGTTTCGACTATGTAAGTTCGACTTCGCACATCTCTTCCTATCAAATCACTGGCAACAATTCCCCACGATTCCCTTGCAAGGCCTAACAGCCCAGTTTCTGTAGCGCTAATCGATAGCCACTTTACTCGTGCCTAGTTTGGCTGTTTGCCCCACAACTTGCTCAACGTGCAAAAGTCGACAACGAATTTTTCTGGCGCTTCCCAAATTTCGACATGCCATGCCGTGTAAACAACATGTCTTCCTGGCACCTGTCTTCATCCCGTATTATTACTAATTGTACCAATCGGCCACACCCTGAACCCAATTCAGCCAGCACACAGGTGAACCGGTGACGACATGTAACGGCTTCACATTGGCTTCATCACTCCTTCATCTTGACTGAAAACGTAGGGTGCGCGCACTTACCAGATTACTATCCCAGAGCCCTCTCCTGGCGGCCCACTTTAAAATAAACGCGAAAAACAATCGGTTCTTCAAGCTCCCGGGTCTTATCATTAAGCGCTTGACGCAGATAACACGGGTGCGTTCTATTGCTCTCAGCTCTTCCCCCCGTGAATCTAGCCTTCCATCAATCTGCTCGTGGTTATTAGATGGCTCAAAACTCCATTCGTAGGAAGGCAGTCATCGTCGGAGATACCGCATGCGGGAAGGTTGGTCCACCTTCGGTTTTCTCGGTCATCCTAACAAGTTCGAACTTATGAGGATTCTTCTACATCAGACAAGTTTAATTCTCGCTTTGATTCAAGGCGAAGTCCCATACGTTACTGGTTTATGCCCTCCACCAGATCTGAGTCAACTAACTCATCATAGATACATGTTCCAACTGTATTCGAAAACTACGTTGCTGAGCTCGAAATCGACCAACGTCTTGTCGAACTCGGACTTTGGGACACTGCGGGCCATGAGGACTATGACCGACTCAGGCCCTATTCTTATCCGGGATCTCACACTGCTCTCATATGTTTCTCCGTTGACTCCCCGGAGTCCCTCGAGAATGTTGAAACGAAGGTGGAAGCTCGCTGCTACTCCGAAAACTTCTTAGCATATCTGATTCACTTGTCAGTGGATTTCTGAAATCAAGACTTGTTGCGCCGATGTGCCTGTAATACTCGTTGGGTGTAAAGTGGACCTGCGGAAGGATCAACGAATCGTTAGCCAGCTCGCCAATTTCAATCAACATCCAGTAACTACAGAGGAGGTGCGCCTTTTTTGATCTAGCCTCCGAGCGCACGTACCGACGTCACTGACGGAGGTTGTGTAGGGTATCGAAATGGCCAAAAAAATTCAGGCCAAGTACTATTTCGAAACCTCCGCGACGTCACGCTTGTGCGTCAACGAAATATTTGAATATACAATGAGGACGGCAATGCGTTACGTGGAGACCAGGCATGCGAAGAAGAAAAGAGATTCATGCATTTTCATGTAATTCAGCTGTCGTTAGCACGTTGGGAGTGTGTGGTAGGCCGGGGTGAACGCAATAAGAGGTCCATAAAGGCCATTCATGCTGGTGATACGGAAAAGCACGCTTCAAGCCTGAAGCGCGTCACATCACTCCATTCAACTCATCAAAATAAATGCCAGTGCCTGTCGCCTTCAGATGTCTTGATGGACAGTCGACGAACGCGGCCCTTGTGGTTCTGCGCTTCCACACTAAAGATTGACGTATAGAGTATCAGTGTCACTTCTGCTCTTTCCACCAGCAACGTATAAAGCGCACTGGTACTTAGTTCTCGCCCCGTCATTTTTTTCTCTCTAATGATCTTTACTCGCGGGTGAGATTAGATTCTCGGGTAGATCCATTAAACCAATAGTATTGCAGAAACATAAGCAAATAACAGATACAAACACGAAGAAAACGCCGTCTTTGCAGCATTTCACCCTCCTTTTTTAATATAGGATTATACGTTCGCCTCCCCGCGGGGACACTCATATGATCAAAAAAAAATCTCCCGTGATCTCGCATGAGACCACGGCAGAGAAAGTGGGTTAGTCATATCTGAAAGGCAATGAATACCTTCTTAATTCGCCCTGATAGTGCACCCCACTGGCGGCGAAAATGGGGATTGACGAGGAACCCAGTTTATGCGAAGAGCTATGGAAAGCATATAAGTTGAGATAGACCTCACAAAGTGACGTCAACTTACACATTAACGACACAGGCAAATGTCGAAATGGACAATGTGGATCTTTGCATTATCTGGCGAGGGGGTGTGAAGCGTCGATTGACACCTCATCGGCAACGTGGGGATTGCACACATGGGGATGTACAGGCGAGGCGCCTTATATGAAAAGTAACAAGTCGAGACTACAAAGTGACGTCAGCGTGCACATCAATGGCAAAGGCAAACATCGAAACGGACAATGTGAAGGCTAACATAAGGAATCAATATATGTCGAGCGTGGACAAAGCAAGACACAATAGACTGACCAAGCAGCAGAAAACACGGCAGATGACGATGCGCACCAGGTTTGTGCTGAGCATGAACTATGGAGAAATAAATGAGTTACACATGTGACGAAACAGCTAAACAGACACACCTGATGTTTAAAGGATGTCGTTGGAGAGTAGAAGTACAAGCGATTGGCGGATGTTGAGAAATCGAATCAAAGACGTCAGGAGAGGGAGCGATAATTTGTGAAAAGGGAGGAGAGTAGAAGTATGTCAACGTCGACCATAGTCGCGTTGCGACAGGAGGGCATTTTGCGGAACACGATATATGGTGTCAGGGCAATTGACGATGGTGATGTTCACGCAATATGACACAATGGTATGAGCCATAAATTCTGAAAAGGATCTGAGTGGAAGTACATCAATGTTAACCATAGAGGACTAACCTGACGTCGCGACGAGAGGGCGTTTTGCGGAACACGATATATGGTGTCGGGACAATTGAGGATGGTGATGTTCATGCAATATGACATGAAGGTATGAGCCATAAAATCTGAAGAAGGAATTGAGTGGAAGTACATCAACATTAACCATTGAGGACTTACCTGGCATCTTAATGAGAGGGCATTTTGCGGAACATGATATATGGTGTTGGGACAATTGAGGATGGATCTGGATGGTGATGTACATGCGATAGCACCTGGCGTCGCAACGAAAGGGTGTTTTGCGGAACGCAATATATGGCATCAGGACAATCGAGGATGGACCTGGATGATGCGTAGAGTGATGAGGATGAGTGTCGATGCTAGAAGCAAAGGTAAGTCGTCATCAAGAGCAAACAGGACATCAATCAACATACCTTGAAGAGAATGAAATGATGTTTTCCGGAATACAAAAAATCAGGTCCACATTGCCAAAGAATGATTGGCTAAAATGAATCCATGGGTAACGTGTCGTAGAGCAGCAGGGATATCTGTTCCTGCTACAACCACAGCTGAGCATCATGCAGGAGCAGAGAAAGCATCGATCGACAAACCTTGGAAAGATTCACAGCAACGAGATAGTGTTCCGGAATGCAGAAAGTTGAGTCGGCACCGTGAGGGCTGGCTGTCCCACTGCCACATAGCTTTCCCCGGAAAGCGAAAAACTGATTTTGGATGAGAGGAAGGCACAGGGACATGGAATATGTCGGAAAGAGATGAGACGTGGACGTAGAAATGTTCGGGGTATGTGGGCAACGAGACAACTGATGTTTGGATTGCACGCGACGAGAGCGATAATGTGCAGCGTCATTTTCCGGATTGTAAAATATCGAATTCACATCTGGGAATAGCCTGTGAGTCAGATAAAGTTACTAAGCACATGAAAAACAACTCACCAAACCATCCGAAAGCCTGAAAAATGAAAGGCAACATGCGAGAGATGAGGATGACATCCTAAAATGATCTATTAGTCAACATCCTTGAAGCCAAACAAAGATCGACTCACCACGATAAGATTGACGACAACAACCATAACATCTGCAAGACAAAACAGTGAATGTGAGTGCATTGGACAGTGTACCGATTAATGAATGACTGACTGACCAAGGGAAGGTATGACTGAAGGACAGCAACCGATGGGCATAAAGAAGGCATAGGGGAGAGGTCTGTCACAGCTGAATTCCACAAAGCTCTTATACCCTCCAGGTGCCAAGGAAAATCAACAAAGAGCTTGTGAGAGCAAGATACCTTGCATCAATTACGAACACACTGGCAACCGCTAGCAACATCTATCCAGACATGAACATACCACGGGGAACTCAGCATAACCTGAGATCTATCTATGGCCGAAACCCTAACTACTTGCACCCTTAAGTTTCGCATTTCTCAGACTCTTAGCATAAGTAAATTTCTGTGATTCAAACATTCAGAAAGATAATTCTTGTAGTAAAAGAACACCAAGGAATATCCTTCTGAATATTTGACTCACAGGCAGCTAAGGAGATCCAAATGAAGGGACATACAAAAATAACCAAGACCCGGTTGTTAACGGAACCTGTGCCGAAGTAGTGCCAAGAAACTAAGTTGTTAGTTCCTTTGAGAATAGTGTGATGAATTTTCCAGGAACACCCAGTTGAATGGAAAATTACGCAATGCACAAACAAATTTGCGTGCGGAACACATTGCTGGCAGGGGAAATTTGAGATACCACTCACCAAATTCCCAGCCCCCATCTTTCCAGCATGCTCCCCTTGGACCTTCAACCTTCTGACCTTGAGACTGCCATCCAGATGCATGAGAGGGGAATTCTACACCGGGTGAGTGCTCTTGACACAAACACAATTTTTTCTCATACTTACCTTCTCCCTCAATATTTTAGTAGATCACTGTCGCACTCCCTATCACCATGTGTCCTTGCCAACAATTTGTCGCACAAGTCCATTTCAGATTCCTTATATTCGACATTACTCACCATTTCTTAGATGGGTGGGGTGCCATTTCTCGAGGCTCCTGACGTGTCATCAGTGGGCGTGAAGAGGATCTGCATCAGGTGCGTGATCCATCATCGAATTGTATCCATCTTTTACTTACCTGGTCACCGTGCCCTCAGACTTCCAATTCTGTGCCCGCATATACGTCCTCCCACCATCACGCAAGCCACAGGTTGCCAAAGCACTCAATATATCGAATTTGCAGATTAAAAACGATTGGCGAAGAGTTTCTTGAAATCTCACATCCATTCATGATCGGCAAACATGGAGTGTTAGATTGAGTCTGGGTGAGTATGTCACATCGAGACTTAAATCACTCTGACACTCACTAATCGTGCAAGGGTGGAAGAAGGTATGGCGAGGTATGTAATGTACATGTAAATATATAGGAAGAGGGTGGGTGGGTGACGAAAAATGAGAGAAAAGCTCAACTATGAGGATAGAGTGAGCTATTGTAACGACAACCCTAGAGAAGAAAAGAAATTCACACCTAGCTGAGGGAGTGAGGTGTTGAAACGAGAGCCCTACAGAAAGGGGGGTTTCATCTCACTCCTCAGCTGGTAGTGCAAGTCTAAAATAAGATAAGATCCGAGCGTGGATCATGAAGTGTGTATCCAAGCGTGGATATCGAAGCACATATCCAAGCGTGGATATTCAATGAGCAGTGGCTCTGAGTTACGCGTCAGCGGACACGGAGAGTTTGAAGTTGTGCACGTGTAACTCAAGCTTTGGCCAGCTTTCATTGGACTTGAGTAAACAACGTTTAAACTCGACCAATGACGCTTAAGCTTGATGGCGTTACAGAGGCGACGTGGGACATGAGATAGCCAAACAATCAGAAATCGGGTGCCGTGGGCAGCCGATTCCGACACATTTCCACTCGAGGTATGGCTATAGTCCTATATTGAAGAAATAAAAAATAAAAAATAAAGTGATGAGTTCACATAGTGAAGGATGTGAGGAGCGGGGGGAAAGGTCTCGGTACATGCAGGATAAAAATTTAAAAAAAAAAAAAAAAATTACAACTTGTCCGATAATAAAGTGGTTGATGTCCATAGTAGTCGAGATGGCGTAAGGCCATACGTGTTGGGGTTGATAAGAGTCCATGGGTGAGAAGAGTCTGTTGGTAAAGTAGATAAGAAAAGTCTATTGAGAAAAAGAAAAGGAAAAAAGGTCGTTTCTCCAAAGCGTGGAGTTAGTTCTCCAAAGCGTGGAGAAAGGTGGTTTGGGATCGCTTGGTTTGTCCGAAAAGGAGTGCTTGAATGAGCACGGGGTTTTTTCGAACATAGATTTTGAAGGCGTCTGACGCCCATCTGCCAATAGCTTGAATTATTGAGGGTGGTACACCATTCTCGGCTAGGGAGGTGGCTCCTCCAGCACGGAGTGATTGGCCGGCGGTGTCGGAATTGAAGAATCGACGCAATCGTCGTATGAAAAAGGAGCGGGTAGGTACCGTGCCTTTGCTGGTGAGCCATAACGGTGAGCTAAATGGGAATTTAGCATCACGGGCTTGTAGATACTTCAAAAATTGTTTGTGAGGGTCAAACTTGTGTGGGTTTTTGCGTATGATGATCGTATTTCCTTCGAAAAACCTGTCGGCCTTATGTCCAGGCAGGAAGAACTTGTAGGAAACGTCGTCAGATTGCACCAAGCTGCGCTTTGTGACCTTTCTCGGATCTCAGAGTTCTGGGTCGTCAGGGTAAGTCATTTCGCCTAGTCGGAGTAGTGCAAAGAAGCCTGTCAATAGCTGAGCAAGGAAGAGTGTGTCGTCATAATCAGTGGAAGAGGAGAGTGCATCGACGACGGTTTCGAGGTCTCCTATGGTGAGAGCACGTTTGTGCGAGGTGGGGACGGCTCGCATTCTCTTGCAGCCCTGCAATGTATGATGTACCAGAGCAGAGTTGCGAGAGGACCGAATATCCAGGAAGTAGGGTTCCAATTGATGGCATATGCCTGATAGGTACGTTCCCACCAAATCGGGTTTGATGTGGTGGCACATGTAGACGGTGAATAAGCTTAAGGTATCGGGGGTTGGGTCTAGTGGGTAGTCGTGCATTTTCACGAAGTTTAAGTAGGAATTGAGTGCTGATCCATAATTTTTCCAGGTTGAATTGTCCACTGCTTGTCTGAGGGCAATAGCACGCTCATGGATGAGGCGCTCCCGCATCCAGACTTCCCTGAGGGGTTGTCTGGACTTGACGTTTGACGAGATCATTTTTGCGCAGCCCCCAGCGTCAATTGAGGGGGTGTAAAGGTGGATATGGTAAGTCCAGGCACATGTTGTTGTGCAAGGTCGAAATTGCTCCGCGATATCGCATCGGCAACATAGTTAAGTTCTCCTGCGATATGGAGCACGCGTAGGTGGAGGCTACCCTTTATGAGGGTGTCGGCGGCACTGATGAGGATGCTGTTATATCGCGGAAGGCATCGCAAAGTATTGAAGATGGCCACTGTATTATCATTATCAGTGTAAATCAATATGCGCGACGATTTTGTAGGGTGTTGTGAGTCATCGATGTAGTGGAGTGCAGACAGGACACACAACGCCTCGAAGTAAAAAATTTGTTCCTCGTTTAATCCATCAGGTACAGGTGAGTAGAAGCCGACACATTTGTCAGGCCACCAAAACCCCATACCCTCAAGACAGGCATCACAGTATATCGTGAAATCGGCAGATGAGGCATCCCATCGTAAATGTTGGATGAGGCGAATCCCTGAATCTTTTTCAAGGTGTCCAACTGCCCAGGACAAGTCGGCGCGAACAGTGTTATTAATTCTGACACATCTGTTTGGAGCATTTTTGCCACTTATCTTTGCATAGAAGTTGTTGAGAGCAGGTCGGAGGAGAGGGAAGATGTTGAAGCTCCAGTTCATCCAACCAGCTAAGCGTTGCCATTCCTTTAGTGAAAATCTTCGACGGTTGGTAATGAAATCGGTTATGGCAGCGATTAAGTCTTGCAATGAATCCGGGGGCATGGACATGGTCAGCTCGTTAGCATCGACTTCTATTCCAATGATGGTGAGGACTGAGCCGTAGACTTGTTTCTTCTCCTTGTGTGGCAAGTTAATCTCATCCCAGAGTTGTAGGATCCTGACTTGATTCGTGGGCATGAACTTTCGATAAGGTTCATACCAAGTCACATTGTCCGTATGCTCGGGACCGAACGAGTCGTCTGAGTATGTTCCCAGTAACTCCACATTGCGCTTTTTCTTCACAATCCACGAGACGAGGGACATAAAAGCAATCCAGTTACAACCTGAACCGCGTCCGCCGAAGGCACAATTCCTGTCAATATGTAAGGAGCCATCAATCCGATTCGCTTGCTTTATTTGCCAATAAGGGTGTACTGGTAGTAGCCGATAAGCTTCGGCAACGTCAGACTTGAAGAGGGTTCGAGGTGAGTCAGGACTTCGACGATGCATTGATAGGAGAAACTCCCCAAGATGGCGCAGGTTGTCTAGTGGGTACCCGACAATGTCATCACGGGGTATCATACTGTTCAAAGAGCAATTCCCTGCACTTTGGTGAGTAACCATTCGCAAATCTGTTGAATGAGGTTTGGGAATGGCAAATACTGGCATGCAATACATCCCTGGTAAAAGTTTTTCTCCAAATGCTTCGGAGAAACGCCCCTTGAATATTTCGTGATCACGTTGGTCACGTAAAAATTGGGCTTCCTTGGGATCATCCGTTTGAGGGTAGGAAAGGTCGAGCGTGTCTGGATATTCTCCAATGTGGGTGTCGGCCCATGGCCAGAAACCCTCACGGAGACCACGGCACACTGACTCTACGAATGGTTGGTTCGGGTGCGATTCCAGGAGAAGTTGAAAGCGGTCGACATAGATGGGGGTAACGATGTCGAAAAGGTTTGGGTTTTCTGTAATTGTCTTCGTAGTGACAGGGTTAGCCAGTTCTGAGCTTGGAATGGTTGGCAGGGGTCTTGCTGTTTCAGACCAATCAGCGGACGATTTGGAGAAATAGTCGTAACCCTCCCAGATATTATGACGAAGGTACTTAGGTTGAAGGTCTAGAGCTAGATCCTTCTTTACAATCGCCAGACTTTTCGCCGTGACCCGTGCGTTTGCATTTTCTGCAGGCATGCTTGAATCGACAGTCTTCGGCTGAGTTCTTGCAGCTGTTGATTGAATTATAACGGTGGCATAGTTCGGTTTTTGAGATTGTTCTGCCTGTGAGTCGCTTAGACGTGAGCCGAGAATGGTCTGACTCGATCCCGTCTGGCATGACGATGGCTGAATAGAATCTGGAAAAACGGTGGGTGTCTGTAAGTAAAGCATTCTGGCCTCCCCCGACTTCGTTCCTGATGGCAGTATCGTACAGGATGATTTTTCGGTGGGAGGATGCGACTCTGGCTGAGAAATGGCCCTCAATGTATTCCCCATACTCCCGTAGTTCTCGCTCTCGATGAGGGAAAGCGAATTTAATCGCTTTGATGGTCGCATTCCAGGCGCTCATCCACTCGCCGCTCGTTTGGACTTTCTTTGAAGGTTCTGATCGGCCAAGGGAGATTTCAGTAGATCCCACGCGTCCAGTGTTCTCCTTAGGAGCGGATATATGGTGCAATGATGAGAGCACTGCATCGAGGTTGACAGCTTGTCCTCGGACAATGTTGTCCCATTCTGAGCTTGGGAATCCGAGAGGCGCTGTTCTGGAGTTTTGAATCCACTGCTTAACGGTTTTGAAGTCTCGAGCGAATAAGGAGAGTATTCTGCGTGATTCTTCACATTCCTTGTTTCCGGTGTGTCTCTCTTCTTCTTCTCGAGAGAACCAGGGCATTTGAGATTCGAAAACTCTATGTTTTTTATTGGATTGCGCTCCTTCAACGTCAGAGTCATTGGCATCATCATTGGTGTCGATGAAGTCTCCAGAAAGGGGTCTCTTAGACTTTCTGGATTCCCCACTGATATGAGATATGAGTTTGTCAATCTCGGCATCACGTTGATGGCCTCTAACGTGTGCGGCTCGAGTGTTTGGTCCTTCAGGGAGCTGGAGTCCTCGTTGGACTTGTTCTCATCGCCTACCTGATCCTCTACATTACAAACGGACGAGATGAAGAAGAAAAGAGGGAGCAGGAGGGTGGGTGAATGCAAGATACCGCTACCTCAGAAGGATGGGGTAGGAGGAAGAGAGAGGAAAGTTCGACTCTGCTCAACCTGAAACGCTGGTCTCAGAGACCAGGAATATCTCGGGGAGAGGAGATGTGTTACGTCCCCTAGGCACCCGTGCGCCCGATTAGACTACAGTAAAAATAATTCTAAACTCGACTAATCGTGCAAGGGTGGAAGAAGGTCCGTAATCTTGAATACAAATGAAAGATAATAGGCAAAAACAGGGTTGCCTCGATGTGAGGGCAACCCGCGAGAAATGTATTTCACGGCCTCAATGTCCTATTACCTATAAATGTGAGTGAGGGAAAGGGAAGGGGGGGAGATTATATAAGTGTCTTTTGAAAAAGGAAGAAAGAAGTTGAGTGGAGTGGAGTGGAGTGATGTTTGTAAGAGGCCGGGATAAAAATCTGAGGCAGTACAAGTCAGAGAAAATAGTCCAATGTTAAATGAAAAAAGTCAAAAGATCAAATGTTCGTAGCTGGTTGGTGGGCAGGGTGCCCAAATAACATAGCTTGGAGAAGAACAGGATTCTTTCTGATGTAGATCTGAAAGGTATCTGATGCCCATCGTCCAATGGCTTTAATGATGTTGGGAGGTACACCAGCTTCAGCAAGAGAAGTGGCACCTCCAGCACGCATAGATTGGCCTGCAATATCGGCAGGGAAGAAACAACAGAGTCGTTTCATGAACCAGGAGTGGGTCGGCACACTGCCAGACTCACGCAACCAAAGTTCAGGTTTTAACGGATGAAGGGTGTCTCGTGATTGTAAATATGAGGTGAAAAATGAGTATGGGTCGGTTGGGAGGTTTGTCTTTTCGATGATAATCAAGTTTCCTTCATAGAAGCGGTCGGCCTTGTGGCCAGGCAGCCAAAATGAGTAGGATTTCTCGGTGATATCAACAGTGTGCCGGAGGATAACTTTCCGATAATTGCGCTGTGCAACTTTGTCTGGGAAGGTAATCTCTCCAAGACGCATGAGGCCATGGAAACCTGTCTCTAGCATTGAGAGGAATAGCTTGTCATCATGACAAGTGGAAGACCCTATGGCAGAGATGACAGTTTGCAGATCAGTGGTTGACAGTGGGCGTTTTCGTTTTACAGGAGTTCCAAAGCGGCGTTGACATCCTGTCATAGTACGTGACACAAGCATAGAGTTGCGGGTTTTCCTCACATCTGGGAAGAAAGGTTCAAGCTGATTGCAGATCCCGGATAGATAAGAATTGATGGAAGAGGGTTTGATATGTGATGACATGTAGACAGCATAAAAGCTGAGAGTTTGTTCAGTGGGTGTGATATCGAACTTGTGGATTTTGCAGAACGTGAGATATGAGTTCAGGGCTGATGTGTATGTGATGTGAGAAGAGTTGTCAATGGACATCCCCAATGCAATTGACCGTTCATGAACTAGACGATCAAGAGTCCATGGTTCACGCTGGGGTTGGCGAGAACCACGTGAAATAGAAATCATTTATTAATTACCCCCAGCGTAGGTGATCGAGGGGGCTGCAGATAAAGGTAACAATGCGTAACATCGGAAGAGGTGGGTCGAGACATATCAGGGATGAAATTACTGGGAGGACGGGCACTCAGGTCCTTTGTGGCCACCCTTGGAGCACTTGTTGCAAACATGGAGTCGACGACACTGGCTGCCATCAAGCAAGCACAGCCCCTCATTCCATCGGTTGCATGCCTCCTGTTTCTTGCGTGAAGTCGAGGGTACCTTTGAGATAGGTAAGCGTTGCACAACAGCTGCACCAATGGAATCCATGTGTGCGGTTCTAAGATCGGCAAATTTGTCGAAATGAGTGAGCTCGAGATCACGTCGGCTGCCGACACGACGGCGAACAGCCTTGTCGAAAAGAATAACTCGGTCATGGAACAGGATATCAGTTGCTGCAAAAAGTGCGATGATGTACTCAGCATAGTCGGCCAGTTCTCCCGCACGATGAGGGAAAGCCATTGACGTTGCGCGAGATGCTCTATTCCAAGCGATTGTCCACTCCCCCGCACTTGAAACAATTTTGGTTGGGGCAACGGTTCCAAATTTGATATCGAGATCACCGATTGACTCAATGCGCTCGTCGTTATTGGATGTCGAGTAATAACCTGTAAGTACCGTGTCGAGGTTGACAGCGCGACCCGCAAGAATGTTCGTCCATTCGGAGTCTGGGAATTCAGGGCATGTGGGTGAGTTGATGAGGGATCGCTTCGTGCCCTTAGGGTCGACTGAATACAGTTTGAGGAGGTTGAGTGAAGCTGTGAGGGAAGGGGATAAAGTGACCGAATGTATGAAATCTGAGACAACCCATGGGTATTGAGACTCATCAGGTTTTGCACGTTTCGTTGGGCGAGACAGTTCCTCCTCATCAAATTGCTCTTCAACAGGTGATTTCGAACGTTGCCTATTGCTGCGGCATTCGGCTTCGGAAAGGTGGTGTTCGTGGTTTTCAAGGATGACGATATAGCGCGCAAAGGCCTCTTCGACTCCTGTCGGGTCTGCTGGTAATGCGTCGGTGAGTGTGGTGTAGATTCGGCTAAGTGCTGTGGCTTTTGAGATGTTTGAGGCACGAAAGTCTTCGATTGGCTTGTTGCAAGCAGCAAGGGCAGCGATAGAAACTGGGGCATTCCCAAGCGTTCGAACTCGACTTTGCCCAGATTCCGGTGACAAGGATCGGCGATTACCAGAACCTTGTTCACCGGAAGTTGTTCCTGGATGCTGTTGATCACTCGCACCGTTGTTACCACCTTGAGTAGTGTCATTGTTACCACCAGAAATAGGAGTTTCAAGAGGAGTAGGAGTTGCATCAACGACATTGCCAGTAGACATGAGATGAAATGATGAGGATTTGATCCGATGCAACTAAGAGTTGTAATATGAATGCAAGATACCGCTACCTCAGAAGGATGGGGTAGGAGGAAGAGAGAGGAAAGTTCGACTCTGCTCAACCTGGAACGCTGGTCTCAGAGACCAGGAATATCTCGGGGAGAGGAGATGTGTTACGTCCCCTAGGCACCCGTGCGCCCGATTAGACTACAGTAAAAATAATTCTAAACTCAACTCATCTTCGTCCAGATGCATGATTCAACACAGCCACGATCAAGCGGTAAACCGACTCCATCTGAAAGGAGTCTTTTTGGCATGTAAGTAACGGTATTCTCACAGACTTCTTGCTTACAATTCAATACAGGAATTACAGACCCTCAAGGAGCGGGAAGGGGGAATGATGGTGGCGAGGAAGGAAACTGGCATCTGCTTCGTGTTCCGTAATCTTATCTCCGATATCAATTTCTATGCGAGACATGCACAGCAGTTAGCACTATCATTGAGTGAACACAATGCAACACCCTCATACTTAGATGAATGCAATAAAGCAATTCATTAGACAACCTTATTGCAACCTTAAGAAAAGTTCACAAAGTAACCTGTAGTTGGCATTTACATGCGTAAGTATATTTCCGCCTCCCTGTCTCAAGTTCAACATCGACTCTTCGAACCTTTAAAAAGACATCTACATCATGTAGAATATGTATATAGTTGTTTGAGATCCTCCAACTTATGGTGGGAGTAGAAATTTGCCAGCGGGAACATTGGTTTACATGTGTGCTTGGTTAATAACTGGTACCATATTCCATTCATCCTTCTTATATATGTATTGGGATAGGCATACATTATACAAATGTACAAGTTCAATAATCGAAGGTGCAGAAGATTGTTGGTGTGCGGGATATCTTTGACGGTGTTCTCCTCCTCCTCCCTATCATCCGTTCACAAATACATCACGCTTGGAACTTCTCCTTGAAACAGATGAAATTACGTGTCAGGGTCCTATTCAGATATTTTATCCGGTATCAAAGTGCCTGAATTTCCAGCGCTTTTTGCACTAGAAGATTGCCAGCAGGAATATGCGCGCAACGCCACTAAGCCCTTGCATTCTGTTTATTCCACTCATTTGAACAGCAATTTTTGGTAGTCTAAGTGTATTCCCATTGACACTACATCGAACAAAATCTACAATTTTTTTTTTGTGCACAGAAGTCTAGTAATACCCGTTCTTGTCACCCCCTCCTCCTCCCCATCATCCGCGCAGAAATTGTCGCACTTGGAATTTCCCCTTGAAACTGACAGGTTTAAGTGTCAGGGTCCTTTTCGAATGACATTTCAAATATCCTGTGCCTAGTGTTCCAGGACTTCCACTGCTAGAAGATTGTCACTGGGGATCTGCGCATTTGTGTGCAATTCAGCGATCTCACATGCCTCATATCCCAAATGCGCAATCTCTTTCATTGGTAAATGCACGCTTGTAGTAGGTGAGATAGACATGGCTAGGGATGTCATTTTTGCATTGAGAAGTATGAGCAACCACTCTGGTCGAGTCCTTCTCCTTCCCATCCTCGCAGCCGCAATATACCGCGCTTGGAATTTCTCCGGATCCTTGAAACTGACAGTTGTAGTCAGGGTCTCATTTGGATGATCTGTAGATCTGATATGCCTGTGCTTGGCCTTCTGTACTTTCTGGTGCTAGAATATAGGTAACCGTTAACGGGGATCTGCACACAAAATTCGTGTCTCTCTCCTCTTTCTTGGTTTCTGTTTATTCCGCATGTATGATACATTCATTATATTGATGGGAGCTTCGTTTGGGGTCAGATAATGAATATTTGTTTACAAGTTTCTTCTGAATTGAATGCGCCGCAAGTAATTCATGATCTCAGAGCTATAATCTGTGTACAATCCTAAATGGCAATCGATGTTAAAAGGATTCAACTCGACGACACAAGTACTCGACGTATCTCCTAAATAAGTCAACAGTAAAAGAGGGGATTTGCTCCACAGATTAAGATACAGGCCAGAAACGAGGATATACAAGAGGAGACACACACACACAGATGAGGAGTAGGACACATCATGTGAGAAGCGACACACCTGGTAACAATGTGTCGTTCTTCGTGATTTCGCATTTTCGAGTGTGCCGTGCATAAATTCGAAACTTCGCCACAAGTTACGAGCGTGATGATCGCTGTGACGACTTCGTCACGACCGCTTTCTCATCACCACCACTTGACCACCACCGCCATTTGCTTGCCTGTGCCCCACCACCCCCCTCGCTCTCTTCCTGCCCATCTCGCACCCTCGCTATGGCTGACAAGGACCAAGAGAACGGTCATGGGCTCTTTCAGGTGGTTTCCACTTTGTTCAGCCCCGGATTTTTGCTAACAACCCACCACCATCACCTCCCACACCCTATGCCACGGCAAACGCGACCACCGCCCCCAATTCAACCCCCTCTCGCAAACTCAACCCTCGGATTACGACTAATCGCCCATGAAAACACCCACAAAACCGCCCATCTACCAACGGCAACAACCCAGCGCCCAGGATAAACCACCCACGCTGACGGAATCGGCCCATGAAAATGCCTGCACAGACAGAATCCAGCGCTGAGGCCCATCGACGAGGACCCAGTGCCACTTGGCAAACCAACAGGGGATACGGCACCCACCGTGCAGCCAAGTGTGTACCCCACGCCTCCCCACTAACCAACCCCGAATGACAGCGAAAATGCCAGCGCCCTTTGCGACGAGGCCACCACTGCGTCCCGCCCGACCACGGCCACCGAGACTACATACTGACACCCAGATGCGCCGATACTAGGCCGTCGACAGTGAGGATTCTTGGTGCGTACATTCCAGGGTCGCGAGGTTGCTCCCTCTCTTAGAATTTATGTATAACTTTGTATAGTAAGTAGTTTAAGGAATAAAACTTAAAATCCTAAATTTTACTTGAGCATGGAGAGGCAGATTTTGACTTAACCACAGAATCTTTGGTGTATGATACATAGCTAATTTCCGTCACACATCAAATTTTCATTTTCTGATAATCCAAAAAGGGCGGAATCAATCGAGATAGTATGGTATCATGCGGATAAGATTCGACACACCTTCCTGAGCAAGTGACCGACATTTGCCATCAAATGTGTTGAACATTGGACAGGTGTGTCGTTCTCCATCACGTGTGTCGTGTCTCATTTCTGTGTGTGTGTGTCGACTCTTGTCCGTCCTGGCCAGAAACTACCAGGACCATTCCTCCGCGTCGAGTTCCTGGATTTGTGAACCCTGGAATAATTTTTTGTTGATGTCACGTAACCACACCAGCTACAACAGTCACACGCATACTCTCAGCTATCTTCCTGAATGTATAAAAGGGCTGGGTTAACTCTGTTTTCGATAGGATTTCCGCCGCTTACCTTACTACCTTCTCCTCCTCCCCTTTCCTCTCGACGCCGACACCTTTCACCCCATCTTCCTTGTCGTCATCGCCCCCGATCGGTAAGCCCTTCCATTCATAATCCGACTCGTTGGCGCTGACTGTCCTCTGCAGTGAAGTCGTCTGCGATGCCGTCTACGGTGAGTCCCCCCGGCCCCTGCACCTCCCCGCTTTGCTGATCTGCTGGCTCGTCGTTTCAAGACTCGTTCTCAGTTCATTGGCGCTGATTGTACCCCGCAGTCATTGAAGTCGTCTGCGATGCTGCGTGTTCTAAATATCAGGTCAGTGTCGTCGTCTAACCCACACATCAACGTAGGTAACTTACTTGATGCTTCTAGATGCGAGGGAGTAGATCCTTCGTCAACCTATGCATCCACAGGGCATTTTCGAGAGGGCGAAAAGTGTAATGGAAATGGGGAGGGGTTCTTCTGGTCCGTTGATGTGAGTCCCCCCTCTGCTTCCCCTCCCCGCTTTGCTGATCTGCTCGCCCGTTATTCCAAGGCTCGTTCTCGATGTCAGGTCAGTGTCGTTGAACCCGCACATCAATGAAGGTAACTTGCTGTATGCTTTTAGAATGCGAGGGAGTGGATTCTTCGTCAGTGTATGCATCTACGCTGAAGGTCCGTCAGTTGCGATTACCGTGTTTGAGAACAGCTGCTTACCCTGTGACCGTAAGCGCCCGCTGTCCGCCCGTCAAGATTCACCCCGACCACCACAGCATGCCTACTGCCTCGTCAACTCGATCAACCCTTTCGGACGCGACGCTTGAGACCGCAGATGAAGTTGTAGTTTTGACCAGGGAGAGCGTGTACTGAAAGAGTGGCGAAGTTCTGGCCGCCAACGTACGTCAAACTGTTCTCGAACGATCACTGCATTCACTTACCAGCATTGAAGCCAAGCCCAGCAACGTTGCTGCAGTTGACGCGCTGTCCCGCCGCCCAACCTCTTCGAACCCATCGTCACGCCCTGATCAATGCCAATGCCCACGTTCATGCGCAACAGCATGCCAACTCCATGAATCGTTTCGTCCGCACCACTCAAGACGATGGGTGAAGTCGAAGTATTGGCAGGGGAGATGAACCCACAGGTTGAGAAGATTCTAGCCGCAAACATACGTCAGACCCTTCACGACCGATCACTGCATTCACTTACGAGCCTTGAAGCCAAGCCCGACCAAGAGGTGTCAGATCGGTGGATCTTGGACGTGTGATTTGGCCACGCGAGCTTGACAACGGTGATTTCCGATGGTCGGCATATCAGCGGCAGGAGGAATGGGATCAATGGGATCCAAATGGGATCATCAACGATCAAATTATGGGGAATGTTTGAAGGATTGATATGGACATTTGAAGGTGAAGGTGAATGGGGTGATACAGTATATACAGTATCAATGTGCCATGGCTGGGAGGATATGTCGATGAGGGCACGTCTGAAGGAGCGACGCGCGCTAGGTGTTGCAAAGAATGTGGGGGACGCGTGAAGGGAGTGATTGATGGTGGATTGATGGTGATTCCTGCCTTACCCTCGTGCCGAGTCATGCCGTCCTTCCTTATTTGGGGGGGGGTCCCCTACCCTCCCCCCACGTCCGAGATCGGCAGATCTGACGCCTCTTGAGCCCGACGGCGTCGTTGCCATTGACGCGATGTACCGCCACCCAACTACCGTCAAGCCCTTTCTAATGGCAACGTTTGCGTTCTCGCAGTGCGCCAACGTCCTGTCCGCTGTTCGAAACACGTAATAGTGTTGTGTGGAACGCCCTGCTCACGAGACTAAGTCGTTCCTCCCCCGTAAACGTAATTTCGTCGGCATAGAAGTTGGTTGTTGAAGTCTAGGGGTCGTTGTGAGTTGACTGGAAAGATACATGGCTGACTATAGCGTTGTTCATGACTTACCCAACGTCTGGCATGCCTCCCATGCATCACTAGTCAATCGTGATCCTCTGATATCCACGCCGTCGCTCTGTCAGGCCCGACGTCGTTGAAACGGCATGGGTATTGATCTTGTTAACAACGTGTATGCCGGTGAAAACTGAATTGTTATGTTGAAGTTGCGGTGGCATCCCGTGTCGTCGTCGTTGTGGAGTTGTGGACGTGCCCACGGTGTTCCTGCACGCTGTCCGAATCTCGGAATAGTGTCGGTTCGGACACACCACGCTCATGATCATCAGGCGTCCCTCCCGCATACATGTTATTCCGTCGACGTAGAAGTCGATTCATACAGTCTATGGGGATCGTGATTCGTGGCGACTTGATTGGACAGCTACGTGAGCGGCGACGATGTCTGACGAGTTGCAGATTACTTACTCGATGTCGCAGCAGCTCTTATCAACATGCCGTCTGTCCTTCCCATCCACACCATCGCCCTTGCTTGGCATTCCTTGCTAAACCGTCGTCCCCATCCCCCGTTGCTCTGCGTTGTCTGATGTTGCTGAAATGGCGTAGGTATCCATGTTGTTGACAGCATGTATGTCGGTTAGACAGATCGTTCATCTGTAGAAATAGGAACAACGAGCGGGATCGTTGCACAAGACGTCAAACTTTCTGAATTGACGGTCATTTCCTCGCACTTTGCATTGTAAACGCAGCTTACCTTTCACCCATCGTCGTCGTTGCCCTGAACACTCTCCATCACTCAACTTGCCATGTTGAAGTTGCCGTGGGATGTCGTGCGTCGTCGTTGTATGTGATGATGGTAATTGGAAGGAAGTGCCAACTGTCGGAGAAAAGGTGAACGTCAGTCAGAAAGTCATAGACAGAACACACCCGAGCACGTTTAAGATGGAAGGAGGACGACGTCGGGAGTCCTTTTGGCGTTGACCAGCGGTTCCTGGGCGTTTGTCTCGATAGCTGCTACGATGTCGATCATGGGCGCTGCTTGTGACTCAAGAGAATCGAAGGGCGTGTCCAAACTGCATAGCTAAAGATATTTGTTCCTAGTCATGCGACTCAGAGTCAGTGGAAGGAAGCCGCGCCCGCCACCTACAACAAGCCTGGACAGTGCTGCCACTGCCAGTGCGCACCGGCACCTGCGGAAGCTGTTCAAATTGTACCACGTGCGTCAGTGTGAACAAAAGGGTTCAGCGGAATGAGCCGAGTCGGAAGGTTCGACTATGTAAGTTCGACTTCGCACATCTTCCTATCAAATCACTGGCAACAATTCCCCACGATTCCCTTGCAAGGCCTAACAGCCCAGTTTCTGTAGCGCTAATCGATAGCCACTTTACTCGTGCCTAGTTTGGCTGTTTGCCCCACAACTTGCTCAACGTGCAAAAGTCGACAACGAATTTTTCTGGCGCTTCCCAAATTTCGACATGCCATGCCGTGTAAACAACATGTCTTCCTGGCACCTGTCTTCATCCAGTATTATTACTAATTGTACCAATCGGCCACACCCTGAACCCAATTCAGCCAGCACACAGGTGAACCGGTGACGACATGTAACGGCTTCACATGGCTTCATCACTCCTTCATCTTGACTGAAAACGTAGGGTGCGCGCACTTACCAGATTACTATCCCAGAGCCCTCTCCTGGCGGCCCACTTTAAAATAAACGCGAAAAACAATCGGTTCTTCAAGCTCCCGGGTCTTATCATTAAGCGCTTGACGCAGATAACACGGGTGCGTTCTATTGCTCTCAGCTCTTCCCCCCGTGAATCTAGCCTTCCATCAATCTGCTCGTGGTTATTAGATGGCTCAAAACTCCATTCGTAGGAAGGCAGTCATCGTCGGAGATACCGCATGCGGGAAGGTTGGTCCACCTTCGGTTTTCTCGGTCATCCTAACAAGTTCGAACTTATGAGGATTCTTCTACATCAGACAAGTTTAATTCTCGCTTTGATTCAAGGCGAAGTCCCATATGTTACTGGTTTATGCCCTCCACCAGATCTGAGTCAACTAACTCATCATAGATACATGTTCCAACTGTATTCGAAAACTACGTTGCTGAGCTCGAAATCGACCAACGTCTTGTCGAACTCGGACTTTGGGACACTGCGGGCCATGAGGACTATGACCGACTCAGGCCCTATTCTTATCCGGGATCTCACACTGCTCTCATATGTTTCTCCGTTGACTCCCCGGAGTCCCTCGAGAATGTTGAAACGAAGGTGGAAGCTCGCTGCTACTCCGAAAACTTCTTAGCATATCTGATTCACTTGTCAGTGGATTTCTGAAATCAAGACTTTTTGCGCCGATGTGCCTGTAATACTCGTTGGGTGTAAAGTGGACCTGCGGAAGGATCAACGAATCCTTAGCCAGCTCGCCAATTTCAATCAACATCCAGTAACTACAGAGGAGGTGCGCCTTCTTTGATCTAGCCTCCGAGCGCACGTACCGACGTCACTGACGGAGGTTGTGTAGGGTATCGAAATGGCCAAAAAAATTCAGGCCAAGTACTATTTCGAAACCTCCGCGACGTCACGCTTGTGCGTCAACGAAATATTTGAATATACAATGAGGACGGCAATGCGTTACGTGGAGACCAGGCATGCGAAGAAGAAAAGAGATTCATGCATTTTCATGTAATTCAGCTGTCGTTAGCGCGTTGGGAGTGTGTGGTAGGCCGGGGTGAACGCAATAAGAGGTCCATAAAGGAAAGTTATTACCATTCATGCTGGTGATACGGAAAAGCACGCTTCAAGCCTGAAGCGCGTCACATCGCTCCATTCAACTCATCAAAATAAATGCCAGTGCCTGTCGCCTTCAGATGTCTTGATGGACAGTCGACGAACGCGGCCCTTGTGGTTCTGCGCTTCCACACTAAAGATTGACGTATAGAGTATCAGTGTCACTTCCGCTCTTTGCACCAGCAACGTATAAAGCGCACTCCCGCGCTTAGTATTTAGTTCTCGCCCCGTCATTTCTCTCTCTCTCTGCATCAATGATCTTTCAAGCAATCTATATCCTGTCGACCGCTATGCTTTCTCTTCTAATAATGTGCTGTCGAGCTGCCTGCCCTGCTTGTCCCGACGACGTCGAAGGGCAAGCCGGTACATTATACCTGCTAAAAAATCAAACAAACGGGTTGTGCATGTAGGATGTTATTTTTCTTGTTCAATTTTGTGCGGCTCACGATCTTCTAGTTACTCCGGACAAAGTTTTTGGTCTGAAGGCTTTACGTTTGAGTGCAATTTTGACGTTAGTCCCTTAAACTTCCTCGAAAATGACGACTTGTCCACGTCACACGTTACTTCATCAGCTCTCTGGCGCACTCTTTCTTGCTTCCCCTTCTGCGGGTCCATTTTGTCCGGAACACGTGAATTTGACGGAAGCTGCTTGTATTTTTTACACGGACGGGGGTAACAGTGACTAGAAAAATTCACTTGGTAGAATAGAGAGTGCTTCGCGTTGTATTAAAACAATCATGACATGAGTTTCCGACTGCTTCTTGCTGCTTCTTTTTACTCGACATTGCGCGTTTGGCCGCTGGCGAACGATGTGTGAATATTCAACGTATTTTTGTCCAGTAGACCTCACATTACTTACAAGGAACAGCGCCGGCCGGGGTCCACTACATCCGAGTCATAGCAGCTGGCGCCTTTTATTTGCTTGATCTTCCCTCCACCATTTGATAAGCATTCTCAAATCCACGTCCAAGTCATCGCGCCTAAAGTATAAATTTAAAGTGAATGCAAGTTAACTCTTCCATGCATCAAAGGGGACGAACGGTGGGGCCACGCCTTCCTGCAGAGCGGGAGAAATATAACCTTTAATGATCTCATCTGCAACAGTGTAACTGAAGCGAAGTTCTGGCATCTTGAGCAACGAAAAGTTCATTTCTGCTTGGCGATCTTGAGTAAAATATAACCCCCAAGAATTCGACTCTACAAAGCCTTGAGGCAAATCTGCGAGTTTTGGAAGGAGGTCCACCGTCCAACAATACTGATCCCCAATGACGCGTCTACCATACGCAAATGCTGACGTTCTGTCGTCGATCTCGGCCTGTGTGAGCCTATCCACAATAAGCCAACCCCTCCCTGCATACTTATTTTTGGCCACCATCTGAGAGTCCGCCCGCCACGATCCATCACTTGAATGTAAGGATCTTCTCTCCTCAAATGTAGACCGGGGGTATAATGAATAAGCTTTTTCGTGGGTGATTAAATTCATCACGCAAGCTGCCCAAATTTTTCTAAAAGTTCAGAAACAATAGGAAGAATGATTCACTCACTAGAATGAAAGTTGAGAATGACCTCCAGAGGAGAGTGGTAGGAAGTAATCAACTGAATTTTTCTATCTGGATCTGACTTGTGGAAATCATAAACTTCGCCAACTCCTTTCCCGAAGTATCCTATGGTCTCTGCTGGAAAAAACGCGTGGAAATGCTGGGGAGTACCGGAGTGAATTTCTTGATAGGCAAGGCGAAAATCCGTGTCTTGTTGCTTCCGTGGTACAAACTCGTAACCAATACTAAACAGCCAGTACGCCATTCGATCTGCGTATAGGTGCTCAACGTATATATCCAAGTCTGAATCAGGGTAGAAGGATCTATCCAAGAACTGGAGTGCAGTTGATCCAGAGATCAGCATCCCCGTTCGCGATTGCCAGTAGCGAAAATAACGTATTTCCTCTTCTGTAAAGAAGTGTTTCAATTGATTTTCGATCTTGAAAGCCCGTTGACAGTATGAGGAAACCCGACTGCGCGCAGTTTTGCATGTCGCGGCATACCGGAAAAGATTTGCGGGAGATAAGCAAGAGAACAGTAGGTCGTCTGTGGTAGAGGGACTGAAAAGTATCAAGTCTTGAATATAAAGAATGAAACACGCTTGGCTTACAGCATTGCAAAGGTCTCAAGAAGACCTCTCAAGTGAAGAAGTTGGAGCGCAAGGTTAAGTGACAAAACGAACGGACGTGATCTGATGATCACGACAATACTGGGCTATCACGTGATAGTCACCTTTCTTTTTCTTGTACCGCCATCATCATGAGCAATAGAAGATACAACGTGAGGACTCTCTAAATTCGAGATGAACCTTGTGGCTGATCTTCTGTAGGCGGTTCCTGGATTCTTTTTGCAGGATCTTGAAGAGCTATCAGGGGTACGAAGCTTAGCAATGTGGTAGCACTGTCCGAATACAACGCTAACTTTCACGTAATAGCTGCCCCCGCGTTTTGGGCTTATAGACGCCTCAGGGGAATGCTGGAGCAATCTCAGGACCCAGATCCAAGCTCTCAATTCAGCCTCACCGTCAGGAACGGCCTACAAACTTTTCTTCCTTTCGAGGCATGGTCAAGGCTATCGTATGTTGTTCTGTGGCGCGATATCGAAGGCTGGTAACATCGATGAACCGTAGATAACGTTGCGGAAGCGAAGTATGGTACTAGCTTATGGGACAGGTAGGTGCGTTTTGCCCAGCTATGGATTAGCTCATCATATTTCTGATAGTTACTGGTCTAAATTGAACGGAGATGGCGAGATTACCTGGGGTCGTAAGTTCTCCGTTCATGAGGGAAAATACCTACCGCTTAGACTAAACGGTGAAGCCGATCCACAGCTAACTTCTGTCGGCATTGAACAGGCAAAAGATATTCGGCGTGCCCTCGAGATTGAGTTGGACAACGGATTTCATCTGCCCGACAAGTTGTACTGCAGTCCCCTCTCTCGTGCGCTGAGGACATGTGAAATCATGTTTGACAGTCTGGTTAGGACCGGCAGCGTAATGGTGATCGAGGTTCGTCACTTCTATGAAGTATGTTCCTAGAAGGATTTCTGGAAACAGCTTCACAGAACTGTCGTGAAGAGAATGGCGAGCATACCTGCGATAAACGGAACACACGAACATACATTGCGTCGACATACCCCAACTTTACCATTGAAGATGGATTTACTGAGGAGGATGAATTGTGGACCCCTGAACGAGAGACTAAGCGGCACGTGGAGGAGCGGGCGAGGAAAGTACTCGACACAATTTTCGAGGATGCGGATAATACCTGTGAGCGTTGTCCCTGAGCTTGATTTTTGGAATCTAACCCCCTCTACTGAAGTCATCTCAGTGACGGCTCATGGTGGATTCATTAACGCCTTTTTGTGGGCAAGCGGTAGGCCATCTTACCCGCTACCAACAGGCGGTGCGTTAGCATATCATTGTCTCGCTCTTGGCTTTGGTTTGATGATTTCTTCTACCAGGTGTGCTGCCTTTGGTCGTCAAGTGCGAAGTTATGGCTTAACTTGCTCGGAGGGTTTATATCATTTCGGGTTTTACAAATCAGTTGTAATGGGAACTGAAAGTGGTTTTCATTTCTCGATCCAAAGCTAGAACCCGCCAGGCCTTCCATCCTTCCAACAGCATAGCTTCTTTCCGATCGACGACTTCATTGCAAGAGGCCTGGTTCTTTTCAAGGGGACTACTTTACCACGTAATACCTCCATTTTTGTGAATGCTCAGAATTGCTTAGCTTGTAAAATGACAGGAATACAAGATTTTATGGTGCTTTATCAAATTGGGTAGACGACCCGCTCTCACTTATTGTGTTCGAAAGGGGCACACGTCATATGTGCTGTTATCATTGCGTCACAATGGGCATTGCAGTACTCGGGGCTAATGTCGTCATTTGACAGCGTGCGAGCGGCGTTTGGTCGACAAACCGACATTCCTTCCAGTCCACTTTTCTCCTCGATAGGGGTTGGCCTTCCTTTCGCCGTCCTGAAGTGGTGGCCCGATTATGGCTTCAGCGTACCAGTTAATCTCCAGGTAAGTAATCATACAACGAACGTACTTGTCGAATTTGAGTCCGAGTCGAAGCGCCGGACAGACCTATCTAAACCTATGCAAGTAAGTAATCCCTCCTGAGCATTACCTATGCTGCATGAACCTAGAACCCTACCAGATCAGGGAAGATCTTTGGGGTTCTGTCGATCAATTAATGTGCCGAATTCCTATTCTGGCGTCAGCGGTCAGTCCGGTGAGTCTAAAGCGTGTAGCGTGACGCCAGGGAATCGCCTTTCGCACTAGACCATGCAAGTTTTCTTCCAAATATGAGACGGTTCATAGAAAATTTAGATTGACTGCTAATGACCACAAGAGCTGAGTTTATCTGTTTATCTCTTCATATAAGGGAGCGATAAGTGAGCGCTATCTTTTGCTTCTCGTTGCTTCCCTCGAGTCTTCAGGCCACTTATCCATACTGTCGAACTTTCAATCCTTCGACGAACTTTGGCAAAAATGCGCTTCATCCTCACACCGCTCTTGCTGCTCCTCACCCTCGCAACGATCGCATCTGGGCTTCTAGTTCGAAGTGCCCTGCCCTCGCCTTCCGCTAAAAGTCTGCCCTCGCCTTCTAGTAAAGCAGGAGGCCGTCGTAACGCCCTACCTCAATCTCCTCGTCAACGCTTCGCCCGTCAATCTGAAGCCACGGAATTGGAGATTAGAAATCAACTTGGGGCAGCGAAGCGTAACAAGAGGTCGGTTCAGGCCTAGTTCCCTCTCCACTAGTGAGTACTTTTGACCTTGCCAATCCGTACGAAGCTCGTTAACATATATCTAAGCTTGCCATTTCTTTCTATCTGGACATGACGGATTATCTTTTCCAGTAGAAATCTACTCCCACGGGCGACTTTCGCGTTCTTCGTTAATGACCTTTTCTTCGGTTGGCATGCTCCTTTACGAACTTTTCATGTTGTTTTCCTCCCCCACGAACTCTTCCTCTTATCAGTTGCAGCTCCACTTTTTTGGACAACATTCATATACGTTGATGACTTCGCTACGTTTATTGCCCGCTCATTTTTGGACTTTTTCATTGACACTTTCAGAACTTTTGTCGGGATCTTTCGATTTGGATCGGTTGGATTTTTTTTTTACTTTGTAGAATACCGCGATACCGCACACTATGCTTTTGTTACGAATATATGGACAACGGCCCTGTTAACGTGTTCTATGTACCGCGCTTGAGTCAAAGAACGGCGTTAGGTGAAAGCGTGTTGTCCGCGCCGTATGGTTGTGCTTTCAATGTGGTGCTAAATTTAGAACCACTTGACGGCGCCACACAGATCCTTATCTTATGGGCGCTTAGCGACTTCAAAACAATTTGAAAGCGTAGCAGAGAACACATAGTGCAATGGTAGAAAAAATTCAAGCAAGCTTGTTGCCAGACTGAGATTTCAGTGAGTCTGACGCGGAGAAGGGGGAGGCTAACGAGCAACTTTGTACTGAGTAAGTAATTGACATTCATGTGGCGAGGCATTCCAAAATATAGACCGACCCATGATCATATGACCGATTTTATTTCCGAGAAGCGTATCATCGGTTTCCGGTACCGGTACCCAGCGGAGAATGAGTCTGTTGATCTGCAGATAAGTACCTAAATCGTCGAGCACTTACCGTTTCGCTGTCACTCCTTCGATCCGAATCTGAGGAAGACCAGAAGCAGAATGTTGCGGCGTACGAGTGGCGAGTGATATCGCAAGGTTGGACCATATACAGTTAGGAGGTAGGTTGGCCTGGGGTTGTTTGTAATGCGATTGTCACTTGGGGTGGGACTCTTACGTGGTATAACAAGTACGGACTCGGATGTTTCCACGATGGATCTACAGTCATCCACCTGCTAATGATACACCCAAAATGAGAAATTAGCTTCAACAGATTTGAGCACAACCTTTCTCTACAGAAACTACATGAAAATCTCTGATAAATGCCCTTCTATGACCATACCAAATTTCAGAATGTTTGACCCACATTTCACAGAGAAAAACTAAGATTATGGGTGTATCATTGAGGGGTGTGACTGTATTTGGCTATTCCTGAAAAACAGTCCATTTTGTATGCTCCATGGCTTTGCCAATTCTGCCTCAATTGTATCCAAATTATGTACAGTGGTAGATATGAGTTTGTACTATGTGTTACAACTTGTTTTGTGAGAATCGGTCTAGTATTGAGCGAGATATTTGCTAGTCAAAAGTGTATCAAATGGGGGTGGTGTATCATTAAGGGGTGGATGACTGTATATTATTCAAAAACCTTTCTGGTTCAGAGTTCCTCTTTGGAATACAGACAAACAACTGGTATTCAGGTTGTTAAGGGCCTCAAAATATTTCCATACAATTATTATCTGGTTTTTGAAGCATCCACTTCTTCTTACTGTAAGAAGACTAGGGTAGGTTCTTTTTGTTAGCTGATCTACTCACAAGTAGAACTGAATATTGATGGCAAATGCAGATCATGAAGAGATATATAAATAAATTTACACAAGAGAAATGAGCAGTATTTTATAGTGAGAACATCTCTACCTCCCTTCGCACAGGGCTCCTTTCGTAAACCCACATACACATTTAAATAATTTAGAGCTTCTTGCTGATAGATCGGAGAGAGATTTTGAGCATTTGAATAATCTATGTGATAACAGGATATACACAGGAAGTTTATTCATTGCAGATTCAGTGGTATTGATTCTGTAGCACCAACAAAGTTACCAAATGGAGAGGTAGATGTAGCCAATTTGTTGTTGTCAGATGGATAAGCTGGTGATTCACCATTCCATTGAAGCAAAGCCTTTTCTGATTGGGAGGTCATTGGATGGGTGGCTCCCAGAATCTTGCATTGTAGTACAAAAGCAACCTGAAGTAGTCTGAGGGCATGTGCATCTTGTTCCAGAGCTTTGAAAGTAAAGGCCAAGTTTGTCATGGTTTGTAATGTATCTGGGTGTTCCACTCCAAGAACTTTTTTCCTTGCATCCAAAACTTGAATTTCCAGCTGCTTCGCTTCTGAATATTTTCCCAGGTTTTTATATGTTACTGCCAGATTTGCAAAGGCACTGACTGTTTCTGGATGTTCTTGTCCAAGAATTCTTCTTCTTGTCTCCAAAACATGAAGATCCAGCTTCTCTGCTTCTGTATATTTTCCAAGGTTTCTAAATGTCCCAGCAAGGTTTGCCATTGCATTGATGGTATCTGGATGTTCTTCTCCAAAAATCTTTTTTCTGGCTTCTAGAACTTGGATTTCTAGCTCTTCTTCATCTAGGTATTTACCTAGATTTCCATATGTTGTTGCCAGATTTCCCATTGATCTGACTGTATCTGGGTGTTCTCCTCCAAGAATTCTTCTTCTGGCATCCAGAGCTTCTACCTCCAATTTTTCTGCCATGATATATTTTCCCATGTTCCAGTATGTTGCTGCAAGACTTGCCTTAGCTCTGATTGTATCTGGGTGATCTCCTCCAATAGTCATGTTGGTCATATTTAGAACTTTGATTTCCAATATTTCTGCCTCTGTGTATTTTCCCAAATTCTTGTATATTGCAGCAAGATTTGCAATAGCTCTAATTGTTTCAGGATGTTCTTCTCCAAAAATTCTTTTGCTTGCATCTAAAACATGGAGCATCAGCTGCTCTGCCTCTGCATATTTTCCCATATTTTTATATGTTGGTGCAAGATTCATTTTTGCTCTAATTGTATCTGGATGACTTTCCCCCAGTATTCTGGACCGTGCATTCAACACCTGCATTCCCAGCTTCTCTGCTTCTGTAAATCTCCCCAAATTCCTATATGTGTCTGCAAGATTTTCCATAGCATTGATGATATCTGGATGATCTTCCTTGAGCACTCTTTTTCCTGCATCCAGAACATGAATCTCTAGCTTCTCTGCATCTGTATATTGTCCCATATTACTATATGTTCCTGCAAGATTGGCCATAGCATTTATTATGTCTGGGTGTTCTTCTCCAAGGGTTTTTGTTCTTGCATCCAGAACATGGATTTCTAGCAACTGTGCCTCTTTATATTTTCCAAGACTTTTGTATGCTCCTGCTAGCTTTCCCATGGCAGTAATTGTATCTGGGTGTTTTTCTCCAAGAATTCTTTTCCTTGCATTTAGAACATGAGTTTCCAACATCTCTGCTTCCTTATATTTGCCCAAATTTCTGTATGTTTCTGCAAGATTTCCCATAGCATTAATTGTGTCTGGATGTTCCTCTCCAAGGATTTTGTTTCTTGCATGCAAAACCTGGACCTCAAGCATCTCTGCATCATGATATTTTCCCAAATTTCTATATGTTCCTGCAAGATTCCCCATGGCTCTGATTGTATCTGGGTGTTCTTCTCCCAGAATTCTGTTTCTTGCTTCCAGAACTTTAATGACCAGCTTTTCTACTTCAGTATATTTTCCCATGTTCCAATATGTCACTGCAAGATTTGCCATCGCCTTAATTGTGTCTGGATGGTTTTCTCCAAGAATCCTGTTTCTCACATCCATCACATGAATCTCCAGATTTTCTGCTCCTACATATTTTCCCTGACTTCTGTATGTCCCTGCAAGATTTCCCATTGCTCTGATTGTATCAGGATGTTCTGCACCAAGGATTCTGACTCTTGCACTCAAAACATGGTCCTCTAACCTCTCTGCTTCCAAGTATTTTCCCATGTTCCAATATGTCATTGCAAGATTTGCCATTGCTCCAATTGTTGATGGGTGTTCAGCTCCAAAAATTCTCTGTCTTTCATCCAACACCTGAATTCGAATTTTCTCAGCCTCACTTGAATACCCTTGCTCCTCTAAAAGTCTACCAAATTTCTCACATGAATCATCAAAGTAAGGCATCTGCTTTCTTCCCATCATGCTGTACTGGATATTGGCCCTTACATGGGTGACTAAATTTCTTCTAAATCCATAAGGCTGACTTTCAAAGTTCTCCTTCAGAGAGCAAGACAGAGTAATATATGCCATAGAGCAATATCTTTCCATCTCATCCACAGTCATTCTATCTCTTCCCCACGCATGGACCAGTGGATGCACAGCATACATGCCATTGATTGGACCAGGCTTGATGAAGGAAAAAGAGAATAGTAATCGAAGTCCTTCCTTGAATATAAAACTATCCCAAGACCTTTTCTCATTGAGAGCAAGTAGTCTGTAGTCCAGCATAGAGCTAGCAGTCAATAAACTAGGCACATCTCTCCCATCTGCATCATTTTGGCATTGTTGAGTAGCAGCATAGGCAAATATATTCTCACTAATGCCATCATAATGGAAAAAGACAAATATAGCCAGGACAAGAATTGCACTCATTGCAGCCCTAGCCTTGTCAGGATTGTTAGACTGGGCCCTATTTCGAATTTCATTGTATGACAATTCCCAAGTTCCATAGACAGTCCTGTTATATTTAGATGCCCCCTTGAACTCTGCATGAGATAAGAGTATCTTTCGATGTTGATAATATTGCCCCAGATAGTCTTTGATATTGGTAGCCCCAGCTCCAATGAATGCACCAGCCTGATCAACAGCTAGAGGAAGACAGTAGAGCTCTTTCACAATTTTCTGAGCCTCCCCTTGTAGATCCATGTTGGATATATCCAAGCAGCTAGCTTTCAAAAGGAGTGATATGGCATCAGTCTCTTTCATCTCCTTAACTTCAAGAGAATTTTCTAGCAGAGTCAGCCGTTTCATCCCAAAGTTTCGACTAGTTATCAGAATATTTCCAGATAGGCCAG